CACTCGCTTGTCTGTCTCACTCGCTTATCATGTACGTTATACTATTATAAATACCTTTTTCGCTAATAACAAGCTATTACGAATCTTAATAAGTAGTTACGTCGTCTTCCTTAAATACTAATTACTTAGAAGTTAAAGAAATAGACTTTCGTAACTTTAAGTATTATAAAGGGAATTGATAGGGACGCATCACGAATTGATAGGGACGCATCATCCTTAGGGACGCATCATATTCTAAGGTTGTGATTGGCTCAAAATTTTATTGTTAGTGCATCCGAATTCTGCCATCATCTAATAAAGTATCTTTCTTATCTTCTTAGCCTATCCCTTTATAACTACGAAAGCGTATTAGACATATTTAATTTATTCTCCTTTATAACGTCAAGATGTCTACCTCTACAAGTCAATCAAGGCCCTAATCGCGTCGCCGACCTAGCAGCTCTAGTATATATAATCAATTGCCTTCTCCTAAGCGCTAACGCTATGCTATCTTAGTTAGTAGTAATACTACTATTAGTTAATTCTATAAGGCTAGCGATCGTAAGGGTTAACCTAACCTAATCTCTAAGATTCTACCTAAACAATTATAACAAGATTCCGATATAAGCTATAACCCTTAGGGAGATAAATTATATCTTCTATATTCCTTTCTAAAAGGGATAATACGTATATAGCGTATAATTTTACCTAAACGTTAACTAAAAGAAAGCTAATTAGTATTATAACTTAAAAATTAACCTTTATAACCTACTTTAGATTAGTTCTCTACTATTCTAAGCCTTATTTAAGAGGTTGTTAGGATAAACCGACGTCTTACGCATGCTTTCCTCTAACAATGTAAACGCGTTCGTCGATATCGTGAGGCTTAGGGCTACTTACTACACCCTTCAGACATATCCTTAATCGGCGAGTCTCCTCCTCCTCTACCTTATTCACCTCCCCGACAAAGCCTAGAAGTAATAGCAATACCATCTTCTCTAAGTACTTTATTCCTTACTATAAGCGAAAGGTCGAAATTACCTACCCCCAAAACTATTCTAAACCTACCGATCCCTAGCGAACTAGAAGTAATAATTAAAACCCTCCTCGACTAAGTTAATAAATTTATAAAAGAGTATAGATTTAGGATTGCAAAGTATAATAGATGCTATCGTAAAGGACGTATAATTCGCTATATACTTCGTTACGATCGATTTAGGCTACTAAAGCAAGGTAGAGGTGCTAGCATCCGAGCCCGCGCATCTCGGAAGTGTGATTGCCAATGGCAAATTATTACTAAAGCAATAGAGGAGGGGAAATAGCTTTTACGTCAGCATTCCAACCTAATATACAGCCAGCATAATCATATCCCTAGCTTAGCATTATCTATATACCCATCCTATAGGAGGTTGACTAAGCCTATTAAGGATATAGTTAAGACTACTAGTCGGCGGGTTGGTATTCGGGTACGCGACGTAGGTGCTATTATTCAGGAGCAGTTTCCTGAATCTGTTTTCACCTAGCGGGATATCTATAACGCTAGAGCCTGAATTAATCGCGAAAAGCTTAATAGGTATATACTAACTATAGCTCTAATCAAGCTTTTTAATAAGCGGGAGATCCCTTATATTATGAAGTAGGCGGATGATGAGCCGAATCGGCTTGTTAGGCTTGTCTAGACGTTTCTATACTCTCTCCGGATATAGAAGCGGTTCCCCGAGGTTATTAGCTTTAACAACACCTATAATACCAATCGCTTCAAGCTTCTACTCTTCCAAGCTACAAGGCAAACATGTCTTAGATCGGTATTTAATATAGTATTTAGTCTTATTAATAATGAGAGACTAGAGGGGTTCTAGTTCTTATCGCAAAGTATCTTATAACTTATTAATTAGAACTCTATTTGCTAACTAGATATTATTATTACCGACTACGATAGATAGATAAAGGCAGCTCTTAACAAATACTTTCTAAATATATAATAATAGCTTTGTATTCACTATATCAACTTAAACGTTATGCTTAAAGCTAAGCAAAAGTAGCTTTAGAGCTATTCTAGTAGTAGTAGGTCTAAAGAAGACGATCTAGCTTTACAACTAGATACTAAACTTAGTAATAAGGACTATGCCTATATCTATACTTTAGTAGATAGGGCTATGCTATATAGCTACCGGGGGGTTTTTATAATATAGAAGTTAGTTCTATTTGCTAAGATAGAGGATGCCTTTAGGAAAGCATAAGCAAACCTTTGCAAAGAGTTTAAAGACTAACGGCTTATTCTAAACTACCTATATAGAATATATCTACTACTAAGGGAGTAGTAGGCACGTTATTCTATTCGCTAGTACCGAAACTTCGGCATCCGTATAACCTTAGGGACGGAATCAAGTAATAACAATATTAAAGGCTATCTTCTTAATAGACTTAGCTACCTATATTACTTAGTTAATATAATATAGGATATGCTTAAGGATTAAGAGGTTTGCTTTAAGCAAGCTTGTATACAGGATAAGATCCTTACAAGCCGTAAGTTTATAGGGAATAGATCTGAGTACCTTGGGGAGCTTCGAACAATACTCTCATCGCAGTGTCTTGGTTTGATTACGAAGCAATACCGTCTAGCAAAGAAGGCTCTACTAACAGGTAGAAATCCATTTCCAGCGCCTCTTAGAGACTGTATAGAGGACTATACTGTCTCTATAGAGTATGGTATCCTATGCTGCTATAAGATCTACTCTAAACTTATAGATAGGGTATAGTTTATAAAGGATAAGGTTTACCTACGATAGCGGCTGCGGGAGTCTTCTTCCTAGGATCTATATCGACGGATCCTTAATCCGAAGATTGTAAGAAACCTCCGTAGTAGACCTAAGAACTTAATATAGCTAGTCTTATTATCCCTATTATTAAGGGATAGTACTTAATCAAGTAGCTAGCTAGCTAGATAATTATATAGCTAACTATAAAGTTAATAACCTAGCTAATTAGCAGCAGGGCATAGGCATAGCAAACTACTAGGAAGCCGTAATAAGATTACCTTAGCAAGGCTTATATAAGAGATAGCTAGTAGCTAGGCGCTAACCTCTTCCTAGCAGCAGACACGAAGCTAAGTAACTACTCTTAGTACTAGCCGATCAACTAGCCTTCGTTCGAATAGAAGAAGATTATAGGCAAGCATCCGTAGGACGAGGAGTTAATAGGAACTACTTAGTAGTAGTAATAAGAGTCTCAAACGTTAAGGGTAAGGGGGGCATTCTTTATTATTATATAAGAGGAAATAGAAGTAGAAATCAATTAAGATTTATAAAAGCCGTTTCAGTTTAGTTTAATAAAACCTAATTCCTCCTTAGAAGGGAAGAAAAAGACCTACTATTTAAGATTTGCAAAAGCGGTCGTTTAGATGGTTTTGCAAATCTCAAATAGGAGGAATAGCTAAGAAACGTAGGCTAGTAGGGCGGGCCGGCTTTATGTCTATGAAACGGAGGCAGGCCTCTTATAGCTGTGAAAAGGTAGGGCGTTAGCAACGCTAGCCTTACCGCCTTCGCCGACTTGTACCTATGGGTCACCAAAATTTCTAGCTAATCACAACCTTAGAATGTGATGCGTCCCTAAGGATGATGCGTCCCTATCAATTCGTGATGCGTCCCTATTAATTCCTATTATAAAGGCTAAATTTATTAATCTTATACTTATAATAATTATTATAAAGTAGATTAGGCGTTACTTCTCCTAACTACTTAGCAAACCTATTACTATGCCTACTATTATATTTACTAATAATACTAACGGCTATAATAACGTTATAAACCTACTTAACAAGGCATAAACCTGCTATATCGACGTCCGATATAAATAAATTATATAGGAGGTTTATACTACGAAAAGCATCGAACTCCGACTTATCAAGGGCGCTGATATGGCTGCCGATAGACTTACGAAGCTACTAGTTGCGGTTAAACACAAGGAATTCGTTCGTTTGTTGGGCATGGCGGAGGGATTGGATTAAGAGGGGGATTTTAAGACTATAAGACTATTAATATTAAGACTTCGGGATTCAAGGATTTCACAGCCTCCTATTAGCTAGGTTTAACCGGTAATTAACCGAGTTTTCTAATAGTTGAGAACTCCTCGGATTTAGAGGATTTAGGACTTTTCCTATATTTCCTATTATTCTACTGCTTTTTCGCTAAGGAGTCTGAGAGGGGGTGTGGGTGGCAGGCCTCGCCGGCCCGTCACGTGGGCTGACGGCCGCCACCACTGGTCTTAGCCAGCCTCCACAGCCCTCTAGCCAGTTAGTTAGTTCTTCCAACCAACAACACCACTTTTCCCATTCTGAGCGTTCTGTGCCGGTTCTCGCCCACATTGAATGATAGTCCCAGAGTATGCTTTACAATAATTTCCAACTATTGACTTGATTTATTACAAGATTGCTACCCAAATACGTCCTTGGGTCCGCAGAGTGCTTGGTTTTTACATGCCCCCAGACTCCCTCTAGAACCCGTATCTTGTTTTTGATGTTTTGAATACTCACATGGGAGCCCGGAGGAGCATGGGATGGAGTTCAAATTTTTCTACCAACTCTACTGGGATACTTTCTATCGTCTCGTAAGCTGTACACTCTTTGGTTTTGATTGGCCGTTACCCTCACAAGTTGTAGTCATGCAAGCTGCCCACTCGGCTGCATGTTCTTGGCTACCCCTGAAAGTACACCCTCCACTTCCCGGATGTAGAGCTGATTCAACACGATTATCAGATCCTATCGGGATATTATACCCCGAATCATTTTACTGCTATATCATTTGAGTCGATATAAACTAAGTGGCAGCTCTTGGAACTTGATTATCGCGGAGACACGTTACTTAGCTACCTGGGATCTAATAGATCGGTTGTTTGAGGAACCTGTCAAACATAACGGTTCTTGACTACCTTTTTCACTAGAGAACCACTTCAGGCTGCTCATCTTAAGCTCTTCAACAATAGCCACTATCATTACCTTTTGATCGTCATCCACGTTTGACATCATGGGCCAGACTACGACAGTATTATCGGCATTGTTTATTGCCATTGGCGGTCAGATCCTACCCTGTATCTGGTTCTTTCAATCAGTTTCAATTCTGACTTCTTTTGATAGGGTTCCTCTTTGGTTACGACTCAGGCATTATCGGATCCGTCATATCGCTTCCGACTTTCAAAGAACGCTTCTCTACGCCAGATGCCAACACCGTCGGAGGGATTGTTTCCTCTTTTCAAGGAGGTGCCATTCTCGGCACAATTATCAACATGATTGGTGCTGACTGGGCCGGACGAAGGAACACAATTTTCGCCGGCTCAGTCGTCTCTACATTGGGCTGTGCTATCCAAGCCGGCTCCATCAATATTCCCATGTTAATCGTTGGCCGTTTCATCGCTGGTGTGGCTGTTGGCATGTTAACTGCAACCATTCCCATGTACGCTTCTGAGCTTTCCGAGGCGAAATACCGCGGTATGCTTGCAGGCCTCCTGCAATGGATGCTGAGTTGGGTATAGTTCTGGCCCCTTTCAAAAATTTGAGTGTTCAGCTTAAAGTACTAGTGCTTACCAGACTTAGGGGTTCTTCGTGGCTCAATGGTTGGGCTATGGATGTTCGCATAGCAAAACAGAATTCTCTTGTAAGTTGTTTTGTTGGCTCTGAGATGGATGCGGGCCTGCGGTGTATAACAGGGTTTTGCTAATGATTTATCAGGGCGGTTCCCACTTGCATTCCAGACAGTCCCCAGCCTGACCCTGATGGCAGGTATCTACTTCCTGCAGGAGTCGCCGCGATGGCTGGTCGAAAAAGAGCGCATCGAAGAGGCGCGTGCCGCGCTTCAGAGGCTCCGACGCGGGCAAGACGAAGCGGCTATAGAAGCGGAGTTCAACGATATCCACCAGACAATTGTGGCGGATCGTGACATCGCCAAAGTATCGTGGAAGTCCATCATTACGAAGCCGTCATGGCGACGCCGCTTGCTCCTTGGTTGTGGTGTTCAGGCCTTTGGACAGCTTTCTGGAATCAACGTCATCAACTAGTAAGTCGTCTGCCCTCTCTCTACCCAGACTGCCACTTGCCTTGCTAACAAGGCTATGCAGCTACGGGCCAATTATTTATTCCCTTCTTGGCATTGAGAATCAAGAGTCCTTGATGATTACCGGAATCAGCGGCGCGTTGTCCATCGTTTACTGCAGCATTGGCTTGTACCTGTTGGACCGTGTCGGCCGAGTCAAGCCATTGATTGGTTCTGCTATCGGTATGGGACTGTGCCTGCTCGTGAATGCAGTGCAGGCGCAGTACTTCAACGAGGAGAACTCGAACCAGTTGCGCTCCATGGTCGCCATGAATTTCTTATTCAGCTTCTTCTTCACACCCGTAGGCATCATCAGCTGGGTTTATCCGGCCGAAATCTTCCCGATTCAGGCAAGAGCCCTTGGTAACGCCATCACGACATTTACCAACTGGACTCTGAACCTCGTTTTTGCGCAGTTCAGCCCTCTGGCACTAGACGCAGTCCGCTTTCGTTACTTTTACGCCTTCTTCGTTTTCAACCTCGTAGCTACCGTTGCTTATTTCTTCTTTTATCCTGAGACGAAGCAGAGAACTCTTGAGCAGATGGATGAGCTGTTTGGAGACGCAATTGTTGACCACCACACCACCATCCACGAGAAGAACAAGGATCTGGTGGTCGATGATGCAGAAGTCGCCGACAAGATTTAGTTCGATGATGCGTTGCCGCTTTCAGACGAGTTCAAGAGGTTAGAAACCATCTATTGCTCGCTCAATTGTCTTGGACATGAGGGGTACAGGACTTGTCTCGACGGAGTTGAAAGGTGGAAGAGCCATTCAAGGTCTGTGGGGGCAATGGCTTGTTGACAAATTTGAAGCAAGAGCCATCACAACAAAGGAGTCCCTGTGGCGCCTGGAACTGAGTTCGCAATACTGTCCTGGTAAATCCAATTATAGCAATCATGGCGATTGTTATTGAAGACATGATAATGCCATTATATTCTCAATAATTTCTTGAAGTCTTTGATTATTCATACCACTCTATCTAGAAATAATTTGAAACTTCTTTCTCACTTGGTGGTGCCGTGACACTTGACAGATCGCGGCATTGTAAAGAATGTTTAACTAGGTAATCATCAGCGAACCATCGGCACGATGTCGTTAGAAGTGATTATCTGTTTCAAAGTTCATATGCAGAAGCTTATGCAGAATTACCTGTGAATCATTTTGTATATCGATCGTTGAGTTAAGACGTTATCGACTGAGATCCCCAGATAGGTTGATCGCCCCTACCATCTTTGGAACAATATGTGTACTATTTTAAAGTAAATGGATAAGCAGCAGGTTGATCTAGTACTCATACAATTAAAGCCAAATGTTCTATCAACTCTAGTCCTCAACAAGCAATGTGCTACCCACTATTCTATCTTTCCACATGTTCTACATTACATGACCCTTTTGTTTACTTGACAGCCTCATATGCCCAGTCCCTAGGGGCGGGGCCTGAAAACATTGAAGACGAAATTTTATTCCGCCAGTCATCAAGCCTCGCTCTTGCCTCGGCGTTGCTCACAAGTATGAGTTCAACCCCGATGAGCCCGCTCAGCATTGAAGATTAGTTCCTTGATTACGCCACAACCTGGTTCAAGAGGATAATGGAAGAAAATCCCGTGCCCCGCAACTTCGCTTTTTGACACAGCCTTCAAGTATTGCGTTCGAGATTGACTCTTGCTTAGTGTCTAAACTCAACAGGACAAAAGTATGCCCTACCACCACGAGTCGAAACCGGCTTAGAATTGTACCAGTGCGTAATAAGAATGTTGACGGCGGGAAGACATGTACATATTATACCTATGCTAACATCAGCTGTGCTGATAATTTGGTTAGTTCGACTGTGACCGAATACTCTATGAAAGGCATTCACCGAGAGGAGTGAATATAACGAACCTGAACAGGCTCAAGCGAATAATATCAACAGGTTCGTCGTATAACTTGCGAAGTGAAATGCCTAGAATCATGCGAACCATGCTCGCTACTATGGCGATACCACCTAAATTAAGCATGGCGATGATTTTGAGCCGCTTGGACCACGGTATCCTAAGGGCGAGCACAACGGGGATGGGGATGTAGAGGATAGCTAAGTTGGTAATAACGCTGATAGCAGTGTCGGCGAAAAAGATGGCTTGTCGGTTAAAACAGCTAGTCTTTATCGTAAGGTCCCAGAATCCATTAATTGGTTGACAAATATTGGCCTTGATGGCGAAGGTAGGCATATGGTACCCTGTTGTGAGAATAATGAGAACGTATGTCCTGAGCACTGTCGTTCTATCCGCTCGGAAAATTCTGGTATTGACAAGAAGGAGGGCGAGTTTCGTAAAGTAGGAAGTAAGACTATATATCAAAGTATGGACATATAGGGCCTGAAGTTCACTCAGTTAGTTGTCCGTTTGATCAAGGAAAAGTTCAATACTTACTGTCCTAAAGTTGACAAAATCTGCTTGGGAGATCTCGTAAATATGGAACCCCCGCCGAAACGATACACTTGCTTCAACATTAGTAAAATAATAGTCTAAACATTGTACTAAAAACTTACTGACAAAAGCCGTGGTACTATTACCTAGAGATAATATCTATCCAAGTGTAAGAAGCATATTGTTAATATCACAAGCACACTAGTGTCTTACCCATGCTATAATAGCGACCCCTGAAAACCAGAAGTCAGTATAAGCGTGTGGAAGAGAACAGTCAACGTACAGTCATCGACATTAAATGGGGGTGTGATGAATGCTTTCACATAGCATCGTAAAAGCATGAAGGCGCATACAGAGGCGGTTGTAAGAAGATGCGTCACAAAACTAACAGTGTGCGAGACATCTGTTGGATTTTCTAAATGAGTTTTCAAGCCTTCCGGGTGGGAATTCACCCATTTTTGACTCGGCATTGAATCAGTTATAACAAATCTTTTCGAGTTCGGGGAGAATTCATACATTGAGGCATAAGCAACGGAAATAGTCAGTCGAAAGGGATCTGGGTTTTATACTATGTCTGCATGTTTATAATAAATGGGCTTTCGTAAAACGGGCATTCTTCGCCGAAGGTGTCATACATTCATACCTACAATTATCATGGAAACTAGAGAAGACGATAGTATACTCCGTTTGGAGAACGGCTGCTTCACTAGGTCTACCGCACGGCACCCAAACCTTAACTTTTTCAAAACAGTGGACTTGGAACGCGTGTTCAACCTCCCACTAAGCCTTTTTAGAAGTAGTCGTTCACTTTTACTTTTAAGCCGGAGTCACGCTTCTTACTCAATTCGGAGTATATCATAGAGAGCGGAAAGTCCAAGGTCCTTCGGAAACACAAAGGCAATGTTACGGGCGCACTAAGTGAGCCCTAAGTAATTAAGGTGTTCTAGCCCAGTGAACAACGGCAGAGTTCATGGCGTTGCATCTTCAGGATGAGACAAGGCGAAGCTTTTTAACAGTTTAGCAGCCATATGACAGTATACTCCTCAAAGTAATTCGGAACCACTAAGTGAGTTTTCAACAAAGCGGTACACCAGGCCGTGAAAAACCTAGAGTTTTGGCGAGCAAAATACCGATTTCGGCGCTCTGTCGCATTTTTCTAGCCTCCTCTGTTTCACTGCGTTACTTTTGCAATAGTCGGACTTCCGGATTAAAGTGGCTTCTGTAGCCGCTCAGCTGCCGGCTGCCGGCCACCTAGGCCTGACATGGGTAGTTGAGGTCGCCTACCTACGTGTTGGAAACTGGAAGAAACACATCTCTTCAATAAACTTCACGATGCCAATCCGCAGCTTTTTCTTCCATGGATAAGAACATGACTTTCACCACATCTTGAGAGGAATGAATGTCCAACATCCATGCGGGTATTCCCATGATGCCAACAGTACCCGTCACACTCTCAATTAAAAGCTATTTCCATATTGCCAGTATAATATGTAATCTGTCGCAACTGACATTATCGAAGCTCACCTTACTGCTCCCTCTGTGGAATTTTCAAGCTAAGAAGTAGCAAGCCACGTCCTTCTTGCAGCTGGCTAGGCAAATTATTAAGGCTTATATAATCGCATACCAAGCTTATTTGGAATTGATATCTTGTTAGATATATTGGATACTGCAGTATTGGCTTAGTTGATTGATTGATTGATTTATTCCTACTCGGTTATGAAGCCGCTCTTATGCCAGCAGCTATGCCCGGAAAGCGGGGTTTGGCAGGTAGCCGAAGCGTCGACAATGAACAGCGACGCCCCACTTCGCCCTGATGTTGCATCAGGGCCAGCTATCCCCAAGCTCCCCACTATGTTCTCTATTCTGTGTGTTTGTGCCCTCTGTTGAAGAAGTGTGTTGCTCTCCTGTCTGCTTTCTCGCTTTTGTGTTGCTCTCTAGAATGCTTGTTTTGCGTCCTCCTGCTTCGGTTCAGTTGGTGCTGGTAGCACCGTATCTGGTTCTTTGTACCTACAGTCTCCCCCCAGCGCTCAGCTTTGTCTCTTTGTTTTGTCCGTATCCTCCCGGACTTGTATGTGCCGTTTTCTCAGTTGCATCTGTAAATTCTTTGTTGCCTCCTGCCGGGTTCCTATGTGGCCTCTTGTTTCTTGCCTGTTGACCACTATTGCCCTCCACCACATTGGCCCAAGGGTCTTCCACGAAGCACAATGCTCCACTGACTCCGACATGTTCGATTACTAGGTATGAGAGCTCCCGCACAGATTCCGCAGACATTGTCGCGCGTTGAAGGGACACCAATCCTTCTTCGCAAAAGGGGCGACAGGGGACCAGTCTGTCTGTGGTCTGTAGTATTGTGTGGCATCGATCGTAGCATGCCTAATGCCTGGTGCTTTCTCCGTGCGGAAGGTGATACTGTTCTGTCGGACTCATCTTCGTCGTTGTGGGACGTTGCAAACTTTGTCGGGGGTGACAGGTGACCCAAAACCTGTCGGCGGCTGTTGTGTTGAAGTTGATTGTTTGGGCGCAGTCTTAGTGCTTCGTGTAGCGGCTTGTGGCTCGCCTGTGGTGGTGGTAACAGTGTTGTCTATTGATATGTCGTATTTTGCGGCTTGCTCTCAAGTTTTTCATTGTAGTCGGGGCGTGCTCTGCGGCCATCTTGGGCCCCTTTGGGACGTAGAATCAAGGCCGAGGATGGCATTGCATCGAAGGGGGCTCTGTGGCCGCGAGCACGCGTATTTGGGGCCGTTTTTGCTCCGATTTTCAAAAATTTCGTTCTCGCTGTTGTTGATGTTTTCCCGTATTGGCTTAGTCTCTGTCGTGATGCCTTCGAGGCGAAGTGCGCAGCCTCACCATCACGTGACCCACATATCGCCTGTGGGGATAATCCCGAAATGGAATGACCGGAATATCTTTATTCCGCTTCGCCCACAAAACATATTTAGGCACAATATCGTTCCATAGTGTAGTTAGGAGAAGACAAGCCACTCAATCTACTACTTTGAATACATGCCTACGTTCAGCACTTTGCTTCACCACAGTCTCTAAACAGCAAAAGTGAGGTCAGCTGCTCAAGAGAATTGCTTGTGTCTGTGGGACAAAAGTAACTGTGGGGCCGAAGGGCAAACCGGATTCTTTGGTTGTAATGGACGGCTCCTCCACATACCGAACTCCCGGAAGTGTGATCAGCTTGCTTGATTGGGATCATACAGTGCAGATCTGATTATCCTGATGGCTTCGGAGCATGCTTCGCTCAATAGAGAACATCTTCGGCATTGGCATTGAGCGAACATCGCTGGTGTTGTATCGAACACTCGTACAGGTATAGCGGATGTGGAGGTTGTGGGACTATAAAACCAGAGTGACGGGAACAAAAGGACTCTGAGAATACCCGAGAGCATCTTCCAATACATCACAATTGTCCAGAAAGATCTCCCGCCTCTGATCGTACCTCTTGTACTCCAATATGCTTCTTATCACTGCGATTGCATCCTTCGTGACTGTCGTTCAGGCGGCTAGTGTCACCGTCCGTGCGGGCTCCTACATCAATTGGAAAACATTCACGGCAAAGGGTGTCAACCTCGGTGGTTGGCTTCATCAAGAAGCCGTGATAGATCCTACTTGGTGGGCCAAGTACGGCGGCAATACTGTGGATGAATGGGATTTATGTGCGAGGTTGGGGCCTCAGTGTGGACCGGTTCTCGAGCAAAGATATGCCAGCTATATCAACACTGCTGACATTGACAAGCTTGCTGCTGCCGGTATCAACCTCCTTCGAATTCCCACTGGCTACAACGCTTGGGTCAAAGTCCCTGGTTCGCAGCTCTACTATGGCAACCAAGCTCGGTTCCTTCAGGCCATTGCCAACTATGCTGTCCGCAAATACAACATGCACATTATCCTCGACATTCATTCTCTGCCTGGCGGGTTGAACGGCATGGGGCTGGGAGAAAAGGAGGGCAACTACGGCTGGTTCCAGAACCAGACCGCTCTTACCTATTCCTACCAGGCTGTGGACGCTGCAATCAAGTTCATCCAGAACTCTGGATTCCCAGAAGCGTTCACGCTAGCGCCTATCAACGAGCCGGTCGATAACCGCGATTTTACCAAGTTTGGCACGCCGGAGGCCCTGACAGATGCTGGTGCCGCTTGGGTTCTGCAGTACTTTAAGGGCGTCCTTGCCAAGGTGAAGGCTGTCAACGCCAATATTCCTCTGTTGTTGCAGGGAAGCTTCAGGCATGAGGAATACTGGTCTCCGTTCTTCGCTGCAACTGACAACATTGTGTTCGACGTCCACAACTACTACTTCGCTGGACGCCCTACTACGTCTGCCAACCTTCCTACATGGATCTGTTCGGATGCTAAGGGCTCAGCTGGGGATGGAAAATTTCCGGTCGTCATCGGCGAGTGGTCGATCCAGGCAACCAATGCCAACACTTTTAGCAGTCGAAAGACGAACTTAAACACAGGCATTGCTGCATGGGCAAAGTACACACGTGGCAGCATATACTGGACCTACAAGTTTTACGGCAACGTTCCTGTCAGTGGCGAGGGTGTACAGGGTGATTACTGGAGCTACGAGAAGTTCATCAATGGCGGTTTCATCGATCCGTCGGCTGGGATCGAGTGCAACTAAGTGTGGCCAACAGGTTCAAAGACCGGCTTGAGATGACATCGTTGGATTGCTGTATTTAGCACTTTATTTGATGTTCAGACTTGGCCTTGAATACTAAACTTGTATTGCCTTTATTCAAGATATTTGTGTGTGTTGCAGTGTGGTAAAATCAAAGTAAAATTAAGCTTACGCACACACGATGGCATTTGGAAATCTTCAGCCAAGATCTACTCATACAGAGACATACCTCGGTTGACAAGCATATTATCAAGGGTTCCTTGCTAAAATGTGTCTATGCTTCATATCAAGTGGGCAACATGCAAAACGTCATGGATTCAGTCTAGCATAGGTGGAAAAGACGAAGGAATTGACAATCGGTATCAAAACTCCTCCAATAACCGTTGTTCACATAGGAATCCTTTTCGACGCCACTAGTTCATTCTGATGTTACCCGCATTTCTGACATAAGGTACCTTTGTAAATCCGGAAGAGCTAGGTAGTTTGCTTAAAGTAGGATCTGCAATGGAGGCAACCCAACACAACCAGGGAATCGGTTAAGAGATGCGGAGGTGGAAGGATGGACTCCCATTGGTAGCTTTACTTCCTGCATTAGCAGGAAAAGACAAGCCGACAACAGTAAATTCCTCTACTTCAATTCTCCAGAAAATGAATCTGGGGAGTCACATCGGCTCCACATGGCACTACTGCATCAATAAGCTAGGTCTTGTGATGGCTGGGACATCATCTTCACCGTGATTTAGCTACAGCTGCCCCACCCCCACATTTCCCCGGATCCATTTGGTGGGGCCGAAGCAATGGTCTCTCTCCCGCTGCCGATGAAAACCAGAGAAAAACAAAGAAAGAAATCCGGGGAAAAGTGGGAAGATCACTTTCTTTACGCACTTTTGAGAAGACTGTGTTGTGTTTGCCGCTTTGTTGTGGAATAAGAAAAGAAAAAAAAGTCTGGATGGGAATCTGCCATGAGGTTAGTTATTGCTAGCGTCGAAGGGAGCTGGTACGCCCAGTAAATCGGGGTCTTGAACAAAAATGAAAAGAAACAAACACAGTGCACTCTTATAGTTTGACTAGAAACATGTGGCACCCACCCTTTTAATTGTATTGAACGTGGGTGGAATACTATATAGAGTTTTTCACGACAAACTTACTTTCTAAAGCAACATAGGTATGAAATGGCCGCTTTAAAACAATTGAGAGAGAGGAAGATGGACAGGAAAGGACGTGAAAGTGATACAAATGGGAGAAAGAATAGTAGTGGAAAGTATGAAGATGCAAAAATGAATTCAAGGGGCTCAATCGGGGATCGAACCCGAGACCTCGCCCATTTTCACGCTAAGCGCAAGGGTTATAAGACCCGAAGGGCGAATCATACCACTAGACCATTGAGCCGACATCGGCTTGCAGTTCCTAAGGAACCGAATGCACGGTGGTTGTTGGTGGCAATCGGAAATAATGCTACTTATGTACTAATAGCATTATTCTAGGCCAATTGAGTTGGCCACTCATCTACTCATCTCTCGATCAATTGCTGCCCTGCATCGCTAATCATTCCTTATGCTAGAGGATTCAAATACAATTCGAACGGCGAGATTATAAATATGGCTGAAACAACACCTCACTAATATTACACATTGCACCCATCACATCATGATGTCGCCGTCTTCTCGTCCACTCCAGATCCACCAGCCGGTGATAAGCCCGCCAACCTTCTGAAGCCAACATTCTCAACAATCCTCAATCCCCCGGTCAACGTAATGATGCCCTGCCCTCCGCTTGCAAGCCCAGAATCATGTTTTCCCATGGCCATCTCGGTCATGAACTTGCCCAAGACCTCCGTCGGACTCACGAACGACGGCACCAACTTCCTCACCACCGGGCCCATAGTCACATTTGCAGCATTGTACAGCATGCCTGGATTAGGGATGTACGGTTTAATAGCGGGATGGTTAACGCAGTCGACGAAGGCCGGGCGGATGGACTCAGTTTGCAGCCGTGGGTTTGATCCGCGCAATTCTGAAAGGAGGGTTTCCGTCTCGCCCTTGACGCGGGCGAATATGGCGCTGAAGCGACCTGGGGTTTGAGTGGCTCCTTCGCCGGAGACGAAAACGAAACGGAAAGGCTCGTTGTCTGGCGGCAACGTTGCGAAAGCTTTGGCTGCTGCCAACGTGTAATCTTTGGTGATTTTTACATATTCCCTGAGGCGATTATGTGAGCATGATATGTCTGTCTGGGACGTATGTCTTCACTCACTCCTTGGTAACCTTGTTCTGGCTGATGCCGAGGGCCCAGACCACACCGTTTGCGCCCTTGAGTTTCTCGAGCAGTTCAGGCTCGTACTTTTCAAAGTCCTTGTGGATGATGACGTTGATACGAGAATCGTGCAAGTCCTCTACCATGGGAATTGGTCTTCTACTGAGGATGGAAATCTTGGTAATGTCCTTCATCTTGGCCATGGCGTCGAGCACTGATGAGCCGACTAGGCCGGTCGCGCCGGTGAGGATGAGGTGCATTGTGATAATGATATCGAGCGACGTTTGAAGTGAGAATGAGGAGAACAATTGATCTCGGTATGCTGTTGCGTCAATTCACTACAAGAAGCGACATTTTCGTGACGGGCTCAATCCTTTAAATGTACTAAATCTTCGTCAAGCGGGCGATGCGGGCAATGCGGCCGCTGCCAGCGGATTTTAGTTTCCACTTTTCTCACTGTTCGGTCGGAGGTAAGCCGCACGCATCAGTGACCGCATTGTGCCGGAGTTAGGATTTACACCGTGGCAAACCCGGCCGTGGCTGGTTCCCATTTTATGAAGGCGGCCGGGGCCGGTAACGCTGCATTCTCATAGCAAATTATTGAACATCTTTGTGTGGCTGCAAGGTCTCCACACGCATGTAATATCCGATGAAATGGCTGGGTGAGTAAATCCAATCCTTTATTTTGGTCCATGAGAGCAACAACAACTAGCCATGTCAGCCACAAGCCCGATCTATGTGAGCAGCTAGGCTACCAAAAGCTGCGCAATCTGTTCAATAAAACCGTATGATGACCTCCAATAAACGCCGGAATTACTATCTGAGCCCAAGATTATTGAATTCTCTCTCTGCAGTAATTCTCTTATGGCAGACTTTTTCTTTTCCTGTCAGAGCATCCTTTACTTCGAATAGGCTACAGTTTGCATCGTCAGCTGAACACCACCGTAGACCCTAACAAAGTTCATGAGTACTGATCACGTGCATCCCTGCTCTTATGGCTGGAAACGGTGATTTAATGAAGCGCCACGAATTGCCTTTGGATTGACTGATTACAGCTGACAGTTACTAATTATATGTCACTCTAGAACGACAGACTATCGGTAAACCTGTGTAGCTTTACATACATTGTGCGGGTCAAACTATCGCGGCTAGCCTTCCATTGACGGGCTTTTTTGGCTAGACGTTGTCATCAACGGCCCGGTGTCGCGCATCAAACCTAATAGCTGATTGGAGACAAGATCGGCACGTCAAACAGATACTGAGGAAGGTCTTAAATATTGACATGTCAATACGACGATCCGGGTCTCTCTCCGAATGAACCACAGCTTCGTTTATGACCGTGCCATCCTGGTTTTCCATGTCTTGTTACCATTTCATGCCGCCTATTGAGCTCATCTACCTGTAGAAGATGAATCAGAGCTTTTGGGGTCTAAGAATCACACTGATTTTTATTAATTAACCTCTCGACTAATAGAAGTGTGGCTCGAGGAATTTCATTCCATTCACACCATTTCTCCATTTCTTTGCACCGCGTTCGTGCAAATAAATACGCACAACAGCTATTGGTTTTTAGTTTATGAGAAAGAGAACTTAGGAAGTCTACTATTTGCATTCATAATATCTGATGCAAGGGAATGGGATTTCGGCACTATCTAAGCAAGGGGGAACCCTCGACCTCTGACAGGGGCGCTCGTCGTAGAGCTCACGTGGTCGCAAGTATAATTAACGAGGGCCCAAATAAGCAAGTCTAAGCTCAGATGGCGACAGCGGAGGGTTAATCCAGCCGCCGTTATTATAGTGCATTCGATAACAAAGAAGGCTCACATATTGAAGAATATCTTTTTTGATTTTTCATGCTTTCTAATGGGTGCCATGCTTCTACAAATATGCGATTCTGAATCCTGGCATAATAGGTTATCTACACCAATCAACTAACATGGTCTTCCAGTACAAAAAGAGGCGTAAGTCGCAAGACTCGACTGCATTTCAAGCGAGTCAGTTCAATAAACATTGAAGCTACATCAAACCGGCAAACCTTGGCTGCAAATAACGGCCCGATCAGGTGGAGCGAACTTGCAACGCTAATGGCGACGGCAGGTCTGTTCCTTTCCATGGCGTCGATGGCGGGGCGGCTGGGGAAGCCCCAAACTCGTTGTGTCGCGGAGATGAGGTCCAGACAAATCCAGATGAATCTGGGGAATGGAATACGGGGTCGCTCGTGGGTCATTAGACTCTTTCATATGTGTTAAAACTACAGCGCTTCACTCAGCGGTCATGTGAGCTTCAATATAGGCTGGCTAGACAGACCTGTTTCTCCATTTTCAGAGATACCCCGAGTACGTCGTAAAAGTCGGATGCTTCAGAGAGATTGATGAAGCCACTTTACATCCGAACACCCGTTCTTAACCAAGTCGTTAGGACATGTTCAAACATCTCCGCAATCCAGCCCGGTCAGGGGGTTCCCCGGTTCTGTCGCAACGATGGTGGAGGTAGTTGAGGCTTGAGGGACCTAAAAGAGCTCATCTCGAGATCAATCAGACAACCAGAGGCACGAAGCAAGCATGAAGCCGGGGCCATGACCGGAGACTAGTGTTGACGGCTCCCACATTCCTGGGAATGAATACCAGAACCGCATGCACCCAGGACATTTTGGCCAACCGTAGTGGTTGTTTTGCCACAGCAGACATTAGCCTTGTTCTATTGCTGTGCTTCGTCAACCACATTCTCGACCAAAATCCCGCGCATCTCACTCGACACTCTCAACGTGGCATTTTCAGAGCCAGACTAGGAGTTTACTCGGCCAAACCACTGACATGCCAAGTTAATGTCTCCCCGAAGGCGTCCCATCTCGATCTTCTAAACGGTTTCTAGAGTCTTACTGAGTTAGGAATAGACTCATCGGCAGTTGGTCACCTAAGCCGACTGATTGGACACACATGCCATCGGCGGGTCCGAGCACATCCGACAATGCAGTAGTAAGCTCATCTTGGCCTCCGCGCTTTGCTCCTTTCGTACCCCCCCACGCCATTTCTCGCTCGTGGGGTGTCGCCGCGAGAATCAGCGAGGAAATATGCGGCCGGTTGTACTGTGGGCGGGCTTGAGGACGGCCTTTTGTCCGTCGTGTGCTACTCATATTTCTGTCTCTTGGAACAGGCTTGTCCCAACGCCACCCCGGCCACACTATTTTGTCGATGGCAGCCCTTGACAGTTGAGAAGCTAGACAAGCCTAGTGCCATGCACCCGTCCCGTAGCATCGGTAGACGTGGTGTTGAACCCAACGCATCCCAGCCTAGACCTTGATCCTGGAAGCTATGTCAAACTTCAACGCTAAGATGCCGCTGAACATAGTCATGGTCCAATTTGTCGGATCTGAACCATGGGGAATATCTGGGGGTGGATGGTTGGGGCTCAACCAACTATTCCACATCCTGGCCTTCCCCCATGAGTGTTCATATCGCCGTTTGTTACTGAACGTGTTTTGATAAAAAGGGGGTCCTTTCCCCAGATATCCAGGGTCTCCTTTTTCTCATCATCCGAAGCTCGAGCAGGTCTTTACACTTTACGTTTTCGTGATCTGTCCAGCTGAGGAAGTATTCATACTTGACTTGATTTCATTCTCACTTCCATCAAAGATCGCCATTACATCGACCAAATACAATGGCAGGCGGCATCCCATCAGCAGCTCCCCAGCTGGCCGGCGGCTACCTCACTGGCCGAGCCCTCATCTTCCCCCTATCTCTCATCATCTCCCTCTTCTTCCTTTGGGGCTTCTCCTACGGCCTTCTCGATGTTCTCAACAAGCACTTCCAGACCGTCCTCAAGATCTCTCGCTTAGAATCCACCGGTCTTCAGGTCATGTACTTTGGCGGCGGCTACCTCCTTTTCTCCCCAGTAGCAGCAGAATGCCTCAAGCGCCGAGGCTACAAGCAGACCATCCTCATGGGCCTGTCACTCTACTCACTCGGCGCCATCCTTTTCTGGCCTGTCGCTCACGCTTCCACCACAACCACCAACACCCGCGCTGTCTTTGGTGGTTTCTGCGCCTGCACCCTCGTCATCGCCTGCGGTCTTGCAACCCTTGAGACGGCTGCCAACTCCTACGCCGTCGTCATCGGCAAGCCTGAGTCCGCCTCCGCTCGCCTTCAGTTCTGCCAGTCCTGGAACGGTGTTGCCTCCTTCATCGGACCTCTCATCGCATCCAAGTTCTTCTTTGAAGGCGAGAACGCAAATTCTCTTACCAACGTCCAATTCGTCTACCTTGCCGTCTCCTGCGCAGGCGCTGCTGTCGCCGTGCTCTTCTTCTTCGCACGTCTCCCTGAAGTCTCGGAGCAGACGATCGAGGAGTCTGGCGTTAGCGCGGATGCCGTCCCAGGTCAGCAGGTCGCCGGCCAGGGCCCCATCTACAAGCAATACAACCTCATCTTTGCCTTCCTCGCCCAGCTCTGCTATGTCGGTGCCCAAGTAACGATCGCCACCTTCTTCATCAACTACGCCAACGAGAACGGTGGATTTTCCACTAGCCAAGCCTCCAACATGCTCTCCTACGCCCTCATCACCTTTACAGTTGGCCGCTTCATCGCCACCGGCCTCGCGACCATCTTCCAGTCCGACTTCCTCCTGGTCATCTACTCGACCTGTGCCATCGCCCTGACGGCTTACGTTTGCGTTGGCAGGGGTACTCCGTCCGTTGGCGTCCTCATCGCCATCTTCTTCTTCGAGGCGCCTATGTACCCCACGATTTTCGCTCTCGGTACTGCGAACCTCGGTCGTCATACCCGTCGCGCTGCCGGTATCATGGTCATGGGTGTCTGTGGTGGAGCCATCTTTCCTCCCATCCAGGGCGCTATTGCTGACGCCATTGGCACCCGCATTTCCTACGTTGTGCCTCTTGTCGGATTTGTTTACGTCCTGGGCTACGTGACGCTGCACTGGTTCCGCCACGGCCGCCATGTCATGCGCGTCAAGGAGACGACTTACCCCGTCATCCAGACCGACCTCATCGGAGGTATTGCTACCGTTGAGGAGCCCGAGAAGAAGCACGTCGATGCCTGGGTTGAGCGTGTCTAAGCTGAATCAAGAAGTTTTGATGAGTTTACGAGTTGAAATATGATGTCTCTTTAGCTTTTTCTTTTTTGTCGTGCAGTCATGATTATTAGCCGGCGAGAAAACCTGGCGTTAGATCCCTATAATACCTAGTATAGGCAATAAACAAAACCATTTAGACCTTTCCGCTCCAAGTGGTCATTACCCCTTTTTGACGCCGAATAACTAATTGCTCGCTTGCCCCTCGCCCAGACTTTTCAGAAAGATCTCCTTTTCATAGTCGCGTTCAGACCTTCCAAACATTGTAGATTCTCGGGTGTTATTCTCGTCACCCTCACACCCCAAGAGCTTACGCCATCTTCGTTGTGGCTTCCAAGGTTTTATAACAGCAAAGCAAGCCCGGTCACAATGCCTACAGCCACCGCCACAGCGGCACATTCGTTTCCTAACCTGCCCGCGTCGCCCATGGCATTCGCGCTGAAGGCAAGCATCGGTTTTTGTGCGGCAACGCGGATGTCGAATGCCAAACTGTCCTTGTCCGGCGTGTACGTGGACTCGGTAAAGTTGCATGTGCCCATGATATAATCCATGTCTGTCTTCCAGTAAGCTTCACGCGTTTACAGCATCATCAAGATTTCTGCAAGATGTAACTCACCATTCGCCCGATTCCTTGACTGTCGGATGCAGCTTTGGCACATGCCAGCCAGCAGTTGCACATCAAAACTCTTATTCTTGCATATGCAATCCCTCTCCGCGTTCTCTCTGTCTTCTGCCAATTTCTGCTCTGGCTTTTTCTCCCCAGATCCTCCCCCTTGCGGGGGCGGCGGACTAGGGGCCTGCGATTGTTGGGCGGGCGGTTGTTGGAAAGGCAATGATATAGCAATTTGAGGGATAGAAATGGCAATTGAAGGAACGATTACGACCGGAGGAGGTATAGGAGGTGTGATTTGCGGGATCGGCGGGCTGGATGCTGCCGGTGCTGAAGGGGTCACAGCAGCGCTGGGCGTTGTGACATCGGGTTGGGCAGCGACTGGTGCTGGAGTAGACTGCTGCTGTGCATCGGGGGTTGGCGTCGTCTGCGCCGTTTCTGAAGGCGTCACTTGCGGATCCGGCGAAGGGGCGGCAAAAGGGAGCGTGGTGATGAACACTGGTGCTGCATCTTGCGCTGGCTGCTGCTGAACATCCTGCTGTGGTTGCTGTTGGACCTCCTCTCCATTTGCTGGAGCAGCTTGATCCGGTGCTGCTGAGGGTGTAGCATCCGTCTCTTGGTCCTCCTGTTGTTTACGGTGATGGCGGCGAGGTGTCAGAACCGGCTTGGCCCTCACTTGTCTCCTCGATGGCGGTACATTTTGACGAGGACTGTCGATGTTCCGTCTCTTTAGTCTTCTCAACTCGTCAAAAGAGTTGTCGACGTCGCATCGGAAGCTCAACTCGACTATCGGTCCACATATCGTCGCGCATTCGACCGGGACGTCGTCGATCTGTAATTCTCTCGCTTTCGCCAAGGCTGCCAGGCCTGCGATAACTAACGCTGAAGCATCTGTCCTCCTCATTTTCCTCCACAACAGTAAAAGATGTCCCTCAAGTATTACGTATTAGAAGAGAAAGATTCGGTGGTATCGTAAACACCGACAAGTTGGTCTACTATGTCACCCAACTTCAAGTGATCAAAAGAAAAGTCATGCACACATCGTCCAAAAGAAACCGGTCGACGGGGTCAAGAGCACAAACGGACGATCACTCCAAAGAATTACAGCTATATCAGATATTCCCTTGCTTGCTCTTGTGTCTTGTCCCTCCCATTGCAGCCATATGGTCTCGCACACACTTCGCCGCACAGGGGAGTAGATGAAACGAATTCTACTTTGAAAGAAGGTTAGACGGAAAGGCAAACCTTCCGTACCCAAAACACGAATGTGGGAATTTAGCAGGTGAGAAACAGGGAAGTGAGGCAGACCAACAGAGCAGAACGCCACAAGCAAGCTGCGAACTACATTCTGGGGAGGTTGGAAGCATGAAAGCCACACTCATGGAAACATTGGCAACACACACTTACACACAGCCAAGGACCACATTCAGTTAGAACGATTCGTTATGCTTGTTTCGGAAGGGAAAATCGTCGAAAAGGGTCTTGCGTCCCTGGCCGGGAGCCACTCATACCACACCAATCTGAACTCCAACGTGAGACTTTAGCGTGTCGGCTGGCCGCCATTGCGTGATGAAACGGCGAACAGACCGCTCCCATCTCTCCAATCGCATCGCATTGTGGCCGTGGGTTTGCTCTAGGGCCACTAATGAACTGGGATGCTCCTATTCGGAAACGGTTGTTAAGAGATGTTTGAATCATGAAGACTTTGGAGAATGGGGAGAGCAGGGAACAACATTCGGTACAGTTTGATGCGTTGAGCATCTGTCGTTCAGAGGCCTTGCTATCGCGAGGAGTTCAACGGCTCTTCATCGTGCTAGGGAGAGCACGGGGCTCGAAACGATCTTGGTCTGGGGATAATACCTGAGCTTCTAAATGTCCCGTTAGTGTTTGGCTAGTCGACGTTTGTCTGGTGATGCTATCAAAATTCACAAACAAAAAGCCACGTAGTAGAAGGCAAACTTGAGCAGGTCAACAAATGATATCCCAAATCTCGGAATGAAAAATCAGCAGCCCTCGGACGAACCTGGGAGCCGACTTTTACTGGTCCCTTGCTGGATAGGTTTACTCTAGGTCAGAGTATCTCATGTACTATGAAACTTGAGCCGAGAACGGATGAAAGAAAGCTCAGCAAACACCTGTGGGGGCCCGCAACGGTTCGCTGCGCCAAAATATGAGCTCTTCATATGCTAGCGGTCAATGCCTCCTCAGTTCCTAACTTTATTATGGTTTCCTCTGATTCTTGACTCAAGCATGTGGGATAATTCGAACAGTGTGTGTATGCCAAACTCCATGATTATGAATCCTCTTTGTTGTGTGGCTGTGCGCCATCGTCTCATGGACACCGCCTCGATGGCTATTACTTTGCATCGTGGTATATGACAGGAATATTATATCGAGAGAATAAGATGCGACAATAGATATACGCGACACGCGCTTAATTTCGCCCTTGCCTACCAACGCTTTCCACTCTGACGCCCAACTTTGCCATCTCGTCAGGGTCAATAACCCCTCGTCCGTCAAACACCCACCTCGGAACCTGCATGTGACTAGCAACTCTCTGCCAGTCGACTTTCTCCTTGGGTCGATACTCTTCGGTCCCCATTCCAGTGGAGAATCCTGAGACCTTGCTGTCTGTTTCTGCCTTGCAATCGGGACAATCCGGTGCACAATCCGGCTCTACTACGTAACGCTCTAGTGGATCATCTAAAGACGCCTGTCCGTTGCGCACGAGAAATTTGTGTAGGGCCAGCACATCAGACTGTCGGATCTCCAGGTTTTGGAAGGGACGCGGGTCGATATCCAGCCGTGAAGCTCCTGTTGTCCTACCGGGGGATGCAGTGCTCGGGGTAACCTTGTTACGGAACTCATCGAACTCGGTTGTGATGAGCACCGCTATGCTGTCGTGACAGGCTTCGTACGCATTCCCATAGACGACCAAGGGGCCCCCGTCTTCTCTCAGTGGCTTGAGCGAGCCGCAGAGCTGTCGGATCTCTTCTTGGATGACGAGAGGATTGCAGCACGGATCAAAGACGGCGATCTCTCGTGGCCCTTCCTCGAGGAGGGTACGTATGATCTCCAGCGCTGGTGCTTCTCTTGTGTCGGATGTGTTCTTCTTGAACGCGTAACCGAGCACGGTGACCTTTTTACCCGCCAAGGTATTGTTCAGACATTTTACTACGCGCTTGGTGAAGCGGTCCCGTTGGTACTCGTTCATCTTGACGACTTGTCTCCAGTACTCGCCGACCTCGGGAAGATCCAGTGACTCGGCGAGGTACACCAAGCTCAAGATGTCCTTCTTGAAGCAGCTTCCGCCAAAGCCGATACCGGCTTTGAGAAATTTGTCGCCTATGCGCGGGTCGCAGCCAACGGAGGCGGCTACTTCATCCACATCCGCGCCCGTTCGTTCGCAGATGGCGCTGATGGAGTTGATACTGCTGATCCGCTGCGCAAGCATCGAGTTCGCTACGAGTTTTGCGAGTTCGGAAGACCACACGTTGGTGGTTACTATGCGAGGACGAGGCACCCAGGCGGCGTACACTCTTGCGAGAGCCTCTGCAGCGCGCTTCCCGGAACTAGTCGTGTCTGAGCCAATGAGTACACGGTCCGGGTTGAGGAGGTCCTTGACGGCGGTGCCGGCCGCGAGGAATTCGGGGTTGGAGAGAATTTCAAAGTGAACTCCGGGTCGGTGAACCATGAGCTGTCGGATGTCAGTCAGCGTTTAGTCGCATTCATGAATGAGGTTGTGAACTTACCGTCTCGCGCACAAGGTTTGCAGCTCGGCATGGCACAGTTGACTTCTCAACCACGATGGCACCTGGTCGCGCATGTCTTGCGACCTCTGCAGTGACGGCCTCGAAGGCGGTCATGTCCGTCGCGCTGCCCGCTCCATGACCCCTGGTTTTCGTTGGTGTGTTTACGGCGATCAGGATGACGTCCGCCTCCGATATGCACTTTGAAACCTGCGTTGAGAAGAAGAGATTTGGTTCTCTGTCGGGGATCCTGATGGTTCCTTCGTCACACTGGCTCCCACACTCAGATGTGGCGGAAGACCGTTCCGACATGGCCGTATGTCTCATCTTCATAGGTTCACTGGGAAACGCGCACTCCTTTGCACCGTCTCTCGCGACCCGTACAATATCTCGGAGTCCAGGCTCGTAGATTGGGGGATGCTTGGAGTTCCATCGACGGATGCGCCGCTCGTCTCTGTCGACGATGGTGACGCGAATATGCGGATTTTGAAAGGCAATGACTGCAGCGGTAGGTCCGCCTATTGAAAGTGAGTTAGTTTGCGACTACGGTTCATTCCCTTCTGGTGATCTTACCGACGTAACCCGCGCCAACGCAACAAATGTTGCGGACTGGAATCGGCCTGCTGCTTAGATCGGTTTGGCTACTGGCTTCACCATCGCTTGCCAATCCCGTGAACTTGTCCTCATCGAGGCTCTCCGTGTCGCCGTACTCAACTTCATGAGAGTACTTCAACACAGGACTGAAAGAGCAGCTTCCATCCGGAGTCGTAGGCACCGTTGAGGGCTCGCGAAATGTGTTCTCCTCTGAACCATCCACCGATGCAAAAGTCACGTAGCCTTCCGCCATGGCTACAACCTCTTGGCCTGTGTCGAACAGACTAGCGATGAGATCTTCGTGGGAGACCTGGAACCGCCTGTGCGAGAGACAGAACTGGGTAAATTTGACGTGGCTTCTGCGGCACGAGACTTGGCCAAGTAGTAAGTGCTGTCTAGGGATGACGAGGTGAGTATAATGTAATGTGTCTGTAGTTTACCAAGCTGGTGAAACGCAGCGGTAAAGACTATCGCGGCGAATGAATGGCCTTTATTAACGACAGCGACTCTGATAATCGAGTCATGCAGCTAGAAGATGAGTTTGCAGAGCTTCGCGTCTTTGAGATCGTGCGCGTAATGGGAGGGGCTGTTAGATTGCTTTCTCAGAATGGGGTGCGGGCGGAGACAAGCAAGCGCAACCATGTAATGATGCTAGTTTGGCGATTGATGTGAGGAATTGGGTTTGAAAGTGGATAGGATCACAAATAAAAGGCTAAAGGTATCAGGCGGACAGACTTCTTGAAGAGACCTGTCTATTATGATAGACCTGAGAACGTGATGAGTTGAGATGCCGATGACGCCCTTTTTCTGGGCGCAGACGTGATAAGTAGCAAATCGTGAGGCTGGCAGTCGGAATTCCAAACGCTGCGGCCGCTCGTCTCCGGATTTAACCCTCCAAATTTCATCAGGCATAGTTAGTTTGCTCCTTTCTCTGCTACTACTCCCGAATCAAGGTGGATGGGGACGCTACAAGTCAGTTCATAGTCGTCGGCCGACGTCGGTACCGCCAACTCAGCCCGTCACGTTGCCCCTCATCGCAATGCCCCTCCAACAAGACCCTCTTGGCGCGAGAATCATGAGGAGGGGCGATTCGCGGCTAAGCGCTCCGGTAAACGAAGCCTTATCGGTATAACCATTGTGGGTGGTCGGGGGTCGAGGCCGGCGACCAACGGCACCCAACCGGCAAGGCCACGGGCATCCAAGTCCGGGCTACTATTCGCCGTCCCAAAATCCCCAGCTCCCCAGCACATAATCGAGACGGTCATGCGGTCGGTGCTGTTGAGGTTGCAAACTTACAAGTCATGTATTCTGTTGCAGCCGTTCGTCTGAATCGATTGGCTCTCATCCACCAGAGGGGCAATGTGCCGCCATTCGCGTCTCTCATTGGCTGTTGGTTGAATGCATTTTTTTATTATTCCGGCCACCACAGCGGACTTACAGATGCAAAAGAAACTCAAAAGATGGGAAACGTGGTGCGTGAATTGTTGTGTTTTGATGAAATGAACGGGGAGCTCATGACTATGGCAGCCCACCCTAAGGGCACGAGGAGACCGGTCATGGTCGTGATGATGGTAATGATGATGAGAATCATGGCTTTTGTGATGTGAGATGAGAATGAGAGGCAGCTTACTGAGGTCATTCCGGGGCCTCTGTGACAGGGTATCAGAGGTGCTACAACATCTAGAAAGCCATCAATGTAGTGTTCGGTACAACTGTGACAAATACACCATGATTCGAGACCACTTTTGTCCTTCATTCTTGACGCAGTTTGCAATATTTCTAAAGTGTCTCTCAAGATTACCAACTTGGTCGACATTCCCGCCACACGACCGGCCAGAAAAGCACTTACAGGAGGTACCTTGCAGCCCAAAATTGGCTTCTGGACCCTGCAGTGATGCGCCATACTCGCCTTGCCTTAGCGGCTGGATTGCCCCGCCCCCACTACAGCTTCAGTGAGCCATCGAAGCTCCCCATGTGCCCAAGGTAGATACATCGACAGGCTCTCGTGAGGAGGGGAGCATCTGTACGATGGTGCGCCATTGTCGCTGCCCATGACTCTTTGTGGCGCTCAAGCTAGTACTAGACCGTCTGTTGGCTTCTTTTCCCTTTGTGATCTGGAAATCTTCGCCATGCCCTGCGCAGATATCATGAAGCCAAGCGCCCCCCCGGGTCGGGTTCCTGGTGTCCGAAGAACGCCATCCCTTCATCTGTAAGCCCAGAAACTCGGTTTGATACGCTGTTCCCTGAATTCTTCAGCGGGAACACTCGAGACATTTTAGGTGCGTTTTGGGAGTCGAAGTTCATTGTAAGAAAATTCTACAGCTCTGCTGCTGGTCGCATCGTCGCCATGGAACAACAACCTCTTCTGCCGAGGAGCTACGGCACTTTGCCTCGATATCCATCCCATGACAACTCCATATTTCCATCTTCGCTCCAGGGAAAGCGCATTTTGCTCTGTACGGAATCATTTGGTCCCGTCAACGGCGTCAGCAGGACGACCTTGATGCTGGTCGAGCATCTGCGATCGCACGGCGCACTCGTCGCCGTTGTCGCGCCGCACAACCACACCAAACACAACACATTCTCCCCGTCAGCAAAAGCCGATGACCAGCTAGAAGTGCGCCTCCAAGGCTACCCTCTTCCCTTCAACCCGGAGCTCTCGGTCGTCTACCCGGTGCGCGTGTCCGCCCTCTTCGCGAGGACTTTCGGATCAGACACGCCTCCCGACCTTATCTACCTGGCCTCGCCGGCGTCTCTCGGCTTCCAAGTGATGCTGCAGCTACAGCAGCAGCCGAGGGAGAAACGCGTGCCGGTTATCTGCAACTTTCAGACCGATCTGGCGGGCTACTGTGCGATCCTCTTCCCCCATCCCTTCAGCACAATGGCCGTCTTCGCGTTTGCCATGGTCCAAAGCTTCCTGTTCCGCCACGACTCCGTCAAGACCGTCTTCTACCCGTCGCGCTTCGTGCGCAGATATCTCGAGGCGCAGGGCGTACAAGGCGCCAAGATGGAGGTTCTGCGGCGAGGCGTAAAGACAGAGCTGTTCAGGCCGGAGATGCGCAGTGAGGAGCTACGGAAACAGATCGCCCCCAACGGCGAAATCATCCTAATATGCGTCTCCAGAGTAGCTGGCGAAAAAGGGTTCGATTTCTTGGCTAAGGCCGTCAAAGAGATGGACGGCAGGGGGTTGCGCTTCAAACTCTACGTCGTCGGCGGGAACCGCAACCCGGATGTTGAAAGGGAGGTCCACGAGATGTTCGATCCTCTGAGAGCACAGGGCAAAGTCATCTTTGCGGGATTCAAGACCGGCGACGATCTCGCGACGGCGTATGCGTCGGGAGACATCTTTCTTCATTGCTCAATTACCGAGACTTTCGGACTTGTCGTCCTGGAATCGATGGCCAGTGGTGTCCCCGTCGTTGCGCGAGACGAGGGCGGCCCGAGCGACATCATTGACGACGGCCGCTGCGGATACCTTGTTCCGCCGGATGACCTCGAGTGTTTCGTCGACAAGGTCATGTATCTCGCCAAGGACAGAGACAGCAGGGAAGCAATGGCCGTGCAGGCCAGAGCGATGGCTTGTGAGGCAACTTGGGAGAAGATCAACAACCAAGTGGCCTGGCGGATGGCCGACACGATTGAAGAGCGGGAGCGCGAGAAGGCCCAGTTGATCCATCAGCGGTCGTCCATCGCCATGCAAGCAAGCCGGCTGGTGCCCATGTACAGCTGGCTCCTCATGAACAGCGCAGTGAGGGATGTTCTTGTTGGGAGAATCGTGGATGCGAAGCTGGCCGGCGGGTTCTCTGTTGTCATGGTTTTCTGGTGCTTCACCGGCATGTACTTGGCCTTCACCGAGGCGGCGCTGTGGTTCAAGGGTAAGCTGCCGCGACTGTGGGGGCACAGAACAGCATGACTGGGTTTGGGTGACACTTTACGATATTCGGCGTACCTCCTTGGGGTTTATGGCATGTTTGGTATGGGAGCTTGTTGTTTGTCTTGGTGTTTGGGAGCAAGGGATAGCATCTGAATGGAGACCTCCATAGCGACGGCCCCTCGTGGTCGGTTCGATTTTCAAAGTCTAAACGATAATTTCAACAACGTTCAATGCGTGGTTCTTTCAGTCACCATTCACGATGCACGACAAAGTAAAGGTTGCCGTATATCGAAATATGAGGCATAAACGACTGAGACATGTTGCGAACTCGCCCTGCCAATCTGCTCCTATCCTTGGCGCCTTTGTGTTTAAGTCTGTTTTCGTGTTTAAGTGGCCGCGCAGTTCAGTCGGTACATGTACGGTGTTAATACGCTGAGCGAATCCCATGCTCCAAGATACAAACCAGCCCCTAGAAGCTGCGTATCAATAATCATAATCCATTACCGTTGAGATTAAGACGCCTTCAACATTGAATGTTCAATTCGACAATGCGAAGAGGCATTCTTTGTCGTAGTAGCGGCCACCGTCATAGCTTAGCCGAAATAGTATTGATCTGATTCCACGAAGTCCGACGTAACGCTCCGAGCCTGAAGACTTAGATGTTGGAGATAAGCTATCCTTCTCCATGTAAGAGACATTATAATCTACGGAATTCAAAGGGTATGTAACGCTCGACGAAGATGCAGCGGCAAAGCCAGCTCCAAGAAACCCACACGCTATTTGTGTCCTTGTAACAATGGCAGCGGTGGTCGTTGCCATGCCAGATCAACCACCTTCTCCTCTCTCGCCGATAGTAGCGTGCTCTTGTTCAGTACTCTCGCAAGAAGCTTTACACCGGTTTCCAACGCGGTATTATACATTTCAAATGAAAAAAATAAAAGCCTTGGAAGTTTTGGGTTGACAAGAAGCCGGATGTGTCATCTACCTGGTTAGGATATCCCTATGGACCATATAGCCTGTCCTATCAATGCTTTCTGGTAGCTAGATTCAGAATTCACAATGAAAGAGGGACCCTCGCGGCATCATCGAGCCCAGCAGTCGATTTGTGGCATGTCTGTCGTCGATGTGGACACGGATTGGATATGTTTAGGAAATGATACAATAGGAAAGCAACCAGAAAGCGTATGAAGACTTGAAGTTATCGCGTTTCTGAAGATGATTGTTCTGTGAAGTAGAAAGCATCGAGATGCACACTAACTGACCAACATAAGGTACCCAAGAAGACGGCAGTTACACGGACAGACTGGATTAACAAACTGCCAAAATCATGAGCCAGTAGGGCAGATCTCTAGATATGACTTCAACCCTTGTTTCGCCAGTGCAGAGAGCGTCCCACTAGAGGAAAATCGACATCGAACCAGCCATTGATGGCTTGTTGCTTAAAAAGAATTTCGCTCAAAGCTTAAAAGTCAACGGACATATCAGCAAGCGGGATGAGAAGCATTGTGGATCGATGGTGCTGAGAATATGTATGTTTCGACGAGTGTTGCAACCGCTTCTTCATGCTGATTTGTAATGTCGTAGTAAAGATGATTTAGCTGGCCAGTAAGTTGCCAAGGCATCATCACAAATACATCACTTTATGCTTCATGAACATCTATCGCGTAGTTTTTCATCCGCATAGCACCCAAGTTTGTTGTGCTTACTTGGGTTGTTTATACGCGCAAAAGTATTTGACGTGTCAAACCCTCGTTGAAGGGTGATGTGCTCAGTTACGCCATTTTTGTATGGTCAAACCACTCATGACAACTGTTCAGTTATCTTTGAGAGTCACTGCGGATGGGATTGTATCAATAGCTTAGTCCTAACATCCGTATAAGAAAGCTACCAAATCACAGTGCACACATGGTATGGTCTACAAATACTGCTCAGAAGAACACATGTTCAGAGCTCAGCTTAGGCGACGACCAGCACTTTATCAAGTTCTCCGCTTGGCAACTCCAATTCAACAACATAAGCCACAAAATACCTCGATGAAAGTGCCAACTACTTGCGGTGCCGCCGTCACATCATCGGCGCTTGCCGTGACAGCCAGTCTCGCTTGGCGGCCGCGTCATTGCGAAATTCGTGAGACGCCGCAACCCAACGGCGTTATAGAGCGTGGTAATAGAGGGCGCCATCTTATTACGCCAAATATCGGTCCTCAGTCAGGGAGGCGGCGGCGGAAGACAGGAGGGCCGCGTTTGGATCAAGTTCACGAGCCAGCTGGGATCCCGAAACAGGTCGCACCAAGCGGACCCAGGCGTGTGTGACGATGTTTCGGGCGCCGGTCAAGGAGAAATGTGGCCGTTGGTCAAGAAGACCGGCGTTGCTTTTTTCCCTTTTGAGGGCGTCGTGGAAAAGGCACAAACTGCGCATGTCGGGACTGGGAAGACGTTTGGTACAAGACCTGCAGATATGTAAAGTGATCACTGGGGACGTCGCTGATTAGAGTCGGTGGTCAAGTTATTGATGAGCATGCCCCCCCCCCCCCCAATGGATGATACCCATAAATGAGGCAGCAAAGACAGGGCTGCATCTTGGGTGAGGAGCCACGTTCAAGGAGCGTCCTCCAATGGAGGCAGAGACTGGGGGGGATGCAAAATTGTGAACTGGGAAGACCAGGTTCAGACGAGAGCAGGCCAAGCTTTTGGTGACAGGAGGCTAAAAAAGGAGGCAGGGATACTGGAAGAATGGATAAAAATATGAAACGCCAGGATGAGGAAAAGGGTTGATGATGGGGGAAGATGACGAGGTGTGGCTTGTGTTGGAGGAGGATGCTTATGTAACGATTGGAAAGGGTGGTAGTGTGGCGGTGTCACCGCTGGAAAATGTGGCTGGTGCAAAAAGCAGTGCCCGCTTATGTAAGAAAATCTTACATTTGCCTCCGGACACCGGTTTATCCGAGGCGCCTCGGAAGAACCCGAATGAGAGAGGGTCTCTACGTGACCAATCGATCCACTCACAGAGCGTCAGGGCGCAAATAGTGGATCACTTCTGCAACATGGGCTTCCTAGCAGATGCCGCCCAACCATCTGTTCTGGCCCAGGCACAGCCGAATGATGAAAAGCTGCAGCTGCATGGGCTACCCGGTGCCCACCCCCTGGCCGTGTCCGTTTCACCTGAGACAAGGGCCGCTGGCTGCAGTTGCCGCGCGCGGCAGAGCAAGGAAGGTCGGTGAGTGGCACTGGATGAGAGAATGTTTTGATTGAGTCCTCGGTGGTTTGTCCGTCTTCAAGTGTGGTGAGCGTGATGATGCGGCCATTTCGAAGGGCGATGGGTTGATGGTGTTGAGAGACGAGAGTATGCGTTGTCGGCCAAGATGCTCATGGCTTTACCTACAATTAACTATAGGCTGTACATAGTATGCTCATACAGTGTCATAATGAATACTAGTAGGATACTCATCTCATCCATCGCTGTACCGTCATTGGCGGATCGGATTACTGTGCGCCTCAAAACCTAAAACCGGTGGTTCTTAGCGCCGACATTTACCATGTAGAGGTTCTCCTCCGTTGTGGTAATTACTCCTGATCTGGATCTGGTACTTGCTTTCTTTTTCCTTCTTTCCGATGGATTCGCATCCGTTTGTTGTTTTTATTTATTTTAGCCTAAACATTTCTTCTCTTTTATCGATCTTGACAGGTTTGGTACGGTTCTTGTGCTTGGCATAATTCAGGTACTTGGCTCAATACACTATTTTGTGTGACGGAAGATGTATCTCTACCCCTGAACCGAAGACCCACTCCTGAGACCCCACAGTGTCCACTCTCAAAATCCATCTCCCAATCAGATCCCCCATATAGCCAGAAACTGCTACAATCCCCGACCCGGCCCCGTCCTCGAACGACGCTTGTTCCACCTCCAGTCGATCCGACAATGCCATGGGCTGGTTGATAGTTAGGCTCCCGAGGCTCAGCCTGTGGGTCACGGAGGTACGTATCTCTTGGCCGATAAGGATACCGCGGCTGAGAATGCCCCATCTTCTTACGGCCAGTCCGTTCATGATTTTGTGCTTTACTCCGTTCATAGTACTGGATGGACGGAGGGCTCCATGACCGTTTCTCCTCTTTTTCTCTTCCTTTTTTCTTTTCATCACATTTAGTCTGCCACTCATATCTTCGTATCCCTCCACTATATCCGCAATACTCTGTCATTGGCGTCAACCCTGCCGAGTCCCGTGTTCTTGGGCTGGGCACCTAGACACAACAGCTTCGGTGCCAAATTTCATCCATCAAATACGGATACACAGTTAATTTAATCCCACATCTCGTCCCCTTTTGGGTCTTCATGCTTATTCCTTCCCTAACATACGGTAAGCTAATTCTATTTTGGTCTAGACTACTTTTCCCCGGCTAACCTTACCTTGACTTACCCTCAGATGCGCAGGGGTCTCCATCCCTTCCCGTCCCCCCACCACCGAAGCCGCCTCTTCCCCCTGATCTGCTTTCCTCGTGGCCTTTCCACGCCAACTTTGGCTGCCATCGTCCACTTTGATTCTTCTTCTGCTGTGCTCCCAAATCTACTACACAGTGGTGTTCTCTCTCTTCAGCACATGCTGCTAGTATACTCTCGTCCGCCCACATTCCCACCCCCGTCTTCCGTCTTATCCCTACCGTATCCAACCCACCAAGTGAGTTCGCCCCCCATCTTTCTGATATTTGTTACTGTATGCCACCCTGTTCGCTCGTTCCTCTGCCCGTTTCCAGGTTTCCAGTTTCCAGTTTCCACCGTCCCTGCGCGTCTCTCGTTGCATTTCCCGTCTCACAAAACCACAGACCACAAACCCAGTCACCAATCCCATCCACTCACCTCGCAAGCACAACCACACGGTTAACGGCTCCTCAAAGCCTCTCTTGGGTACCTCTTTCGACACTGCCTGGTCCTAACTACGTAGTACGGATACGTAGTCTAGTGCCTTTTCCCACTTGGCCTCCCCTCCCTGCCCGTCTAGTCACATCACGCTTCAGATCCTCCCGGACCCCCGTTATCCTCATCCTGGCCCTGTCCAGCTAACCACCCCGCCACTCGTTTGAGTCTCTTCAGTCGCTATACGGAGATACACCACCCATTCATCCATAGTTTCTCACACGCTACGGATACGTTCTCTCTCTGTCCAAGGACGGCCTTCCTCTTCATCTTCCCCCCAAGCCACATCTCTCTCTGTGTGAATCCTTCTTCGACAACCCCTCCCCCTCGGCAATTCAACCCCCCTCAGCCCTGTTGTGGATCGTAACGTGTCAGGCCATTGCTCGTCTTCTCTGGCACCGTGAGGTCGTTGCATGACACAATTCCTCCCACACGTCTCCTGTTTGTCAAAGGCCCAGCCCTGCAGTGCCCTGCCCGTTTATCGACGTTTAATCTCCGCCCTTATTGCATCCTCGCCACCCATTCCACTTCATCCTTCTCTGTTCCTGCGCCTTTCCGAGTCGAGTCGAACGTGATTATCGCGCGACCAACCCGAGTACAGCTAGCCAGCAATTTACCGCAATCCTCCCTTCTCACGGGCAGGTCCCTTTTTTTAGTCTCTTCACTTCTTTCTTACCATCCTCGCTGTCGGACTCCGCGCCCTTTCTTTTCGAATCTCGGCTCCCTTCGACTTGACGACGACGTCTTTTCGTCCTGACGACTCACTTCGATTCAATCGTTTAACGATCAGCCTGGCAAACCCGCCGCCACTCTTCAAATCTCACGTCCAACCGATCGGATCCGCTCATCTGGACAGGCGAGGAGGTGGACTCGACTTTCGCTCTTTAGTAGCTTACGTCTTTTTTTCAATTCGCTTCGCTTCGCCGCCGGCCGGGACCCGACTTTGTAATTAGACCTTGGCGACGCCATACCAACATCAGCAATCCGCTCCACCTTTACTCGGCCCCGAATCCCGTCATCAATTAATACGATTAACCGCCATCATCGATCAGAGGCCGTCGCCCGCTATCTAAGCTTACTTTTTGTTGCTGTTGTTATTCGCCAACCAAAAACCACCACCCCTCCCCCCATATTTCCGCGAGATCGAAGAAGATAGACGAATAACGATGTTCTGGAAGGTGGCCGTAACAACCGCGGCGCTGGCCTCGAGCGCTTGCGCCGAGATCCGCCCGATGGCCATGGACCCTTCGATCGAGGTCAGGGCCGTTGATGTGCTGGAACGGAGCTACGAGGATATTGCGAACCGGTATATCGAAAAGCGCCAGAGCATGGACGTGAACGCCGAATGGGTTCCCACCAAGCCCGAGGTCAAGCTGAACGCCGACGGCTCCATCAACATGACTGCGTGGGAGGCCGAAACCTCTGCCGCCTGCACCGCGGCGCTCTCGCATCTCGACGCCGCCTCGAACCCCTCTGGAACTTGCATCTGCTACAACCTGCCGAGTCTCGACACCAAGACCGGCGTTTTCGAGGCCGACCTGCGCCTGTTCAAGGTCTCCGAGCCCAGCGGCGCCTTCTCCGGTATCCCACCGCAAAACATCCAGGTCGGACTCTCCTTTAACGGAGCCTCTGTGTCGCCAGTCAGCGCGAGCCGTATCGGCAACGCCCGCCGCGACAACAACAACATGGCCCGTGATATGACCTTTGAGGTCTCTTGGGGCGGACTGGAGAAGCGTGTCGTCACCCCCCAGGCTCTGCAGACCTACCTCTTTGTCGGTCAGATTGACCAGACCAGAATGGTGGCTCCCATGTCCATGTTGGTCTCCCTCGAGTTGATTTTCTTTGTTGTTTATAATATTTTCATATATTATTTATTGTTTTTTTATTTTGGTCTCAAATTCAGTCACTAACAAAAACACAGGTCTCAACTCGAAGCTCTCGTCATGCCCACGCTCACTCTCACCGGCATCAACGCCGTCGGCCAAACCGTCAACACGAACGTGTCTGCCAACGAGGCCTCCTTCGTTACCGGCGTCTTCTCCAAGGAAATCGTCCGATCCGACCTCGCCATGGCCCAGGCCGCCGTCGATGACATGGTCGCCGGCCTCAAGAACGGCACCGTCGCCTTCGTCCTCCCCGGCACCCAGCTCATGATCTTCCCCGTCGGTCTCGTCGTCACCGGCACCTGGCTCCTCATCGGAGTTGCATTCTACGGATTCGGCACCTACGAGCGCATCGGCTACGCGGAGAGCTACAGGAGGAGACGCGCTGTCGCTGGCGACACGGCCAAGCGCATATAAAGGAGCTCTCCGTCACGGCTGAAGTCTTCCGAGAGAGTGTGTGTGTGCGATGAAAAAAGAAGGAGGAGGAGGAGGAGGATGAAATCAGCAGTCAAGAGGATGTGGTGAAGGAGGCCCGGGTTTGTAAGATTTGGGACAATTAACTCAATATTTTGCGGCCCTCTCGTGGTAGTTGGAGACCATCAGCATCAAGCAGCAGCGTCAAATTACTCTTTATTTTTTTTCCACATTATTTTTTTTATATTTCATTCTCAACTTTTTTTTTAAAAATTCCCTTCACTAATCGTTGGGAATCGTCTCCTCCCCCGTCCCCTATATCGTAAATAGTTGGATGTTATTAGTTCGCCATAGAAACAATATCCACAATCAAGTGAAGGCTGCTTCCGCCTGTTTCTCGTAGAATCCTATTACAGTGCGTCTTCAAATTGCCCTTATTGTTTTTATTTTTTTATATTATCCCATCATATAGACCTTGGCTACGTTTTGGGAGGTAGTCTGGTCTGCGGCTGTTGTGCGACATGTTACAGTTTGGGGATAGTTTCAGCTTTTGGGGTGGAGGAGGGGATGCCGACAAATACTACGCTGCGGCCGATCCGTCGAATGCCTGCCTCCACCCACATCGACGGGGTTCGCGCTTAGCCACATGTGGCTCACCAGGGGTATAGCTCGAGGTTAAATGGCAACACAATTTGTCTTTGAGGGGAGGTGATTGGCTGGTTGAGCAGGGACTGGCTGGGCATTTCAGGCACACGGCTGACGGTTCCTGATGGGCATGACTTGTTGTTTGGTCTCTGGCTTGATATTTGGGGTATTTTCACAATTGGCCTGTAGAATTTACAGTAAATTCCATACTAGACGAGTAAAATAGTATCGATTGGTGTAAGCGCTCGACATTTACCTACTAGTACCTCAAACCCCCGAGCTGGCGCAATCACGGAAGAGTCGGGACAGAATGCCGGCGATCCCGTGCAATACACCAAAGAGCTGTCCGCTGCGGCGGCTATCCTGTCGGATATCGAACGAAAGACGCTAGAGTCTAACGTTTGTTCCGTCTTTGCGAGCACTAGTAGATAGAGCTTTAGGTTGCATCGAATCTCTCATCGCAGTATAGGCCAAACTATCGAGGACACCACGTCGGCCACGACCTGCCAGTTTGGCTCCGATGTGGTGGGCTAATAAGGCGAAAAGAGTGTCAAGCTCTAGCTTTGTAGGCTGATGTCCGTCTGGGAGGCCACGGTATTGGTTGGCGTCGTGTTCGGTTTAACGGACTGTCGGGTTTACGGCGTGAGTAGGATGGAGGGGTGTTTGGGATGCTTATTGGGACGGTGGAAAGCTTGTGTATGGCTGTTTGGAGGTGTGGGCTAAGGTTGTGTGAGATTTCTCGGTTTTCCAGGGTCTTGAATAAGCGATTCGGCCACGGGTTGGTGTGGCTTGATGTAAACGGGTTAGAGGCGGTTGCCGCGTGAAGGCTCCTTTTTTGATGAAGGGCATACACGCGATGCGTCTACTTCCACATTTGTAGGTGAATCTATCTCCTTGAGAGAAAGTTCCATTAACCATCGACGGGATGGGCAGTGATTGAGTTCTAGTACTACCAGACCCTCGCAATCCAGGTGTAGACTACATGACTTATCACAGCAAGTACCTGCAAACTTGTAGATGTAGATGCCCTTATGAAAGCTGTTTGATACCACAAAAATCATCAGACGCCGTCCAGGATGCTATTCCAGGACTGAACACGTGACGTTGCCGTGCCTGGCGTCACTATCGCCAAAACGAGAAGCTTTCAGGATTCAGTGAGTATCAATCTCGTGTTGAATATCATACTTGAGTCATTTATTTTCGAAAGAGCTTGTTGAACTCTGTTCATTAAGGTGCATTTATGCCATCTAAGCGATTTACTGTGAATTCAATACTAATGTCTTTACAAAGGCTCTCATCCCTCAACTCTGAATTCTCCGCCGTATCACTTAATTTGATGCTTAGCTATATTCACATCAGACTGTAAGTAACCTCAGCTAATATCATTGATACATCAAGTCCGCAACAAAAGGCAGCTGTGAAGCTAAGCTGTATACTGCTTCGGGCACAAGAGCGGAAGATGTTCACTGAAGCGGGCGGAGCCCGTAATTCCTTCTCTGTCCCCACTCCAATGGCTCTCTTCAACTTGGTAAAAATCTCGGGCTTATTTGTGGGAAGCTAGCTTTACAGGCCTTATATGCAGGTAGTCTGTTGAGCCAGACATTTCCTGATTAATGATCATGATCTATCGAGGCTATTTGTGCGAGAAAACCTTCAACAAGTGTCAATATAGCATAGTAGCCATGTGACCTATTCTCATCTGATTCGTCATCTGCCTACTACTGCGTTTACGTAGGTCTAAATATGCGGCAGGTGATTTGAGGCGAGCTGGGTAAGCAGTACTTTGGGTTAGTTGCTTGTCAGCCACATTACTGTGTCTCAGTTCTGGCGGAAGTCAGGACTTGGGTAGCTGAAGATAAGGTTCTGACCACCTATATCTTCTTCCAATCAGGATACAATTCAGTCACGTTAGTCACGAAAAGCGCATAAGTCACGGCTTAGTAAAAGTCTGATTCTAAGTGGAATGATGCAAAGTCAGTCAAAGGTTTATCATTAGAGGCATCAAGAGAGAATCATTTTCAAGGTGTAACGATCAATTTTATTCAAGTCATGACTAAACTATCGTTCTTCGACGCAAAGACAACCATTCATCACTAAAAAAGAATCCACTGGCCACAGGTATACCTGCCATCTTGCTTGCTAACGCTCATCTTCCCACCAAGTCCTGATTTTAGAAAGATTCACATCATCCAGGTAATACCTTGCCGACGGCCGTAAAAACTATCAGTCTAAGACCTGACGAGGGTGAGGCCGTAGGTAGACAGAATCTCGTTGACGGGCTGGAAGTAGGTGGTGCCGCCAGATCTGCAGTTGCCAGAGCCTCCGGAGGTGACACCCTGGGCCTGAGCACCAGAGTAGAAAGAACCACCAGAGTCACCGGGCTCGGCGCAGACACTGGTGCGGGTGAGACCAGTGACACGTCCCTCGGCGTAGTTGACAGTGGCGGAGAAGGCACCGACGGTACCGCAGTAGACACCGGTGGTGGAGCCGGAGCGGCAGATGCTAGCTCCGACGGCAGCGACGGTGCTGCCGGAGACGGGGAGGTTGCCACGTCCGTAGCCGTTGATGTAGCCCCTGAGGACGGTGCCGCTGACGGTGCGGACGAAGGCCATGTCGGCGCTGCCGGGAAAGACAGAGCCAGAGAAGGAGCCAAGAGCGGCACCGGCGCTGGTGGTGGCGGAGTTGCCGACGCTACCGCAGTGGCCAGCGGTAACGAAACCGGTGGTGACGGCGAAGCCGATGGAGCAGCGGCCGGCACGGTTGATGTAGTAAGCGTCACCGCCGACGACGGTGGCCAGGGTGGAGGGCAGCGAGTCGACGGTTCGCACCTCGAACTCGGAAGCGACGAGACCGACCTTGGCGGCCAGAGCCTCGGCGTGGGCGGTGCTGCCGGGGAGAGCCTCGAGGATGAGCTTGTTGGAGGCAACGTCGACGAAGTACGAGGCGATGCCAGAGTCGGCGGAGGTGGTGTCGCGGGCAGCGGGCTGGTCGATGTCAATGTTGTCAAGCGCCAGCTTGGCCTCCTCAAGCTTGGTGAGGCTGTTGGGGACGACAACGGCGTTGGCACCGGCAGCGGTCACCTCAGCGGCCAGGGTCTGGTCAGTAACGCCGACATTGAGCGAGGCGCCGTCATCAGAGATCCAGGCACCGGCGAAAGCGTCACCGGCGGAGTTGCGAAGCTGCTCGATGATGTCGGTGGATCGGTGCTCGAAGGCGACACGAGCGTTGGCCTCCTCGGCGTTCAGGCCGAAGTCGCGCTTCATGGCAGCCAGGATCTTGGGGTGAAGGCTGGTTGCCGTGTCCGTGGGGGCACCATAGGCAATGGGCAGGACAACTGCGAGGAGGGCGAGAAACTTGGAGAGCTCCATGTCTGCGTTCTGAGGACAACAAGTAGATGGTGAGTGAGATGAGTGTGCGATGCTGCTGTAGAATTCTCGACTGGATGGGAAGTTTGCATCCTTATTTATACATCTCAGGGCTATATCATCGTGATGAGCATCGCGATCTTTGTTATTGCTGTTCAGAGCATGAGGCCTATACAGCACAAGCCGTTGTCAAATTCCTCCTTCCCAATACGCCAATGTCCGACCTGCGATGTGACTGCAAGTTTCCATGGCATCAAGACAAACATCAACACGGCCTTCCTCAAACGGCATCTCACAAGACGTCCGCCTTGCGATGTCACTGCAGGTTTCCATGGCATCAACACAGATATCATTACAGCCTTCCTCAAAAGGCACTTCAAAGGACATAGGCCCTGCAATGTCACAGCAGTATCAGCCGGACACTCTCCAAGGAGATGCCTCTGTAGACTATCTGCCCCTCGATGCGATAGCTTATAACCAAATAGGAAGGAGTCGAAGAGAACAGAGGTATTAGACATAGTGTTTTCGGTCGATAAGGTACAACATCTCTTCGCTGGCATAACAACTCATGCTTTCACACTCCTCTGAGCTTGGCAACATGCTAATTCAAGGCCAGAACATCGGCTTCGGACCGGCTGTATCTCCAGATTCGGCAGGCCAACAGTAATCTGCTGGCCCTTGTCGTTTCTGGCTCACAAGCCTGGTGATCGACATCTTCGGCCCGCAAGATTGGGGTTCGCCTGCAGCCGACACTAGCACGAAATCTCATGTACACGGAGAGCCCCCCTGTAATCTTCTGGCTCCCGGCAATGATCATGTGTGAGACCGCACATTACAAGCAACCGGTAGTGGTGGCATGCATCCCCGTTTTTCTTCTAGGCCAGGAACTGGAAAACGGAAAGGAATAAGGATATAGGCCAAGACTAAGTAGGATGCATAACACCAAACGGCAAGGCGACTATTATTCGCTATAGGCCTCGGTCGGGTCCTCCTTTCAGGAAGGTAACATGGTTGCTGACATGCCGAGCGTATTAGGAAGGCCAAGCGGGGTATGAAAAGGTAGAGAGGAACATGGAAATGCGTGCATAATAAGGTGATGCAGAAAACGGTGGCAGTGTTGAGAAAAGTGATTTCTTAGCACTCGAATTCTCCACCTCTTAGAGGTTGACCGGGGTAGCTAATCTATCAACCGTTGTAACCCTACTATCTCTTAGCGGCTAACGGACAACGCGCTTATGGGGGGAATTATACTGTTGCAGGTAGACACAGCTAATGCCTAGAAATTGGAACCTTGAAGGTTAGCTACGAAATATATTCCTATCCCATCGAGTGCAGCAAGACGCCATCTATGCCAAGCCTATAGCTTCCCATTATACTACCTGTCACCTTTTTCTTCTATTCGTTATCATCGGTACATGGGTGATACGTCTGTTGTTTATGTATCTTTGCCCGTTGTAATGTAGCATTCTGTCATGATAGGTACTATTGGTACCTCTGGCATAGTTGGAATTACTACCTATAGAGGATAGATGTAGGGGCAATGCCGCAGTCGAGGGGATATATCTCAATACATGGAATCACGAGACCAAGGCCTTGATTGGCTCTACCCCGCCCTTGGCGAAAATGGCGTCTTCCTGCAGTTGATGGGATATTAAGCTCTGATTAGCGGTATTTTTATTTTGTTTTTATTATTTTCTTAGCGTCTTACAGAGAGGTTATTTCAACTAGTTGGAAAGACTGCATATCGCTTAGCTAGCCCCTACATACTGCCGAGGCAGCAACACTCTAAATGAAGCTTCACAAGCACAACGTCATGTGGTAGCTATCCTCAGTATGTTTCCTAAAAGTCAAAAGCCCACGCTAGGCAATGTAAAGAATGCCGCAGGATTGGTATACGTAATGGATTTCTAGCATTGGAGGGACAATTTCCAAGAGATGGCGAAGGGCGAAGAGTATCTCAAGCTAGAATAGAGCCCAAGACGTCGTAGATGAAAATACTGGGTAAGTTGATGGCCCTCAAAGCTTGCTCGGTTGTTTACGTCGCATCGGCCAAGCTCCTACAGAACTGCACCATGATTCCGGCTCTTTGCGCGATGGCAGCATTAACAATCTCTCTCAATCAATTCATGTGCAATCAGTAAGGTCACTGATCAAGCTTTCGTGATTAAAAATAAGCTTAAAACCTGAAGGCAATGTGCAAAGACGGCATCGAAAGGGTAGGTCGCATCAAAGCTGAAGAAGATCGACAGAATGCCAACAAGTATAGACTGGGGCGCTTCCATGGACCAGTTGCACGTTATGTCATGGGATGATATGTAACAAACGATGCCCCAGAGACTCCAAATAGCTGACTGACTACTATGGCGGGGGTCCTTAACGGCTCTAGCGAGTTCATTGACCAACAACTGGAAGGATGAGCGCTTTTTAATCCGTAGTTAGTAAGGATATGACTGTCATGTTCAACGGTAGCGTGTATGAGCACAGCAACGCGGTGCATGGCCATCTCTTGACGATGCATGTCGCTGTTCTTCGCAGGTGTTATAAAGTTGAGGACTGAAGGATGGAAAGAAGGGAGTGAAAGATCAGTGAACTCATGTAGTGTTCAAATCGAGCGCCCAGGGTTTATAATACTAGAATCCGTAAGGTTAGAAGCAAGGGCAACACATTGGCTGTGAAGTATATCTTGTAACGAAACTTTCTACCCAGAAGTGTGAGGATACCTTGCTTGACGGAAAGTGTTCATCAAAACCTTGACTCAATTTTTAAGCAATGGACCATCCACAGTGGACCAAACACGTGTATCGTGAGCCTACTACTTTTTGAAACGCTCGGTGGAATCTAACACTTATAGATAATTTCTTTGCGTATACAACGCTGTGTAGAAAGGCACATCGGCATCAGGCCAATCGCACCAACATACCAACTTGGAGCCTCGTTTAGTGCTGGGGCATATATCATAGTCGGTTAATGTCTAGAAACCATTCAGCTCACATCCCTCTTTGCCATGTCTCCTTGCTTCTACCCAGCCATAGAAGCTTTGTATCCAAGAAAGAAATGCAGGTAAAGGGGCTTTGAAATAAAACAACCGCAGCTGAAAGTATCAATACTGCTTGTATGGTTGTCAGAATCTATCCGGCTCACCGAAATGGCTTTTACGAGACTGATATTGTTGCTCCTTGATTGTAAAGCAAACATTAACTGCTTTACTCTAATGGAAGCAGCTACTAGGTACTCGTAGGTCTCGGCCCCATAGTGTAAAGTCTGGAGGCTGCTCCACCGCGACGTGGAACCCACATGAGCATCTTCATGCTCGAGGTCGTCACCAACCATCTAATCAAGCTGGGTTCCAATCGCCCGGCTAGCTCAATCGGTAGAGCGTGAGACTCTTAATCTCAAGGTTGTGGGTTCGACCCCCACGTCGGGCTCAATTCCCGTCCGCGATTGACCAGCAAATCATTTTTTGCTGTTTTCAGCTGTCACCACGGCCAAGGAGCTATTGATGTTTGGCTACATGTTGTCATAGGTTTTTCTTCTTCTTTTTTTTTTTTTTTAAAGACAGCTTCCTTATGTCAGGTTTCGGGTGTCCGATACTAGTTCTCATTGTCAAAAATGTGCTGCGCCTTTTATTAATGTGGAGGTGAGCAATGTATTTGTTTGTGAGCTGAAATACGTGGATCCATTCAAAGTTGCCCACAACTTAAGCTCGAAACTAAAGAACTTCTCGTATACTTCTTACGCGGCATATCAGGTGCTTAGATTGTTACAATCCATGTCATCCGAGTTTATGCAAACGCTACCGCTAAGCGGCTAGCCAACGTCACCAGCAAGAAGGCGTTTGTGAAAGGTTCCTTGACCGGCCTCATCTTGTAACAACAATAGGCGATAGAAGAATATGCGACAAATCAACATCTGTCTATTACTCACGGAGCTAAATGAGACATCTTAGCTGTAGAAGGTCATAACCCACACGAGATTCTAACTCGCCATTCTCAACAGGTTCATGGCCAGATATTGAAACACAGTAATCCTACCTGCACTACACAGAGGTCTTATGCAGTAACTATTATTGCAGTGCAGTTCTCTCGGTAAGTTGTGGTGATTCCATGGAGCTGTGTCAGGAGCCTTTTGGACTCTCCATCATTCCATCAACATGACAAAATAGTCGAAGCCCGTGGCACTAACTGCAGTCACACAACTATATCTACTTTTGCGGATCATACATCTTGACTGCTGAGCCTGCATTCATAAGAAGAGGCGGTAGAGTGCAATCGAGATTTCCGATTGAGCCAAACTTAATCGCTGGATAGGGCTGTGGAAGGTCAAGGTCATCGCAGGTTAAGCAATTCGTAATATATAGCTGAAAGCTGTTCTGATCCGTTGTAAAAGAAACCCAATACACGGCATATGAATGGCATCGACTGCAGATAAGACTAAGAATAATCTCATTCATTCCTGTGTGTTCGACGCTTAATCTGAGCTAGCCATAGCATTTTCAGAGCTCCCAGCAAGCTGGCTTCATCTGATGTTGGTATTTGCCTCGGCTCGCATGACTACTAACAAAGGGCTCGGCCAATGTGATTGTTTTAACCTTCCCGCCCACCCCTTGCAAGAATCGAGATGCGATAGGCCCTCACATACTCTCCAGTGGCATCATCTTCATGTACGACAAGCTTTGACCACTACCTCCATAACTGAAGATGCACGTAGCACTCACCGGCTCACATGCTGGTCTGGCTACGTGTTCAAGAAATTTCTGCAACGCGTACCGAAATTGGCGGCCTGGGCATCGGCAACCATGTTGGGAGTCAAACCACATTGAATGGCATCACAAGCCTCGTTGACTTGAAGGTTACCCTGGCGATGGTGGAGCTGCGAACTCACAAATCTGATGATGCAAACGCAATTCGTCTCGACCAGAGAGAATTGCAAAAAAAAGTACAGACCACTATGTGACCCTATGTCCTCGATGTTTGGACCGACTTGGTGAGCAAACTTTTCACAACCAACCCCAAAATGACAACCAAAACAACAACACAATCAATTTACGGCTTCACTAGACGCCCACTTGGTGCCATTTACCATACAAATTGACGTCATAGGCCATCGGGTTCGACTGCGATACGTAGTATAGGAGAAGTTGAGCCACGTTTGTGGCTCGGCTCATCTGTCATGAGCTCAGACACATGGTTTGAAGGGGGACATTTTGGTTATCCACAGTGGACTACAACCTCCGTTCTGACCACATTTCCCCTTCTCCGTATCCGGGCGAGCCCTGAAACCATAGAGATGCCTCACATTACCGGGTGTCTCCAGCGTATTTCATGCGGACAAGCGGTTGCTAGACGCCGGTTCCACGTCAGCGGTAGTTTATTGCGCCCAGCGTTCGCAATGCTTGCCTGGGGGGCGCATGAATGATGTCCGTTTCTAGCAGGGAACGCCTGTCCACAACGACTGCCGCCAACACACATGTTGACGCCCAAAGCTGCCCTAAAGGATCCAATGAAAAAGGTGTCGTGGCATAAAAATCAGACGCAAGAACAACGAGACCCTTGGATGACGCCTTATAAGCCCTCTCCCGAGGCAAGGAGGATGCTGTAGATGGTTGACAGCTGTCACCAGGTTGCCCGGTGACGAAAGGAGTTGGCCCAGAACGTACCGCCCTGTTTCCCTCGATGGTGGTGCCTTTTGGCGATGGCCGTAGGAGGCTCTCCGCAGCCTTGACTCGATCGAAGGCCCATGGCGTCTCCTGGTTAACATTGTCATTTTGGATATGGATATCATGCGTTGCAAAAGGGTGCGAGGGTCCACCGCGGCCTCGTCGCGCCAACATCGGATGAGAGACCGCCGCGACTCTCTCCAATCACGGAACGAGCGGTGCACTGGCACCGATGAATCTCCTCCCATTAACGGGGTTCGGTCGACGGGTGTCGCAGGCCTGGCCCAGTCATCTCGTGGACGGGGACTGCATGATTTGTGGTAGGAACATCACGCAGGACCAGGTTTTCCCGACAATTGCTTGGGTGGAACTAGAGCTACTTGTTATTCCGGGGGCGAGGATGATATATATCGTAAACTAACGGCCACCCCGCAGCCAACGTGCGTTTCGAACGTCTGGCCAGCGTCTGTAGTCAGTCAAAACACGCGATATTTCCTCCCAAAAGTTCTGGGATTTCTCTCAATTCCACGACCAATCGAATAATCAAGAATCCTTGACCCCAATTGCACGTCGTTGAGAGCATTGTCTCTCCCACCCTCACACAATGACAGCCAAACCGGACGTTGCCACGCTCGTGGCGCAGATGAACGAGGCTCTCGCTTCGATCCACGCGACGATTGAGAGCCTTTCCGCATCCGCAGCAGAGAGCGACACAAAACTTGACGAGCTCGAGAAGAAGCGTGATAGTACTCTCGCGGAGCTCGAAGCCGCATACGAAAAAGAGCAACAAGAGCTCGCGGCCGCAAGGCAAAAAGAACTAGAGGAAATTGCAGAGCAGCGGCGCAGAGAAGATGAAGAGCGAGAAGCTCGTCGTCGGAGAGAAGACGAGGAACTCGCCGCCCGCAAAGCCAAGGAAGATGAGGAGAAGCAAAATAGCTTTGATACCAATACCCATAATGTGGAAGATGAAATGGACAACCTCATGGATAACATTGAAGATGAGGCCGCCAAGACGATCGCGGAGGGAGAAGCCAGGCTTGCGGAGCTCGAAGCGAAGAGATTGGTAAGCTTTGAAATGGAGGCGCGCAGCCGACTGCATCTAACTGTGCTTTGTAGGAACTTAACCGCTTGATTGAGGAGCAGATGAAGGCAGCTCTGCCGCCCATACCAACGCGCAAGAGGGCGCGAACAATACGCAGAACGGGGGGCACGACATCAGGCCAACCCTCTCCACTGCCAAAGGAAGACAGTGCCGCTGAAGAGAACAAGAAGTCCGAGGAAGAGGCGGCCTCAAAACCTGCCGAGGAGCCTGCCGAGGAGCGCGCGCTCGAAACTTCTCCCGAGGATAAGCCTACCGAAGAGGTTGCTGCGCCGACCGACGAGGAGAATAATGCTAAAGACGAGACGCCAGCGTCAGCGGAAGAGGCACCGGCTCAAGCGCCTGCCGAGGAAGAAAATGCTCCTGAAGGTGACGACTCCCAGCCACCAAGCGAAGAGACAGTGGCTGAAAAGAGCGTTGAGGAGTCCGCGAGCCCTGAAGAGACTCAACCTAGTGAGGACACACCCCCGACCGAGGAAGCCGCTCCACCGGTCGAGGAGGCCATTAAAGACGAGTCGAGTCCTGAACAGCCTGCCGAGGACGCGGCTGAACCGGAAGAGAGTTCCGAGCCTGCGCCTACGAAAGAAGCTAGTGAAGATGCGGCTCCCGAGAAACCCGAAGCCGAGGAGAGCGAAAAGGCCATTGCTGAAGCTGAGGAGCCTGCTCCCGCAGAGGATAATGTGGTAGCCGAGGACACTGTCGATGTCGCACCAGCTGAAGCAGCCGCCGAAACTGTAGATTCTCCCACTGATGAGCCTGATGCCACGAATGAAAGGTCTGTCGAAGAGGAGACTGTTGCCGCAGCGGAGGCATCTACAGAAGACGCTCCGGTAGAGGAGACACCTGCTGTTGAAGAGGCGCCTGTAACGGATGGTGTCAAAGACGAGGAAGCTCCAGATGGCGAGACGGCTGCAGATGAAGTAACGGCAACAGAGGCACCAACAGAAGAAGCTCCTTCTGAAGAAGCTCAGGCCGAAGAAACTACTGCTGAAGAAGCATCAGCTGCAGAGGCTCCTGAGGAGAAAGCTCCCGCTGAGGAAGCACCAACAGAAGCCACTGCTGAGGAACCTGTTGTTGAGGAGACCCCGGCTGGCGAGACTTCTGCTGAAGATGCCGCAGCTGAAGCTTCGAGTGAAGAAAAGCCAACAGAGGAGCCTCCCAATGATGAAGTTCCACCTGCGGAGACACCAACAGAAGAAGCTCCTGCTGAAGAGCAAGCTCCCTCTGACGAAATTTCTACCGAGAAGCCTCCAGCTGAAGAGACAACAAAAGAAGAAGCCACTGCTGACGAAGCTCCGGCTGAAGAAACGGCAGTTGAAGAAATACCTGCTGCTGATGCTCCTACAGAAGAGGCACCAGCAGGAGAAGCTGTTGCTGAGGAGCCTGCCACTGCGGAACCTGTTGAAGAAGCGCCAGCTGACAAAGCTCCTGAAGAGCAAACCCCCACAGAAGAGGTTTTTACCGAAGAACCCCCAGCTGAAGAGGCACCAATAGAAGCCACTCCTGAGGAACCTGTTTCCAAGGAGGCTCCAGCTGATGAGACTTCAGCTGAAGATGCCGCAGCTGAACCTTCCAGTGAAGATAAACCAGCAGAGGAGACCCCCAATGATGAAGATCCATCTGCGGAAGCAGCAACTGTTCAAAAGGCCTCCGTTGAAGAGCCTCCGGCTGCTGAAGACGCTCCTACTAAGGAACAACCGGAAGATGAGACACCAGCAGAGGAACCAACAGCAGAAGCTTCTACAGAAGAGGCATCGACAGAAGAGGCGGTCGCTAAGGAAATCCCCGCTGAAGAAGCTCCAGCCGATGAGGCGCCATCAGAGGAAACAACAGCAGACAGCGCTGCTGAAGCCGGTGATGCTTCTGAGGAAATACCCGTTGCTGAAGAGGCACTAGCGGAGGAGGTACCCAAAGAAATCCCAACCACTTCTGAAGATGTGTCTGCTGCAGAGACTATAGAGGAAGAGGCACCACCAGAAGAATCGGCTGCCGAAGAACCTCCCGCTGAAGAAACATCCAATGAAGAGGCTCCGGCTGAAGCGGGTGCCCCTGCTGAAGAACCCCAAGTCCTCGAAGCATCCGTTCCGAAGGAAGAATCAACAGTAGAAGCTCCAGCAGAAGATTCAGTTGACGCACAAAATCCAACAGGGGAAGAAGTCCTTGGTGGCGAGGAGGAACTAGCAGACAAGCCAGGCCCGGCTGAAGATGCCCCGACGGAAGAGCCCTCAGAATCGAAAGAGCATGAAGACAGCCCTCCTGCTGGGGGCACCGATACTGCCGAGATCTTGGCCGAGGAAGCAAACCCTGAGGAAATGAACAATGATCCCTCGGAAACGGAAGTAGAACAGTCTACCGATCAAGTAACAGATGGTGAAGTTCAAGAGACAACCATACCTGAAGTTTCGTCAAAGGCTGTTGTCGAAGAGCCTATCGGAGAAGAAGCTCCCACTGAAGATGTCTCCGAAGAGCAGAGTGAAGAACCATCAGCGGAGCAAGTTGATGATGCAGCCAAGTCAACGGAAGACCGAGACGTGCTTGAAGTGAAGTCGGAGTCTATGGCCATCGAGCCAGACCATGAGGAGGCGGATGTGCCGGACGAAGCGCCAAGCCAAGAACATGCGACTACGACCGATGAAACTTCAGCCCAAGCCGAGGTTCCTAGTCAGGCGGAAGAGACCTCTGCAGAAACTGAAGTCAAGCCAGAGGAGAGTTCGTCCACCCTGGAACCTGTTCCTGAAGCTGAGGCACCCGAAGAGGCTCACGATCTAGAAGGGGGGACTGACAATTCTCCAGCGGAGAACGCTGTTCCTGAAGATACCACACATGTCGATGGTGGCGATGTTGAGGCAGAGGCGTCTACAGATGCACAAGATACTGAAGGAGCCCCAGATTCTGGTGAACCTCTCCAAGAGGAAGCTTTGGAAGAAGACGAAACTCAGAAGGCTGAAGAGGAGGCACCCACTAAGCAAGATGAACCTGATGATCAGCAAACTACTATTGAGGATGAGTCTTCCACGTCGAAAGAACCTCCAAAAGAGGAATCCTCAGACACGGTGGAGGCGGACACATCGGTGAACGAGCAAGCTGAACAACAAAGTGCAGATGATGCCGCTCCATCGAATGCTCCAATGTCGGCAGATGCCGACGCTGCAGATGAGTCGGACGTTCTGGACAAGTCTGAGGAGGTTGCCGAAGCTTCACAGAATGAGGTACCGGTTGATCAAGATGCGCCTGCCGAATCTCATGATGTCTCAGCTTCTGAGGGCCAAGAAAATGAGACGGTCCAGGATTCCGGACCGTCTCAGGAAGTTGAGGCAGTAGATGAGGCCGAAAAGCATGAATCGCTAGACAGTCAAACTGCGAATGAGCAAGACCTCGAAGGCGCAGAAGATGACCAGCTCGTTGACACCACCAAGCCTAATGAGGTTATTGATCTAGAAGACTCAGTTGCAGAAGTCGAGGCGCAACCCCAGCCTGATTCGCAAGAGGATCCAGCGGAAGTTAGTGAATCACCCCAGACAACTCAAGAGGAGGAGCATGTACCAACCACTGCCAGTAAAGATCTTGAAGATGGAGATCCCGAACACAGGGACTCTTCACATTCGGATGGAGAAGAACTCGCTCGTGGTGTCCCTGACGCAGCTCAAGAAGATTCCGCTTCTAGACCTTCTGACGCCCCCACCGACACCCCGACTGATTTAACAGAAGCTGTTGAAGCTGATGTAACGAAGGAGGCTGCAGACAATGTTGAGACTCACGAGTCGGAAGACGCTAAAGTTGAAGAGGGGCATGTTGCTGAAGGCGATAACCAAATTGTGTCCGTTGATGTGGAGCATGAGGTTAAAAACGATGAAGTCGATAATTCTCCAAGTCAACTCGACGAGAATGCAACGAAGGAGGTGCCCACGGACTCTGCAGATGAGACAACGCCTGTGGATAATGAAGATTCCGCATCTAAATTGGCAGAGTCTGCGCAGTATGTGGAAGATAACACAGCTGCAAAGGATACGCACGATGAAGAAGCGGAAAGTAAGCACGAGGACAATCTGTCGCCAGAAGCATTGGAGCACCAAGAGACCGAACATGTTGATGAGGCCTCGCATCTCAGCCAGGAGGCTCAAGACGAATCAAAGGATGCAGATGTGCACGATGACCATGACGAGGAACAAAAAGTCATGAGTGCAGACTCCTTTGACCAGGATAAGATGGTGCCCGCTGAGACTGTGGATGGGGAAGATCAAGAGGAAAACACCATGGGTGACGAAGATGCAAAAGAGCACCATGAGGCAGAAGTCGACGAACATAGCGCTACGCAGATCTCGGTTGAAGATCCATATGTGCAAAATGCTAGCTTCGATGACTCTTACGTCCTCGAAGAAAAGCCCGACCTCTCCGTCATCACTGAGCACACCGAACCTGCAACCTCGACCGCTGGAGACACATCTGAGCTCGCTGCCAAGACCTATGATCCTCAGCAGCAAGAACGCAGCCTCTCTGAAGCTCCAGATGTAGCCCTGGATAGTTCATATGTAACCGAGCATACGGATATGGACATGGATCAGAGCTACGAACAAGACCAAGAGCATCAAGAAGCCTTCAAGCAGAGTGTTCCATTGGCCAATCCTGACGACAGTTTTTCATCGACCAAGCAAGTCCATTTCGATGACGAGGATGACAACCACTCGTCGCCTGTCCTCAGCGTTCGGGAAGAAAGCGATGTCGAGGAATTCGATGAGACTCGGAATAACCCCTTTGCGAGGCCCAACGCCGCAACCTATGAGATTCAAGCACGTCAGGCACAGCAAGAGGCATTCAATCCATTTGCTCAGACAGCAGGGGTTGAGAGTTTCGGATCGACTCGGGAGGCGTCACAAAACCCATTCGCGGTGCGGACTGTCAGTCATGAGAAAGAAACCGTTTCCAACCCGTTTGCCAGAAACACGACTAGTGCTGCAGACAACTTCTTGCGTTCTGCAAGTGCCTTCGGGAACCACTCAGAAGAGGACCAAGCTCGAGATATGCCAACCACCAACCCATTTGCTAGGAGCACCTCATCTACCGACCAAAGCTTCTTGCCGACAGCAAGCACTCTTGGACAGATGAACACAACCCAGGTTGACGAGTCCTATAACAACCCTTTCGCTCGGAGTGTCGGATCTGACAGCAGCTTCCTTCCCACCGCAAGCACTCTCGGAAATGCCCCAATAGACGCCTCATACAACAACCCATTCGCGGCCGGGTTCAGCAGCACCGCGGGTGGAGATGCCGAGCAAACAAGATTCCACCAGTCTGTCGACAGCGGGGAACAGTGGGAAGACTCGGATGAAGATGGTGAAGATCCATTCAGCCTTGGTGCTGGCCAACTAGCCCATAGCACCAGTCCCTTAACCTCTAGGTATCTTGCACCAACACCACTGGAACCTATCCAGGAGCGTTACAACAGCGAGTTGGAGGACATGGATTCGGACTCTGAGGAGACAGAGAGCCTAAGCACCTCGCAGCAACTACCCTCTGCACAGCCCCGAGCCCCTCCCCCTATGCCAAGCATTGCAGAAGGCTACAGTCAAGGACTTGATGACTCCGAAGAAGACGGAGAACAATGGAGTTCCAATGTTCCCCAGTCGACTTCTCTTTCGTCTTCCCAGTACAGAGCGACGTCCCCAATTCCCCCACCCCCTAGCGTATTGAACTCACAAGCCAACTACGGCCTGCAACTGGAAGATTCTTCAGAAGAGGAGCAGAATGACTGGGATTCAGCTTTTACACCTGTTCATCCACCTCCTCCTCCGCCGCCACGCGCGGCAAGTTCACAGGGTCATCATATTCAAGAGCAATTGGACTCAAGTGAGGACGAAATCCCCTACAATGAAAATATCGCTCGACCTGGTCAGTTCCCCATTTCATCAACATCTCAATTCAGGGCAGCCCCGCCCCCAGTTCCGCCTCCGCGGACGTTAAGTTCTCAAGGGCACTATCGCCAGGAACTCGAAGACTCCAGTGACGAAGTAGAGGATATGGATGATGCCTGGGATTCAAATGCCACTCGACCCGGCCAGATGCAAACTCTGTCGACGTCGCAGTACACGGCGACCCCACCACCGCCTCCGCCTCCGCGTGCCCCCAGCGCACAGGACCGCTACCGTCAGGAACTCGAAGACTCCGACAGTGAAGGAAACGAAGAAACGTGGAACTCGAATGCTAATACATATGGTCAGACACCGGAAGTGATGGTATCAGCCAACAATCCGTTCACAAGGAACAGCCTATTGGAAACCAACATGATGAGGCCAGCCAGCCCGATAGCCCAGCAGAGCCCGATGCAAACATCATACACGGGGTCGGGACTCAGAAGCAGTCTGGATCCTCAAAGTCATCCAAGAGAAGAAGAAGGGGAAGAAAGCGATGATTCATGGGAGAACATCAACCAACGCGGTGAGGCAGCCAACATAATGGCTGATTCAGGATTCACCGCGGCTACGCCACAGCTGCGTGTCGACGACTACGAGCAGCAATGGCCCAACGCAAGCAATGACCAGATTTCTACAACCTCGACCTACCCGGTACCGGCAGGCAGAGGGGATTTCACAGACACTGATTCCCAGGATTACGTTACTCCTTTAGCCTCGGCCGAATTCAGCACTTCTCCGCAGTACAGCCAGGGCGCCATGAACTCACCAAGGCACCTTGCCGCTTCTGACAACAAGTACAGTGGCGTCGAAGAAGAATACGGCCAAGTCACCTCTAGCGCAGCTTATAGGCAGGAAGAAACACCGGGCCACATGGAGGACTCGGATGATGACAGTGATTATGACGCTTCAAAGGCACCCGCTTTCCTGACTCAGTTCGGCGCTCCTCAACAGAACACATCGGATCAGCCGGTCCTGGAGCAAGTCATCGATTCCTTCCAAAGCGACGAAGAAGATGGGCCCAAAACAGCAGTCATGACATACGAAGAACCCGTCACTCAGTATGCTTCTTCCAGGTTTGGGTCATCAATGTGGCGTGACGAGCTTCGATCGCCAACATTGTTTGGCGCTACAAGACACAGCCGTTCTGGGTCTCTGAGAGAGGAGTTGCACAGGTCTCAAGCTGAGCATAGCCCTACAACTCCCCTCCGGATCCAGCAGTCCCAACCTGAAGTACATGTTCAAGAGGTCCACAGTCCTGAGGAAGCTGAGATTCATGGCCAAACAGAATTCCTCGGCCAACCAGCGGAAGTATACAGACAGGACGAAAATGCTACGCAACAAGATCGGATGTACGGGCAACCGCAGTTCAGCCCGGACTTCCAGCATTCTCAGCACTCCCAGCTATCTTCACTAGAAGCAGAACTACAGGAGGCGGATGAGAGCTCAGAGGAAGAGGCAGAGCAAAGGACCCCGCAGTTGGCTCCTCAACCAAACGAGCAAGCCCTCGACGTGAGCCCCTTGGTCTTGCAACAGGAGTCGCCAGCAACGCCTTCACGTGGCACGCCCTCTACTCCCTCTCGTGGCCTTTCAAACAGTAGACACAATCCTGATCGGCCGCAGACACCACCTAGTCAGCCGGTCTTGGAAGAGGAGATAGATCCCGAAGCGTTCATTCCACGAGATGTGACCAATGTCCCCTGGCACGCTCGAAATGACTCTGTTCCGCACTCAATGCGAAGCCAGAGTACGATTGACTCCATGGCATCGTCGCCTATTCACTCGGCGCTGCATGCTGACAAACACGAACCTGTCATTCGAGATTCTTGGCCAGCCACCGCCATTCACAATATCACACGACCACGCAACGATTCCGCATTGACAGACCGTTCGTACGATGATCCATTCAAGTATGAGAGAGGCACCAAGGCTTTGCATGGGGCAACAGGCTCCGTGGGCTCAAGTTCAGACAGCCCGCCTCGTGCTTCGGGCACCGGAAACTCACCGGGAAGTCTGATTAGCAGGATGCGTGGTATTTTCGAGGGCGGCCAAGCCAAGGAGCAAGACCCTCCAAGCCCGGTCCGGTCACGACCGGTCTCGGGTGTCTTTCATCCCGTCCGGCGCACCAACCCAGGCAGCGAAGAGGAAAACAGCCGTGGATTTCAGCGGAAAGCTGGGTTTCTCAACGAAGCCGAAGACGAAGTTGACGAGCAGAGCGCACTCTTACGAAACTCTGCTGGCGGGTTGGAGGCAAATTGACCACGCTCGGGCGGAGCGGGGCTCAAAGTCATGAGGGTGAAGCGGGACGCAGAGTACGACGACGAGGACATGAACGAGCGCCCGAAGTGGAAGTACCGAAAAGATGCGAGTGGCCTCAGGGTGCCGGTGATCTGTACCGAGGTGCGCGAGCCCGAAGAGCCCTCTGGCGAGAGCGTATATCGTCTTGCGTGGCTGTTTGTTGAAGGATGGCGACACAAGCTCCAGAAGGCCGGAGACATGGTCGAGAAGAGTCGATGGGAGTGGGAGATTGACGGCGTCAGAACTGTTTGCACACACAGCCGCGCATCGAGTTTAGATTTTGGCGTAGTCATGACGGATGCCCGCCTACGTGTGCCGGACAAGTTGGGAAAGAAGAAAAAGCACAGGAAGTCTGTTCATTGGGCGTTGGATGAAATCAAAGTACATGGATGATACTTACGAGTAATGGTTATAAGCATGGTTATGGATTATTGATGGTACGGATTATGGACATGGATAGAAGATAATGATATAATGATTTGATGTTTTTTGGCGGTTGAGATTGAAGCAAAATTCCCTTCACACTATTCCAGCGCAATGACGATGTGGTTTGAGTTGAGGAGACTAAAAGTTGAGGTGAGGAGAATGCGTCTGGGATGCATGTTCTAAACCTTTTCTGTCTAGCCAAGGTTGTCAGCGGCTCTAGTGCTCGGACCGTTGGTATCCCCGCAGGCCGACGATCATCGACGCCTCTTTCATACTCCTCAAGGACAAAACCCCCATCACCTTTCTCACATGTCATTAGCTAAGCCACATCCTCGGCGAAACAGTTTGACATAGACAAGTGTTGTGACCGCACATCCTATCGATTCTCTCACGTATCAACGATAACATTTGCACTTGCTGCAAGATTATCGAAACTAAGAAGGGTAAGACAGCCAGCTATTACTCGATGTAGAATGGATGGAGAACAACCTTACATGAATGGTATCCTGGCAAAGCGATAACGTTACAGGCCCTTTCAAGCTCTTTATCATCGCCTAATTCGGCAAGCCGCAGGAAATGTCCCAGAAACAACATGATGAGTTCCCATCTGCCAATGCATCAACTTCCGCATCGTCGCCTGCGGTTGTTCGAACATTCAAGCGGGCGGCGGTAGCTTGCAAAGCTTGCAACCTGAGAAAAGTGAGATGCACCGTCACATTATCCGGCCCTCCATGCGCCAACTGCTCTGTGGATGGCATTACATGCGAGGTTCTGAGTCGCAAACGACGCCGGTAGGTCCTTTCTCATTTACCTCTTTACCTTTTTTGTGACTTTGTATCTTTGGATAAAAGACTCTAACTTGAAAAGAAACTCGGATCAACTACCCGTGGACTCAGGCGGGGCCGCTGGTGGTGAGAGCTCGTTGATCGTCATCCCACAAAGAGGCCATCTCAAACGTCGTCTGGTGGCACAACCAACTCCTGACCCATCTCCCAGAGAACATGGGGAGGCCAATGGGAATGGGAGCACTCGTGGCACATCGGCACCTGCGGAGGAAAATAACCATCAGGAGGCAAACCGCCCCTCTATGTCTTCAACTCCCCCAGAGCTCGCGAGGACAACATCGGTCAGCGGGACATCTGCCCCCGCTTCTCGACCTTATGATGCCGTAAGAGCTCTGCTTCCCACCAGCAATCAACGGTCTGCTCCGGATCCATCCGACGCCACAGAGGACAGCTCCGCCTATGCTGAGACTTTGGAAGGTGGTAAGAATTGTGAAAGCGGATGTGTCCCTTTCTACCCTGGTAAGATACTTTCCATTTGTCGGCTGTGTTGACAGCTACCAAGCTTCACCCTGGCTGCGTGAAGCTTTTTACCTTCCAAGACATGGATCCTACTTACACTACACAATAGGAGATCAGCGGGGTCCCGCATTCTTGATCGATATCTGTGAGCCCAACAGATCCTCCAAAGACAACCATTTCCTAGTGCCTATGCCGTCAATCAAGGCTCTCTCACCAGAAGATGTCAATTATTTGCGAATTAAAGGCGCTTTCGCGCTGCCTGCACCTCGCCTTCGAGATACCATGATTAGATGTTATTTCCATTACGTTCATCCATTCGCGCCGATTTTAGATGCAACTGAATTCATCACCGAGTATGAGAAAGGCCGACAGAGCCTTTTACTATTATGGAGCATGTTCATCGCTGCGGCAAGCGTAAGTTGTAATACATGAGTGGCATCACGGCCTTATGTTCTAACTCTCTGCTACAGTTCGTCGATGACAATATCTTGACTGAGGACTTTTACACCTCCAGAAGAGCCCTTAAAAGGGCCATGTATCAGCGTGCAAAGGTTCGCCTGCATCTTTTTCATCATCAAGCCAACGCCCTGGCTGACTAGTTTTAGGCTCTTTATGATGCGGATTACGAGAAAGACAAGGTCACGCTTATCCAATCAGTCTTTCTAATGGGACACTGGTATACTAGCACGGATGACCGAGCCGGACCGTGGCATTGGAACGGTATAGCCATCAGCCTCTCACACACAATCGGACTTCACCGCCTCAACGTATCAGTGAACCAGCAGGCTTCCCAGGGAACAAAACCATTCTGGCAACGACTCTGGTGGTCTGTGTACACCCGAGAAGTCTGGCTGTCGCTCGGACTCGGTAGGCCAATGCGCATCGCTTTTGACGATTTTGATACGCCTATCCCAACTGCTTGCGCTGCAGACGTCCTCTCGCCTGAGGTAGCGAATAACCTCGGCCAAAAGTACCTTCCTGGAGAGCTCGGTCTCTTGTTTGAGATCTGGCTTGCATTCGTCGGATTGAGCGCGGCACTGAGCAACATTCTTGCGGCGAACTACAGAGTCAAGGGTATCAAACCGTCCAAAACTGAGATTGAGCGGAGCGAGAGCCAGCTTCGGGCGTATCAGTACAGAGTACCAGAGGGTACTGACCAGAGCCGGGTTGTTGCATCTCATATCTACCAGTTCAAGCTTTACTTTGAGTAAGTTGTTGCTCTGCAGTTATTAAATCCGAGACTGAAAAGTTAACCTGTTTTTAGAACGTCCATTATTGTTCTTTATCGGCCTTTTATTCTTGATACCCCGAGAGAGATTCCAGCTGCTGACCAGGGTAGTTGGAGGACCTTTGCTTGCCAGAAGACCAGAACAGCCGCATCCAATGCTAGTGCCGCAGTAAACTCCATGATGGCAGAGGATCTCATCCGTTTGTGCCACACCATCACGTAAGAGTTAAGGAAAGAAAGAAAAGAGTGCCTACTTTGGTTGCTGACACAGTTCGCAGAGTGATCGCAATGGGGCCGCCAATGCAAATCCATCTCTTCGAATCAACATCTTCCAAGCCCATGGCTCGTCAGATGGGAAGACACAACCTCGCGCTATGTATGGTAGCCATGGATGAGTTAAGGAAGCCATACATATCTGCAGAGGCATCATATAAGCTCTTTGAGACCGCGATCAACAAGGTCGATAACGCGCCTCCATACCCAGAACACCAACCATCTCCCGCTGGCCCCACGACATCTGCAATGTCCGACAATACAGCAGTGAATAGCATGTTTACCGACTGGCCTGATGGATACGGTCTGGGGAGTGCAAATATCATTACAGATATGTGGACTCCAATGCCGAATGCATACCCAGACAGCAGCTCAATTTCCGGGACACAGTGAGTGCATTTGCTACACCAAGTTTGCTCGGAACCATTGATAACTGACTAGTCACAGCACTGATGCTTGGCTTGACATACAGTCCATGGATAGGCTGTGGACACTCGACGACTTCAGTTTGCCGTAAACTGACCAATCAACGACCAAATGAAGGGACGAGTTACGTTGCTCATGATTCAAGCTTTAGATGAAAAGGACATCATTCATTTCATCGAGCAAGGTCAAAAACCATGCTGTCTCCAGAGCCAAGAAGAAAGGGATATGATGGTTAACTCATCGGACGGGTTTTGAAAACATGCCGACAGGATAACATTATCAAAACGGTCTTCGGTTCAACTCAGTCTTATTTATCGCCACGTCGTACAGAACATCATCAGCAAGGCCTCCTATTTGACTGAATACGCCGCATTTGCGCAAACCCTGAGCGCGTTGGACCCACATACTGCCGAGGTGGGGCGGCCGAGGTGCCTCGGTACTTTTGACGCATTTGGCACTGACATATGATCATCTGTTTTCGCCGCTATCACTCACCATCTTATTGTAATAATTTCACAGGGGAGAGCATAGGGAATGTAGCATGAGAATTGTAAGATATGTGTTTGCTAGGATGAGTTCTTCATCTAATTCAAATGTAATAAGGAAGGCCATCGGTAATATCTGTGAGCAAAAGCGCACGCAAAACGATGATAGGATTGCGTCTGACGTGATCCAACAACATAGATATCTCAAACCCAAGAACCAAATAATACCCAGATGACATACGTTAAGAGTTCTACTTCAAAATTTTCGTCGTTCGAGTTCTATTTGTCAAGTTGACAATGGTCTTTAATCATAGTCTGGTAGTAGCATTGAGTAGACTTATTCTAGCTTATTTCAATGATCTGACACATAGATTTGAAGTTGAAGTTTCAATTCCGCAAAGGTCTATAGCTTGGCCTTGAGTCCAGAGATAGATTCATCTGCCCCCTGCTTCCACCAAGGCCAGAACGGCAAAGCAGCCCTATCAATATCTCCAGAAAATGCTGGCTTTCTCTTCTCCATGAACGCCTTGATGCCTTCTACGTTATCTGCCGACCCTGCAGCTGCAATAAAGACTCTAGAGTCTAGTATGTGCGTTTCTTCAGGCGTACTGGGGCAATACAACATCAAATCTCTCATCATCTTGGTGCTCGTAAGCGATGTGTTCTCAGCTATATCAATTGCTGTCTCAATGGCGTATTTGAGCGTGTCCTCTGGGGTTGAACAGAGCTTTGAAAAGAGGCCGCTAACCATGGGATCGGATGCAGAGTATATGTTACCCGTTGTCATTATATGCATAGCTTTTGAAAGTCCAATGAGCTTGGGAAGGTAAAAGGCGCTGAGAGATTCCATCGTGAAACCGCGGCGGGCAAAAGGCATGCTGATTTTGGCGTCTTTCCAAGCTACTCGGATCGTTGCCGACATCATTGAAGTAAGACCGAAGCCTGCTGCCGCGCCGTTCACTGCAACAATCGTTGGCTTGATGCAATTCGACATAGCCAAGGCGACTCGGCCACCTCTGCGAGATCTCTGTTAGTGGACGTTCCAACCATGGTGTATGTTGAGCTCTCTTTGTTGACTTACGGGTCTTTCCAATGCTTCATTGTCTCTTCATTTTGCTTGATCTTCATAAGCCCCTTGGGCCCGTCTGAGAGATCCATTCCCACACAGTAGGATTTCCCTGCTCCAGTGAGCACAATGGCCCTCACACGCTCATCTCTATTTAAGATGTCGTAAGCGGACTCTAGCTCATTGAGAATATTTTGATTCACGGCATTGTGCTTCTGAGGCCTGCTGAGCGTGATAACGATCACCTTGGTAGCTGTAGGTGCGTCAGCCGGAACATGGCTGATGATGATGTCCTTGTAGCTCGTAGACGTATAAGACACAGGAATTGGGAGATCAGAGCTGCGATACATGTCGTTTGTTGATTATATTATGGCTTTTGTATGATTGATGGAGGCTTCCAAAAACACAATTTCATAGACTATGATGATCAACCTGGCTATATATGCCTTCACCATCCTCTACTCTTGGCGAATCCTGATATGCTACTTCTACCTAGTTCATGAGTATGTAAAATAATAATCAGATATTATTTATTTAGCCTCGGCTTCGTTGCTGAACTGATTAAGCTTTAGCGGTGCAAGTCCGTCGATTTCATATTCTCGAAGAGGAATGGCCCGCCAGCTTGTGAAAGAAAGCGTCCATTATGTCGCTAGGAATGTCAATTTTGCAACACACTTAACACCGTGGGAAAGAGTACGTAGAAAGTATCTAACCAAGTGCCACCTAAGCCATCTGGTAACTCGGACGATATGAAGCCTTCATCGGGCTACTCCAGCCAATCATTGAATACCTAACTTGGGAAGCCCACAAAGTACCGAGGTTCTGCTTCCACATGCTAGGACGTTTTGATGTTTGCTTCAACTATCTGCGCCAAGCCTTGAGTTGTTGAATTTCGGTCTCCATCCGGAGAAGTGTCCTCTTTGGTGAAGATTCTTTCTGCCTCTTCGTGTGGTTTGTGATTTTCGAGCTGCATCGCGCAAAGGGCCAGGATGCCTGTCTCAACAAGTGTTGGAGCACATCCCAACGGAAAGGGTTTGAACAGCGAAACCCGCGAAAAAGCTCCAGTTTCATTATGGGTTCATTACGAGCCTCTCAAAGAATGTTAAGGCTTTTGGGAATGGCCGATTTCGAGATTTAGTATATCAGTGATTGGTAGGTATTGCTATCAAATCGAAAAGCAAAACTGAGAACATTCAACTCCTAGACTTTGCAAGAAAGGTCCCAAACAATCGAAAATGACAGTAGTTTGGAGCAGTCCCGCCTCTTACGGGCAACTGGTGTTTTCGCTTTTGAATGTTAGGACATTGCTGATTGCGCTTGCGTTGGCAAACATGAAAACTTGGCATTTCATGTGGACGGTACGTCGGCGAAAAACACCCACAACTCCAGCTGATTCTTATTCAAAGGCTAAACTATGATTTGAACAGATTCGCTTCCTCCGCACCTTCATCCGCCGCCTCACGGATACTGCTCCTCCCAAACACCTCAGCCCACGATGTCTCTTCCTCCCCGCCATCTCCGCAACCCGATCCCCCCTGCTCGAGTGCGACTACAACATGCACAAGTCCAACTCAAAGTACTTTACCGATCTCGACATGTCGCGCGGCAACATCAGTCTCGTTCTCTTTCGGAAGCCTTTCAACCCGTTCCCTGGGCCCAAACACTTTATCATGATTCTCGGAGGCGCAAATTGTGTGTGGCGCAAGGAGATCGCGCCCTACGAAGCTTACGAACTATGGACACGGGTATTGTCATGGGATGAGAAGTGGATATACTTGGTCTCCCACTTTGTTAAAGCAGGGAAGTTTGTTCCTAGCGAGTATGCGATGCAACCGGGCGATACGAAGCCGAAGAAGGGCAGGGCAACCGGCGGCAAGGAGGTTGATGTTCAAAAAGCCGTCTTCGCGTCCTCCATTGCGAGATACGTTTTCAAGAACGGCAGGAAGACTGTACCCCCGGAAGAAGTGCTGACGGAATGCGGCCTACTTCCTCAAGATGAGGCTGAAAGGGCCGAGGTCGAGAGGCTACGGATGAAATGGCTGCCAATTGCTCAACTCAAGTCGGGGTGGGACTCCGTACACGGCCTGTTTGAACCGACAGAGCTTGCTCTCGGCCGGTACACCGACTTCTGGTGGCGGTAGGGATTTCCTGGCAACTGTTGCAAAGGTAGAGCTTATTCTGTCAAAATACGAATTAGAGGTTCCTTGCTAGCTCAGTTTTAGCGCGTCGCGAATAGAAAAGGGTAAAGATCGATGCTATATGTTGCATGCTGCAGATCTGGTTACCCATTACAAGATATGTTGTTGACGAGGTGATATTGTTGTTGATGTGACGAGCAACTGTTACGAAGTGGGATTTCCGCCAAGAGTCTTCTATTAAATTGTGGTTTTGTTTATTACTTTCTGTAATCCATTATTGTATCCGTGGATAAAGTGTAAAAAGTTAATTTCAAGATCGTCAATGGAGAATGACCACAAAGTCTAGACGTCAGAATCTTAGACATCACATCCCGCTTCACCCACATTCTTTAGGGGGTCTCAGTACGTGTCTGGGCCCATTGCAGATCTGCACAGCTGGCTGCAGTCCGAAACCTTCGGTATTTAGGGCGCCCAACTGGTATTATGCCGCGTCATTTTGTCTGTGTTCCCCGCAATCTGCAACCGAGAACGAACTCGTCATGTAGGAGGACAAGCCCTCAAAAAACACGATTCGCACAAATTGGCGTCCACAACGGAGGTTGAAAGGACTCCCAAAGTGCCTCATACCGTGCCGAGCTGCAAGAACAAAGTCTTAACGGTAGGCTGAGACCGTGGATTCCGTAGAAGCTTGCGGAGCGGGAGACGTCCCGTTTCGGTCTGTCCGACGGAGCGGGATGGGGCAACATTGCTGCCGGCACTTCAAGAACTACCTTATTCCGCGTAGACGGCACTGGAATGTTGGCGCTCACTAACCTGTTCTGCCTGGCCAGGGTGCTAGGGGAAAGGGAGTAGCTTAAGCCGCACCCCCCTGGCATCAAACGGTTGGGACCGGCAGCCATTTGTCGCTCGTTGGGGACCCTTGAGTGGCCATTTAGCTACATGTGTACGGGGAATGGTCTCATTAATCGGTGGCCTCGGCACAACCTTTTTCGTTTTTTTCCAATTAGGCACGAGAGATAATAGGACCAGCAAGGGGGGGATCAAAACCGAACATTCAGTGCTTACGGGCCGGACCTGGACCCCCCTTGACTCACCGCCTACAGGTTGCAGACTTAACACCTTACATATTCTGTAGTGGCACGGAATAGCAATGTTCTGCAGCACATCGGTGTTTTGCTCCTTAATCCGTAACCCGGTCGCATGGTAATGAAGGCCACCTCAGCAAAGGGGGGAACGGAGAATAGGAGAATCGGAGGATCAGATAATCAGAAACGGAGACTTAATGACAAGGAAGTTCTTTAGAAAGTCTGTTTGCAGAAGCCACTGCGAAGCATTCAAACGTCGGCGCGGATTTGGAAAGGCGCCGAATGCCTTGTTTCACCACAGACGGTGACGGACGGCATGGCCGACTAGGGTCGATGACCTACCTGTACGACTCCGTTCATCTTGACCATTGACGTTGCCGGGATTAGTCCACCCGTCGCCGTGGAAAAGTGGGATTGGGAAATCTTTTTCGGGAATGATATCAGCGTTCATCCTGGTGCTCCACGCATGATGATGGGACCGAGGCATAACACTGACACCATATCAAGGGAGATTAGCCACGTCCTCAGGGCGACACCAAGCCTTTTGCGATTGTGAATATTATCAGTCTTATATCCCCTCTCAAAAGTTTCACTTTTTGGTTCCTGTCTACTTCAGGTCAAGGTGCATCTGTCCTAGATTCCTGGGTGTCCTGGGATCCAACACAATAATTAGACACACACAGACACACACACACACACACATACACACACAAATAACTCATCACCACAAACTTTTCAGCATGTTAGAAACAGTACCAATCCCGGAGCCTTCAGGGCTGCCGCTTCTCGGCAACATCAACGAGATCGACCCTGAATTCCCACTAGGGTCGATGATATCGTTGGCTGATCAGTATGGTAAGAATTACGCACCCCCGGCTGGGCGCCCTTATCTTATCAAAGCCAAGCTTCTGACATCAGCATGCATAGGTGAGGTCTACAGATTGCGCTTCCCCGGCCGAACCATTGTGGTCGTCTCAACACAAGCCCTGGTGAATGAGACGTGCGATGAGAAGCGATTCAAAAAATCAGTCAATTCGGCATTAAATGTAAGTTTCTTTGATGAGTATCAGCTTGAATGAATCGGCATTCTAACATTGACTCAGGAAATTAGAGATGGTGTACACGATGGCCTTTTTACAGTGAGTATCGGCAGCCTTTATGAGAATACCGGCCAGATGAGTGAATCTTAACCGTGAAATAGGCAAAAATGGGCGAAGAGAATTGGGGCATCGCACATCGCGTTCTGATGCCTGCATTCGGTCCCCTATCTATTCGTAACATGTTCGATGAGATGCACGACATTGCAACACAATTAACCCTGAAATGGGCACGATACGGCCCTGAATCGCAGATTATGGTGACCGATGATTTCACACGTTTAACACTTGATACCCTTGCCCTGTGCTCTATGGGCTACCGATTTAACAGCTACTACTCGCCTGTTCTTCATCCCTTCATCGAGGCTATGGGCGACTTTCTGGTTGAGGCTGGCAACAAACCCCGTCGACCACCGTTGCCTGCTATGTTCTTCCGCGGGAGGGACCAGAAGTTCAACGACGATATTGAAATCCTCAGAAGCACAGCAAGAGAGGTTTTGGAGTCACGAAAGGCGGAGGGAAGCAAGAGCACTCGTCGCGACTTGCTCACGGCTATGTTGGAAGGAGTCGATTCGAAGACTGGAAAGAAGATGACGGACGAGAGCATCATGGACAATCTGATTACCTTCTTGATCGCCGGACACGAGACAACATCCGGTCTTCTCTCCTTCGCCTTCTACCAGCTCTTGAAGCACCCTGAGGCGTACCAAAAAGCGCAGCAAGAAGTCGACAGCGTTGTTGGAAAGGGACAGATCAAGGTTGATCACCTCTCCAAGCTCCCCTACATCAACGGCGTCCTTCGTGAGACGCTCCGCATCAACGCCACTATCCCGCTGTTCACTGTTGAGGCTTTCGAGGATACTCTTCTTGGGGGTAAGTACCCCGTGAAGCAGGGTGAGACCATCATCAATCTGCTTGCCAAGTCTCATCTTGATCCTCTGGTCTACGGCGAGGATGTTGCCGAATTCAAACCGGAGCGCATGTTTGACGACAACTTTAACCGCCTTAACAAGGAATTCCCCAACTCTTGGAAGCCGTTCGGTAACGGTATGAGGGCTTGTATTGGTCGCCCTTTCGCATGGCAAGAGGCTCTCCTTGTGATGGTCATGCTACTTCAAAACTTCAACTTCGTTTTGGACCCGAACTACACTTTCGGTGTCAAACAGACTCTCACAATCAAGCCGAAGGATATGCACATGCGTGCCATTTTGAGAGATAATCTCACACCGACGACATTGGAGCGTCGTCTCGCTGGTCTCGCTGAGCCAGAGAAGACCGCTTCCAATGGCACCGCTAATGGAGCCGCCAATGGCACTACCACACAGAGCGAGGGCGAGGGAGGAAAGCCACTGACAATTCTCTACGGCTCCAACAGTGGTACTTGCGAGGCTCTGGCCCAACGGGTCGCATCGGATGCTTCGTCTCATGGCTTCCGTGCCACCAAGATCGACTGTTTGGATAGCGCCAACGGAAGTCTCCCAACTGACCAGCCCGTCGTCATCATTACGGCATCTTACGAGGGTCAGCCTCCCGACAACGCCGGCCATTTTGTGGCATGGATCGAGGGCATGGACAAGGAGAAGTCGCCGCTCAAGGGCGTCTCCTACGCCGTCTTCGGATGCGGCCACAAGGACTGGGTGCAGACTTTTCACCGTATTCCCAAACTCGTTGACAACACGCTTGAGCAGCTAGGTGCTACCCGCCTGGCTGATGTTGGCCTCACGGATGCCTCTACTGGTGAGGTTTTCACCAACTTTGAAACTTGGGAGGATGATATTTTGTGGCCGGCGTTGACGAGCAAGTACGACACTACAACCGCTGATGATAGCAAGACCAAGGGAGTCAACGTGGTCATTAGCAACCCTCGCACATCAGCGCTCCGTCAAGATGTGAAGGAGGCTTCTGTTGTCAAGACCCAGACGCTCACCAAGGGCGGAGACCCTAAGAGCATCAAGAAGCATATCGAGATCAAGATACCTGAGGACATGACTTATACGGCTGGCGACTACCTTGCGGTTCTCCCGATTAACCCCAAGGAGAGCGTGCACCGCGCGATGCGACGCTTTCACCTTGCGCGCGATGCTCACCTCAGCATCAAGACCGACGGGCCTACATCGCTGCCCGTTGACAGCTCAGTTCCCGCTAATGACCTACTGAGCTCTTACGTCGAGCTCTCGCAGCCCGCTACCAAGAGGGTAAGTAGTTTCTTGTTACGACACGGTTTGTAGACATTAAGCTTACAAAATCTAGAACATCCTTGTCATTGCAGAGCATGCAAAGGACGAAGAGACAAAGTCCGCACTGAGCCGCCTTGCGGGAGATGCTTATGCGGATGAGATCAGCGCCAAGCGCGTTTCTGTTCTGGACCTGCTTGAGCGTTACCCGTCGATCGACCTACCCATCGGTGTCTTCCTTTCGATGCTGCCGCCTATGCGCGTCAGACAATAGTAAGCGCTCTCAATACATCAAGACGATTCAAAATGTGCTAACAAAGACTAGCTCCATCTCTTCGTCTCCCATGGCTCACCCCTCCAACGTCACGCTCACTTTCTCCGTCCTTAATGAGCCATCCCTCTCAGGCCAGGGCCCATACATCGGCGTTGCCTCCTCTTACCTGGATTCACTCGCCGCGGGCGATACTCTGCATGTCGCCATCCGCCCGTCTCACGCCGCGTTCAGTCTCCCTTCTGACCCCGAGAGAACCCCTATGATTTGCGTTGCTGCCGGTACCGGTCTCGCTCCTTTCCGCGGCTTCATCCAGGAACGCGCGACCATGATTGCCGCGGGTCGCACCCTGGCACCTGCACTTCTCTTCTTCGGCTGCCGCTCGCCCGACCATGACGACCTTTACCGCGAGGAATTCGAGCAATGGGAGGCTGCCGGTGCTGTCTCTGTTCGCCGCGCCTACAGCCGTGACAGCGACAAGAGCGATGGTTGCAAACACGTGCAAGATCGCATGTGGAAGGATCGCGAAGAACTAGTTGACCTCTGGAAGCAGGGTGCGAAGGCGTACGTTTGTGGTTCCCGTGGCGTGGCCGAATCGGCCAAGGAGACCATCATCAAGATCAAGGTCGAGATGGAGCAAGCCAAGGGTGAGGAGACGGACTCGGAGCATGTCAAGGATTGGTTCGAATCGTTGAGAAATATCCGTTACGTCACGGATGTGTTTGACTAGACTGATGATGCAATATTGGTGGTATTACATGTCATTTGACGGTGTCACGGATGGTATGGAATTAGAGCGGCGTAACAACTTAGAATAATACCCGGCAATGAGAAAACATGCCGCTGTTGCTGATACTCGCATGTACATAAACTGCGTAGGCTTCCCAGGAGCTAAAGTGGGCGAACGTGGCTTAAAGTTTGATATGACTACCGTTTGAACATACCTAAGTCTCACTAGTCCATCTTGGCTTTAACAGTCCCTTCAATTTACGTGTTCTTGTAGGTTGTGTCGATGTCAAGTAAACAAGTCATTCGGACTATGGTTGTTGTCCGTCGGGGTGAGGGGAGTGCGATGTCCGATCGACTAAGCATTACATCCCCAAAGTTCTGCCGCGGGAGCTGAGGGGGGTTACTAATTCGACGGCACAAGCAGGAAAGAATTTTAGGGACTTTGCGGTATCATTGTGCCGCGGCAAGTCTAAGTATGAGATCATCCAATGTCTGAAAGCTTCCAAGATTTGTTGGGACTGATTTCAGCACGCTTGATCATGACCTGGAATAGTTTCCAAGCTTTCAACATGAAGGCTTGTTTATGCTCTTGACGTATATCTTCTATAGCACAAGTCGTAAGATAGGTTCTCACTCTTTGTTTCTTTACTACCAGTGAGAAGCTCGTGAACCCTCTGATCTGCGCCCATACGCATAGCGGATAATATAAAAAACGCGTAAACTCTATTTTGCAGACCAATCCATGTCTGCGAGCAGTACGCTGGAACTAAGACCTAGGATGAGGCTATGATCAGAGCTTCCAGCTTCCCCGCACGACTGGATGTGCCGAGGCAGAAGCACCCCTTGGCATAGACGATGAGACGAAAGACCCAAGTTCTGTCCAAGTCGGCGTCATGACTAGCCATGGTATTTCTAAGAAAATACGGCACTAACAGATATGAGCGGAAACACAGAAACACTGCGTGAACTGATGAGAATCGACAAGTGCCGTAGACTACCTTCTGAGACCCCAGGCATGTCGGCTTCCTCCGTACTTAGATCACAGTAGATCAATACGATCAACGTAGCACCACCTAATCTTATGAACCTACACGGACCTTTTACGGCGACTTAAAGCGTACTGGCGGTAAATTCTAAGTCGATCTCTGGAAGGCTGTACTGGACGCTGTTAAAGACCAGACTGGGAAGGAGAAGGCGCAATAATACATCAATCTCAAAAGAAGATTTATCCTTGCATAATTGGGAGATGTTCATCTTCATACTTGCCTTGAATAGTGTTCCGGCACCTATATTGCGGTAACGATAGCGAATACGTGCCGCTCCGGTAACCTGTTATCCTTGGATCGGCTCCTAGCGGCGGCCGAAACGGAAACTTAGAAATCAACCCCGACCGAGCTTTACAACGCTGAAACTCTGTAACGAATTGCCTGAACGTTATTGGTAGTATATTTCTCCTCTTATTGAATAAAGCTCTGTCGGCATTAAAAAGACCATGCTATTTCCCTCTTGGTGATTAGAAATGATGCAAAATGTCACATGTCGTCCCATCTCAAGTCCCAGAACTGAGGGATTGCTGGGTCTACATAAAGCGACGTGCTCCCACTTGTTGTACTCCCGTGAATAACATGTATCTTTTTATTTAAACCACCTGCAGATTATCATTATTAGTACCAATAATGGCAACAACCACCGTTCAGGTTACTGAGTCAGCTTCACTCAAGTCCTCTCATCGTCCTACGTTCCCAGCCATTATCGATGACAGAGCTTCGTACGAGCCTCAGCGGGAGGCTTTCTTTGTACCCCGCACATCGAACCCTCGTGATGGCTGGAAAGCAATTACGTACAAGGAGTTCGCAAACTCCATCAACTACATGGCTCAGGTCATTGTCCGAAGATTCGGATCACCCCAAAAAGACACATTTCCCACCATCGCTTACATTGGACAAAATGATATTAGATATGGGGTGAGTGATGCAAACACACTTATACCGACTAGTAACTTATCATAAGCTAGATTATGATTGTCGCAGCTATCAAGGCTGGCTATAAGGTCAGTAATCTTCCAGTTTTATCAGACATCACTAACTAACGTTGCGCTGCAAGGCTCTGTTTGTGTCACCTAGAAATACCTTGGAGGCACAACTGAATCTTTTTAAACTTTCCGATTGCCAATTTGTAGCCCGGCCAAAATCGCACACTGCCATTGTTGATACATGGCTAGCACACCGGCCTATGGAAGTCCTCGACGTCGAGGAGTTGGATGCTATCCTCACTCAACCAGAAGTTCCTCATGTGCCATACACAAAGACACGCGAGGAGTCTGAATGGGATCCATTCGTCGTACTTCATACCAGCGGTAGCACAGGACTTCCGAAACCCATCGTTACGAAACATGGAGCTGTAGCCTTGGCCGAGACCGTCCGCAACCTTCCCGAGTGGAATGGGTATGTGCCTTTCGGGCGAGTAATGGAGAAAAATACCAAAAGGCATTATAGTCCCAGTAAGTTTAAATACTAGCCGTTCCACGAGCCTCAGCTCACGGAAGCCCCAGTGCCCTTGTTCCACGCTGGTGGAGTATTCGGGTTTATTGGAACCCTGGTGATGGGAGGCACACCTCTAGTCTTTTCGTACGGAGATCGCCCTTCGACACCGGAACTTGCTCTAGAGTGTATTAAATACTCAGGCTCAGAGAGCGCTGGCTTAGCACCATCCTTGCTGGAAGAGATGTCACATAACCCAGCCCACATCGCAGAGCTAAGGAAGCTCACATATGTGATGTTTGGAGGTGGTAAGTGGATTGGATTAGCCTTTAATCGAATTTTCTGACAGTTCAAAGGTCCTTTGAGCCAAGAAGCCGGCGACACCCTCGTTCAGAATGGTATAACTTTGATTAACGTCATTGGAGCAACTGAGTAGGTTTTTTGCAGCCTGGTGAAGATAACTACTTCAATCGGCGGTGGCTGATGAACACAGGTCGATGCCGCTATCACTATATCACCAACCAAACCGAGAACTCTGGCAATACTTCATATACAATGATGAATATGCAGGACTCGAATGGCGCAAGGCGACCGCCGAAGATGATGTTTACGAAATGGTCATCACAAGGAAGTCAAAGCAGTCACCGATGCAGGGCATATTTTACACTTTCCCCAACATTGAAGAGTACAGAACCAACGATCTGTACAAGCCGCACCCCGTGCTTCCACATCACTGGAAATTTCATGGGAGAGCTGATAACATCATCAATTTGTCTAACGGGGAGAAATTGAACCCCACTGACATGGAAGACATCATTCTCGGCCACCCTGATGTGCGAAATGCACTCATAGTCGGGGCGTGGAAGTTCCAGCCGGCTTTGATCATCGAGCCTATGACGTTCCCCAAGACCAAGGAGGAAGAGAATGATCTCATTGATCGTGTCATGCCTCAGGTTGCGGAAGCCAACAAGACAATTGGTAAGTACCTCGCAGCCCGGAAATATCTTTTCAATACTCCATTATGAGCTCTAGTAATGACACGAGAAGCGCAGCTACACACGGACGACTTGTTAGACACCTCTTAATGGTGTCCAAACCAGAGAAGCCGTTCCTTTTGGCAGATAAGGGCACCGTGAAGCGAGCTGCCACAGTCAAGCTATATCATAACGAGATTGAGGAGCTTTACGCAAACCCTAGGGAGATCCCTCTCGATAAAGTCCCAAGACTGGATTGCAGCTCCGAAACGGCACTTGCTCAGTCGCTTGAAAAGCTCCTTCGAGAGCATTTGGGTGTGCCGTCATTGGACACTGATACCGATTTTTTCGCTGCTGGCATGGACTCGCTCCAGATAATCACCGCCGCTAAGTTGATTACCGCCAGCCTCCGCGTTACAGACGAGTCGTACAAGAATGCCACTATCGAGGCGCGCGACATGTACGCCCATGCCAGCCCCAGTCAGCTTGCCCGTCACATACTCGATGTTGTTGTTAGTGGGAAGCTCGAGGAAAAGACACAGTCTGATGATCCGAAAATTGCGGCAATGAAAAATCTATACGAGGGTCTTTCAAGGGACCTTGTGCACGCCAAACCAGGCCGGCCTGAAGCTCGCAAAAACCACCAGACCGTTATTCTCACTGGCTCCACTGGCAACATGGGCTCTTATTTACTCGACGAGATGATCCGTAACCCTGAAATTGAAAAGATTATATGTTTCAATCGGTCTCCAGATGGAGGCGCTGGAAAGCAGGAGAAGGCCATGGAAGAGCGCGGCCTGAACTCGCCTAGCAAGAGCGGCAAAGTTGAATTTTTTCATACCACCCTCGGGCAACCCAACATGGGCTTACGTCAGGAAGTCTATGAACGTCTTCTCAGAGAAGTTGACCGCATTGTCCATAACGCCTGGGCCGTAAATTTCAACATGCCGTTCGAGGCCTTCGAGCCTCATGTCAAAGGGGTACGCAACTTGGCTGATTTCGCCGCCAAGGCAGACAGACGCGTGGTGATGGTTTTTGTCTCTACGGTTGGTACCGTAAGTGGCTGGACTCCTGATCGAGGTCCTGTTCCAGAGGCTTCCCTCCGTGGCGACTGGAAACTCGGAGGTTTAGGTTATGGCCAGAGCAAGCTCGTCTCCAGCCTGATCTTGGAGGACGCAGCCAAAGTTGGAGACTTCCCCCTTTCGATTGTTCGTGTCGGGCAAATCGCTGGGCCTCTTGCTGAACAGGGTGCTTGGAGTCGTCAGGAATGGCTACCTTCCATCATTGCCAGCAGCGTCTACTTGAAGGCTTTGCCAGAGAGCCTTGGTGGCATGAATGAGATTACCTGGGTTCCAGTCGAAGTTATGTCTAGAATGATACTGGATCTTGGCGGTCTCACCAAAGAATCAACATCCTACCACGAAGGGTATTTTAATGGAACCAACCCATCAGCAACACGATTCGATTTGTTCGTTCCTGCCATACAGCAGTACTACGGTAAGAATCGCCTTCCGGAGATCATCAGTTTCAACGAGTGGGTTGAGCGATTGGAAGCGAGTCGACATGCTACTGGAGCTGTAGAAGCGGAACGCAACCCTGGCCTCAAGTTACTCGACTTTTATCGTAGCACAACAAAAGGTGACAAGGACAAGGGTGGATTTTTGACAGAGAGAACTGTGTCGTGCAGCCCTGCCCTTCGCTCCGTGAAGCCAATCACGCCAGAGTTGATGGTGCATTGGTGTCGACAATGGAAATTTGAGAGCCCATCTCGTACCGGACGTTTGTAGGATTGAAGGAGTGAGACTATATCTTATTGACTATAAATCAAGAGAGAACAATGCGATTCTTTGTGTGAAAAAGGTGATGCGAGCCAACACCTATTGGTTATTTGCTGCTGTGTTGTCATAGTTACCTCATTCGAAATGACACAAGTCTTCATTCCATTGAAATCGAGGATTCGCTATTTGGAGTCCACTCATAAGACAGATTTCTGCTATTTCAGCGAGAGAAGTCTAACATTACGACACAACTTACGGATCTGAAGCTGACAGCTGTCTTTTTCGATGCTGTCAACAATCTGGAAATACAAAGTGACCTGTAGTTGTATCCGTATTATTTCAGACGAAAACCGCTTACAATAAGTACACCAATAATCCTACTCGGCTGTTTGACTGTGGCCTGAGAAGAATTAGGTTCTCAAGCGCAGACTTGGAGATAAGTAGTCAGATCCATCTATGGCTAACACAGATGTTGATGCAAGTTACGTGAGCATAAATAAAATTCTTGAGCCAATTCATGGCGAGTGGACAACTCAAGTTAAAGGCCCACGAAGTGACGAAAACAGAAAAAGGCGGTTTCGAATTAAATATTCATCTGTCATTGGTCATAGACCTGCATCATCACTTGCGTCCAATGTATACATCTAACCCCCCATCTCTTCCTATACCATACTCTTCCTACTAAGACATACCATAAATCCAGATTTTTCTCTATCTATCTAAAGACTAATCCATCTCGCCATCCAAGTGCGGGTGATCTGCTTGGCCTCATCAACCAAGCCAAGGTCAAGCAGCATCTGAACAGTACCACGTGTAGAGCTCTCAAGGGCACTGAAGACCCATGAGTGCGTGAAACTAGTGGCTTCACCAATGAAGACAGTGTTAAATTCTGTCTGCCAGAAAGCAGGCAGATAGAGCTGCTGCTGGGGCACTATAGGAACTGCAAAAGCGCCAGCGTGGTGCTCATCGTGCTCCCAGCAATGACGTTCGTAGTTACCGGTCCACATCTCATCCGCAATCGGGCCATGGATTTCGACCATGGCTTGCTGAATATAAGCAATGTGCTCCTCAACAGGCATGGCGCACGCAACTACGGCATCTGCATCGGGAGCATACGAGGTGAGCATGACACCAGGGCCGGTACCGTTAATGTTGTAGGAAGGGTAGCAAATCTGACCGATGCCGTAAATATCAGTGCGTCCACAGCCGCCAATGATGGGGTGCTCGAGATGCTCCCAGAAACGGGTCTTGTATTGCATAGCAACTTTGACAGCACCAAGGAAGACAGTACGCTCAATAGCGCGACGCATGAGACTGGAATGAGGGGGCAGTTTCCAGTACTTGAGCACATTGAGAGGGACACTGTTGAAGATGTAGTCGAATCTCTCAGTGGTGGTGTTCTTGGACCAGGGGCTGCTGCCAGTCCTACGCCAGGTCACATCAAGGTCTTTCGAATCCTCGTTGTACTTGACGCTGAAAACTTTGGTGTTGTAGGAGATGCGATCTTTGATAATGTTCTCAAAAGCGGCAGGAAGACGACTGATGCCACCGTCAACAGTGCGCCACTCGTTTGCCATAAAGTACACCGTCTCAAACTCCCACATGGGCCAGACAACTGCAGAGGTTGTAGTTTCGTCTGTCACATTGAGGTCTGTCTTCATGACAAAGCGGAGATATTCAACCTCGGAAAAGTCAAACATTCCCTGTTCAACTGCCTGCTTGTGCGCTTGGAAGACATTTGTAGCATAAAACTTTGCCTTTTCGGGAGTAAGATCTTTGAAGTCGTCCAAGGCTTTTTGGGCTTCTTTGACAGCTGTAGCGTTGGAGTAAGTGACATTGCTCTGAAGAGAAGGGTTGGCGGCGATTTCCTTGCGGCCCGGAACGGTACCGTCAACCCGGCGCTGGGTGGTCGCCACAGGAGCATTGTCTGAAACCTGGATCCAGGGAATGAACTTGACTTGCAGAGAGGGGTCTGCGTCCTTGTTAATCTCATTGAGAACGTCGGCTAGTTGATAAATCATCTTCTGATCATTGATGGGGTAAGTTTCGTTGGTCGCCGGATCATGGATCGTGTGCGGGAAGCGCATGGGGCCTAGCTCATGATGCTGGTGGTCCTCAGGAGCCGATCCGTTGAGGTAGGTGGTGCGAATTCGACCACCAACTCGATCGGATGATTCCAAAATCTTCCAGTTGTGAATGCCAACTGAGTCAAGGAGCAACTGAAGATCTCGTCAGTGTAGATCGTTGTAGGAAATATCAAAGCCACTTACACCAGTGTGCAAACCGGAGATGCCCGCGCCCAAGATACCAAAGGTCTTGTTCTTGACCGACGCAACAAAAACGTCATCAGGCTGCTTTTGCTTCAAGTATTCGACACCATCGAACCAAGGACCCATGGGATCGGTAGAGTCGGCGAATGTAGCACGCTTCCTCATTCTTCGGCCCTTTACAACAAGCTCAGTGGACCTTCCAACCAATTCATCGTCAACAAAAGCATGAAGGCAACCAGAAGATACATCTTTAGGTACGACCCAGACGAACTTGGTCGGCCTTTGGTCAGTCCATTCCAGATGACGCTTCGCAGCTGGGTGGTTTCCGACATGAGTCTGGCCAATCTTATGGTGTGCGTTCTGAGGGCTCGTGATATCGCAAGCGCCATAGACAATGACCAGCTCACCATCGAGAGGACCATTGTAGTCGATGTTGATGTTACGAATTCCGTTGCTCTCAACTTCGAATGGGCCCTTGAATGATACCGTCTCACGGTAGATTGGCTCTGAAAGAGTTGGCTGGCAGAGAGTTGCCGCTGCAACAAGGAAAGTAGACCACCGAGCCGCCATACTGTCGTATTTCCAGTGGTTAAGACGGAGATAAATGCTACTCTACCACATTTAGAGTCGTAAGAACAAAAAATGGAATTGCCTGCCTTTTAATGCAATCGTATAAGCGCGGCTTCAGTCCCTCTTGAGACTCAGTCTTGGTCTTGGCGAGCACCTTGATGGTGATTTCAGAGGCTTAGCAGTTTATTTTTTTCATATAACTACGATCTAAGTATATTAATACCGCTTCCGATACCGAATTCCTCCAGCTTAAGGTATGGTTAAGCTGCGTTTCTGTGTCATGTTCTGGAAGTTCGGTTACTGCCTACCAGGACCCTACTCCGCTACGAGTGCCACAATGGGGGACAAACACCCCAGTGCAGCGCAGCCGAGCGGAGCAACCGTGGCAAAACTAATTTGCATTTGTGCATTGTTCTGTGGGTTGAGTGCTCGCCTCTCAAAATCTCATATCTTTTGGTGTCTTGGCGAGAGAGACTTTGCAGGGGCTCTGCCTTGCTCGACTCCCCGGCATCGGAACTGCGGGGAACCTAGCTTTACGTCGTAAGAGAGAAACTGTCGACTCTCAATCATTTTCCTTATCATCATCCCCTCTTAGTGTATTCCAGAACGCTTGACTTGCATTGTATTGGCCTTATACCTGCATGACAAGATATGGCGACAATCGGGCATTGAAAGAAAAAGGAAGCTGGTTGATCCAGGTTGACACTTGCTCCGGAGGCATTAGGTAACAGATTGTAGTAGAACAACGGAGGATGGAGTTTTCAAAGTGGATATCCGGAGCCCCTGGACCCCGTCAAGCAACTCAAAAGCAACTGTATCCAATTAGACCGCAACCTAAACAACTCTGCCGGAGGAACTCATCGTCCGCCTTGAACTTTTCTACTCGGAAACTACAATTTTCAACTATATAGAACTCCCGATTCTCCGAGCTCCGACAAAACTTCTGCTTCTTAATAAATTCAAAGAGAGCAGAAAATAAGAGCGGTGTGAGTGTGGATCGTGCAAAGCTTTCTTCAGTTAAAGCTATTGCCAAGAAACCCAAGATAAAAATGACAGGCCCATATCTCTTGGCTAGAGATAACGCACTGCCGGCTGGCAGCCTGTAGCGGCATTACCCACTGAGCATCCTACGTACGGAAAATTCTTGCATACGGAACGTGGCGCGGATATGGATATATGCAGCAGATCCCCAATATGTTGTAGCATCGGTCTTGGCCTCGGGTAATTATTCATATAGCCGATAGGCTTGGATTCTAGCGTGTCGCTTGAATGATAAACAACAGCTTCCAAAAAATTACATTCCATTAGTAATAGCACTGATATTCTGCCATGCCAATCAAGCACCCAATATTGTAGAGTTATCCAAAAAGCCTCTTGTTTTTTGTTTTTTTTTTTGGTATTTTTTTAAAGAATCTCTTGAAATTCAAGGTGCTTCAGCTTGGTAGCAAGAACGTGTCAAACTATATCAATTCATATTAAATTTTTAGGCGAACGAACGAAATGTTACAATAAAATGAGCTGTGAAGAATTAGAGTTCCTGGGCCGCCATTGATAGAGCCCCTCCATTGGGCTTAACCAAGTCAGATACTCGTGTAATTCAAGTCCAATCTAGAAAACATCAAATGGACCTTTTCAACTAGCAATCATCTTTTTCATACTGATTCACTAGTTTGTCCTTGTTCAATTGCATGATTGTAGAATTTGCGCTGCTGTGGCTTTGCATCATTTGCGCCACCCATCTTACTCTGTGAACACAGAAATATTAGTGAGCTTGGCGAGAGAGACGTCAACTTATGTGACGTGCATATTTATCGTCTTAGCATCAGTCTGTGTAAAAGTTCCATCTGAATTGAACAACGAATAATAGCAATGTTGCGAATCGTACATGCCTGCTTTACGTTTGGCTTATCAGACCTAGGTACTCGACAATTAAATCGACGGACTTTGCATGAGCACCTTTTCCCTACAGAACATTCGATTGAATGTATGCATAACAACTTCAAAATAATGACGTTTGGTTTTTCGTACAGCCTCTCATTCCATAGGTCAAGCTCGGATTTATCCTGCCATACGCACTGATGTTGCTATCTCATAAGCTACCTCAGTATCATCGAAAAACAAAAAATGAAAGACCTCATGATATTTAAAATTGGAACGCTTCATTGCACGGTTGTACTCCCGCCTTTTCGATATAGAGTTAGGTTTGTTAGCTGAGACCAAGGGTACAGTGCGGCGCAATATGAAGGACGTCGAAGCAGGACTGGCATCTTGCACATAAATGTGGCCCATCATTGACAAGCATAACTAAGTCCGCGGAGATCATAGGTTCCGCCTTGCCATGGCGAATGGACCACATGATCCCCCACTTGACGTCGTCCTATCCAAACCCACTCATTCCGGCCCTGCTGATATTTTTTAGGTACATTGGATGTTATACCCACCTAGCTAAAAGGCTGTCCCTTGTCCTTTGTCGACATCTACGGATGCCCATGCCCTTATTACCGGCTTCCCTACCTCCGGTGACGCGAAATCTGCAGGTCCACATCTAAAAGATTACCAGATAGATTCGTCTCGAAGTTAACTCACCCGTTGAAGAAGTCGGATGCTTGTGCCGAGATTACAATAATGTGGGAAAATCTTCCACTGATCAGGAACACAAACCTTGGTGCTGTTCAATTTCATCTGAAAACCTATGTGTTTCACTTCCCCAACTTTAGCAACGGCCAACGCGCTTGGATGGATGACTGTAAGTGGTGTGCGGTCCGTGACAATTGGATTGTTTCGTTTCATGTTCCACATAGCGTCAAATGCTGCCAATATTTTGGCATGGAGAGGACAGCTGACATACAGCTCGCATTACCAAATGTCAAACTTTTTATCGTCGTCCATTCATGGATCGTTGAGTTGGGTTGGGCAGGATGACAAGAGATAGGACGTATATGCATCAGAACAATAGTAATTAGAAGTTGGGAAGAAGTTGACGGCGTGATGTGTAAACTAGTCCTCTTCTCTTTTAATTCATCAGTAAAATTCTTAGTGTCAGAAGTGAACGGCAAAATGAAATGGATGCAGCAAGAATTGACACACAATATCACGTAGTGAGGAAATTTGATGAAAGACCATACTCCAGCTAGAGTAGGCAGCCGTGTCTCATTATAAGTAGTCCAGTACTGTTACAAGTTAATCCTCCAGAAAAAGACTCATCCGCCAAATTCTCAATCTTGGAATATGTGCAATATAAACCCCATTTACTCCTCATCCTCAATCTCGGCCTCGACAGCACGCTTCATCATACGCTTGAAGGCCAACTCGGACTCCTGAACGGCGCGGGCAAGATTGCGGCGAGCCGCAGCGGGAGTGTTGCCAGGCTGGGCCATCTGGACAGGGACAACACCGCCGAAGGGACCGGCGCGAGCGGCGTTCTGGCAACGAACCAGGCAGACGTTGTTCTGGCCGGCAACGGTACCAGTGCAAGTCTGGTCCGCAGGGATAGTAGCCTTAAGGGGGAAGTCGGTCATGGCACCAGCCTGTATGTTTTGTTAGCACTACCGCCATGTCTGTTTTTTCAAGATGTCACTTACGCGGTTGCGGGAGTTCTGGCCCGGAGGAGTAGTGACGACGTTGATAGCGGTCCATGAGGCACCAGTACCATCGCCGTTGATCATGCAGTCGTAGGGACCGCCACCGTCGCCGTTGACCTGGTGGAGGGTCATGTCGATGGAGCCACCGGCACGGACCTGGGGAAGCTGGTCGCCAGTCATGGCCATGATGGCCTTGGTGCCAGTCTCGAGATCGTTCTCACCAGCACCAACGGTCTGACCGAAGGTGTCGGCGTTGGGGCCCTTGAAGCGAGTGGCATCGGCCTGGAAGGGGTCACGGCGAGTGCCATCACGAGGAGTGTTGGGGTCAACACCGAGGGCCATGGCACTGCCACCGAGCTCACCAGTGGCGGCGATGATAGCGGCGTGGCCAGCGACAAGCTTGGCAGCAGCCAGGACGGAAACAGCGACAGCGGACTTGAGAGACATTTTGACTAAGTGAATAAGAATACTGAGCTCCTAGCCTGAGGAGTTGGAATAAGTAATCCTGCCGGAGGAGGTAATGAACGGAAAGAGAAAGAGGTTGTAAGAGACTGTTGATGAGTGAACTGAAGATGCTGATGAGAAAGAATCTTTGGGGAAAGTTGGGATTCTCTCCTGCTTTTGTAGTTGAGAAACTCTCTTCACAATCTGGTGAACAGCCTCTAAAATTTTCACACACGCGAGCTGAGCATCAGAATAATCTCCAACCCCCTCCCATTTTGCGATGAGACCAAGGTGGACACACGTTCCACCATCCGGTACTCTCGACTAATACAGCTGGCAGCAACCAAAGATCAAGCATGTTGTTTGGACCGTAGATGCAAAAAAAAGTTGAGGCCAAACACGATAACCACCGTCGTATCTCATGAATGGAGACAGCTTCGAAACTGGGCCTTTACCAATTCGGATCGTGAAAGAGGCTCTGTGTGGGAGAGACTGGGGTGCAAACCTTGTTGAAGAGCCAATCGCATCGCGATCTCGAGCCCCCTTCGCAAGGGGATAAGGAGGGGGAGAAACACTGTCGCAGATCAGAAAACATTTGTCGCACACCGTTGGGCGGGATCATGTTCCAGGATCTGCGCCACGCCCAGGCACACGGCTAAAATAGAGACTAGAGTTAGGAGGGCCGCCCTTGTCGGATCAAACAACTCTACCACCCCCCAGAGACTCTAGAGCCGCACGATGGTTGGTTGAGCAGCTGTTTCTGCGGGAAAGGCGAGACGAAGGGAGTTGATGCCAGTGTCTAGCGGCGTTGCTTCGAATCTGCGCTCGGCCTCTGGCAAAGTTCGTCCATACTGAGGGTGTCGAGAACTCGACGGCCAATTCCACGCCAGCGATGGAGAACAGCACTCTGACGGCTATCATCTCAATGTTCTGGAACAAAGCCCCTTCAAGCCCCTTTGACACCCGTTGCACTGATGTGAACTGCACGGCGGACGATAGTGGATACGTTCGAGGGGTCAAGTTGAGATGTCATGTCAAGAAATCATGCCGGTCATCTAGAGTCCGGGCTTGCTCAATGCCTCTATGCGAGTATCATGGGCGGAGCGCCAGAACCGGATGCAGAGATTCATAGGAGTCTCACCGTGAAAATGACGAAGTCCCTGCAGGACGCAGACAAATGCTATGCATACACAGATTACGGGAACTAGCGCCTAGTGCCAGGCACGCCAGGGCAAGCTTTGCCACTGCCGTTTCTTGGTATTCTTATCCATCGCGCTTCTCATCGCCATTGGTCTCCATCGCGAGTTGACTCGACCAGTAAGAAAGTGCCCGCACCAATTAGCATTGGCGCCATTCCCAATAGGTACCACGAGGGTGGGTGGGAGGCAAGGAGGGCGACTATTTGGGATCCCAAAGGAGGTCAAAGGCTCCGGACAAGGAGGCTTGGTGCTCTGATGGGTACAGGCATCGCAAACAGATTGGAGGCGCAGACGGGTATACCGTTTCGTCGATCTCGAGGATGTATGAGCCGCCTCTACATTCCAGGAAGATGTCGTGATGCGCCGGGATGTGTTTCTCGTTCCGGGTGGATCTTCTAAGCCCCCTGGCTGGCATCGTGAGAATCCAGGAGAGAAGCCCTGGCCAAAGAGCTGACAACGCTGCGCAGATCTGGGGAATGCGGGTGCTTCAGCAGTAGAGGATCCGGGGCATGGTTTGTCGGTTCTCGTTGCCTCCGATGCAGGCATACAGATTCTAGACACCACCGACCGGGATCTAGAGGGCAGCTTTACGATTTGATACAGGGGTCGCCGCTTGGATAGAAGGGGCAACGCTGCAGCCGGAGCCATTCCGTGGAGGGGAGGGCGCTGCTACGGCTGCTGAATCATTCCACCTGATTCACTCCGTCTGTGCAACACCGTGGCACACCTGGAACAGCACCCAGCGCTTCCCCGCCAGATTAGCTTGGTGGAGAAGAAAAGTAAGCTTAGGCGATACTCCCTCTGTTGCTGCAGTAGAAACATGATGGAAAATTCAGAGTTATTTTGCCTAGTGGGGGGTGGAGTTACTCAAGGGTCCCATATGATCCAAGTGTCTTTCTTGATGGCAAATGCCCCGGGCCTTAGCATGTAAATGCATCGAGTACATACATCATTACTTGAAGCCAATTTTTTCATTTGCCCAGGAAAAACTGTCGGTACTACCGGCTCCTAGAGAAGCCGAGAAGCTCACAGACTACGTTGGTGCACACAGATAGCCACAGACCTTTAGCCTCTTCATAACGGCGGAGCGTTTGAGCCGGTGGCTTGAGTATCATCGCCTTTTGGACCCCCTTTCTCCTAGTCTCCTAAGTCTTCCGATTCGGGGCCGACAACCGGCTGGGCGGATCCACCGTAGTCGGTCGGAGGCCCGGCGAGCCTCGGCAAGGCCTCCCATTTTTGCAAAGCGACAAGCATATGTGCTCTTCGCCTTTATTACGTGCTGTGATGATTTCCATTCCCGCTACCTCGATGCCTGCGTAGATCAATCATGACTTGGATAGCCAATCGCAACCAAAAGAAAAACTCAGCCTCTCATGATGTCAGCGGGGGCTGTATTATTTCCCGGCTGTTCCCACATTGTACGGGTACACGAGTCGAACCCCCCAGGTCTTGAATGCCCGCTCTAGGAGGCCTGACGCGCCCTGACGCCGCAAGCGAGTTTGATCTGCTTACGCCAAGAAGACCAAGCATGCGGCTTAATCAGAGCCTCTAGGGGCACTCGAAAGCTGACCAGCAGCTAGGGAGGGTGTCAGCAACAAGGCTAGTGCTGCAGGGCAGAAGAACCGCAGCGAAGCCCAGACCATCACTGAAGAGGTGCATTGTGCGCCAAGAACTCGGGACCAGAGCGATTCAGGTGAGGTCGTGGCAATAATTAACGAGGGTAGCCCTTTTCCGATCACTTCGGAGAGTATTCTCGGCTCAAAAGCTTGTCCATTGGCGAAGCATTTGCCCATAGTTTTCAGTTCATGCAGCCTGCAAGGAACGGATCAAACTGGTCATGGACTGCCTGACCTGTTTGTTGGGGGTGATTGGAGGCATGCAAGCCCACGGTTACTATATGTGAGGCACGTTTCTGACGTTCAACCTTGGGGCGCATCAGCCTGTCAGCTTTGAGATTTGACGACTAGTTACAGATTTGAATGCATCTTTTCTACTATGCTCGCCTTCGCCCTATCATCTGACGCTGAGGATGAGACGCCTTATCTCATCGACTGATGTACCTGAGAAGAAGTCGTTCTTTGGCTTAACTCGTCCTAACTCTCTCTCTCTGTGAGGAGCTCACTAATCACCGTTGAGATGTCACCGTCGATGCTCGTTGCCAGCCCGGCATCCTCCAGATCCCACGGCACGGCCGTCTCAGGACCCTTGCCCACCCTCACAAGCTTGACTCTTCCCCCGCTTCTCACTACGATATCCTCGTTCGGCCACCTCAAGACGCCCGGGGTTGACATGCCAACGCCAAGCTCTAAAATAACCGTTTCCTTGTTTCCACGATTGACGACATCCTTTTGGAACTGGTTCCATCGTGACTCCCCTTCCTGGAAGGGCCTTTCGTTGAACCAACGCCCCGCCCTTACACATATGTTCATCTTTCCACCGCAAAACCTGCAAAGAGGTACCTTGCCCGGGTCTGTCACGATTTGAGAGACCGGGTCCAGCGATGATTGAGCCTGGTCGACAAGTGGCGCAGAGAGCACTGTAGCGTCTGGTCTGCAATTCGCCAAGCATTGAAAGACAGAATACGATCCCTGAGGCGTTGATAGTTTCCGAGGAGACAAGCCGTTGGCGACAAATAGGCCATCGGCGTTCGAGGTTCTAACGTGGGCATTTGGCCCAAACCTCTCAAGCCATGATATGAGTGTTTGGTACATTGGCGATTTTGGCCACGAGCTGACTACGCCGAGATGCGTGAAGAAATAACCCCAACGCACCTGTTCGTTTGGCCAACCATTGAAGCCAAACACACTGTACAAAGTTCGCAGCCCATATTTGAGGAAACCGGGAAAGTGTTTGGCAAACAGCGCCGGCGAAGTATAATCTAAACCATCGGAGGCTGAAAGCCCCGCGCCAGCACTTACAATGACAGCATCCGCCGACCTTAACCATTCCTTTGCAAGACCCAGCGAATCACACTGGATTATTGGTGCCGACGGTGGCGGCGATCCCAAGTGCAAATGATTCGCGTCTGGCGGAGTCACCGGCTCAGCAATCCTGGCTAGGTGCGGGAGATTGGCGGCCAGGGTTTCTCTGTAAATGACATGGTCTGCGTCTGTAAATGTGTTGAATATTATGTCGGTGATGGACGTTCCCCTGTGATGTCCAAGCCAATCAGCAACGGTAGCCACTGCGACAGCTGCCGCATCTCGCGCCGGAAACGCGAACAGCCCAGTTGAGATCCCGCAGAACGCCACGGTCTTCCTGCCATCCGACGTAGGGGGCAGAGATTCTACGGCGTCGAGCACAGAGCGATAGCATTGAGCGAGCTGCGCGGTCTGCTTTTCGGTTGGCGGCGAGCCGTGTTCCAGTTGCGGCCCAACCGTATGCACGACATGCTGTGCGGGCAGACAGAATCCTGCGGTAACGATTGCCTCACCCGGTTCGATTTCTCGACCCCTTGACACCATGATCTTGCGGCATTCATCCCGTAGCCGTGGGCCTGCCCACGAGTGAATCACGTTGTCTATGCAACGGTGTGAGGGCTGAAAGCAGCCTAGCCCCTGGCCGTTAGCGGCATTGGTGATAGCCGTGATGTCTGATAGCGTTGTGATGTCGCCCTGCCAAAGCGAAACCCTTGTTGCGACACCCGGTGAGTTTGCTCGTTTGACGGTATGTGTGGGCCGGATTGATGTTGCCAGTGTTAGAACTCTGTGTGATTTTTGTTGTTGCAGAAGAGACTCTATCTCATGAAGAATGTCCTCTGGCAGGCGGGGTTGGGGTTGTCGAACGCAAAGTAATTGATGAAGCAGTCGAAAATGGCTCGAAGGTTCTAAATCATCAAGTTGATCCTTAATTTGTTGGTGATGGTGATGGTGACCATGACAGTCGCTGTGGTTATGGTCTTCTGCTGTGGCACCGTCTGCTTCATTCAGTAGATGTACCAGGACCTTTTTTATTTTGGACATTGTAGGAATTGCTCTTTTAGGAGGTTTGCTGATGCTTGAAATCATGTTTCTAGCTTTTCAGTGTTGTGCGATGGAGTCTTCAGGTATGACTATCACAGCCGAAATGTTGATATCACAAGTTATCTCAACTTAATATAAACCTTGCGTTGAAGTAGGCTAGTCTTTAATATTTTTTTATTTGATTTCAAAGTCTCGATCAAAAAAATTCCGAGTGCGGGTTGCTTGTGTGAGCTTCGGATGTAATTTGCTCCCCTGCCCTTGTTTGCCTGAGAATAAGCCGAATACGCGCCACCCTACCGCCACCCTTTGATCTAGAAGTGACAACGTCAACTATTATACTAGCGTTGCTTAGTGTAATGAATTTTCCAAAATTGAGCAAACTTATCTTCGGGATATACTGTGAAAGAATTGACTGCAGCCACTCCTGGAGCTTTTTGCTGCCGTGCAACTTCGCCGCCTTATTCACCTCAAGGTTTTCATGTTGTCTAGCCGTAATTCGCTCACTGGCCTTCTTACACTGGCTTTGTATCATTTCAATTACTTGCGAAGCTGTATATCTAGATCCGAAGAAGCGTGCAATAGCTGGCGCGCGTGTATAAGGCGTTGAGGGAAAACCTTTTGAAGTTCGGCATGATCCATCGCAGTCAATTCGAAAGTTGAACCCATACCAACTAAAAATGATTCTGAGCGATGGTAATAAAAGACTTTTGCCTAATATTTCGAAAAGTAGTTAATGATGGAAGTATAATTATTTGTGGGAAATATCCCTAAACTTTAATACTACTCAGGTGGAATACAAGATTGATTAAAATAGGACAACCGTTTACTCAAGAGAGTTAAATACTTAAAGACGGAAAAAAAAAATACAACATTGAAGAGTTTGTGATTGAGGTATGAATTTATTGTAAGGGTAAATACTGTATTCCATATCGACTGTAGAGCTTGAATTAAATAATGTATTGTCCTATCCAGGCCTGAGAGCGGTTGACTGATATAGTCAATATCATCATCAGATGGTAAATCTGCTATCCAATAGTTGAAATTATACTTTAAATTCATTACTTTTTCACAAACTGCGACCTGATTCCAAGGCATAGATAGTTAGAATCCATCCAATCGAGTGCTGGATGGCTATGGATATATCTTTCTTCCTTTGTCTCCTATTCGTATTTCTCACAAAAGATATACATGACGGCAATTATATGACCCCTTTTATCCCAACAATGGTGACAGCAAACTCTGAGATTAAATGATTACTAGTACCTCCGCAACAGGAAGAATACACAAATGACAAGAGCGGTTTAAAATTATGTTACCCGGTTAGCCAGGCTTGCTAGCCGCCGACTGGCTTTTCCCTCTTATGGGGCTTTTCCTTTAGCCACTCAACACTCGATGTGATGCGACTTACGTAGCCTTTGGCAAGCAAGTCTAAAGCACAATCCATTCGCACCAGTAAACTCAGGTTTGTGAGTGTTTGTGGTAGGTAGCCAACATCAGCTAGTCAAATATGGTCTTAACTAGTTGGGTATCTGTTGGGTATCTACGTATGAGACTGAAGCAGACAGAAATTCCTCCTGAATATGAACTTTAAATCTTTTACGTTGGGGTGAGCAGATACTGCCTAGCTATTTTGACCTAATAGTTGAACTGGTAACTATTAAGTAGCCTGACCTGAATTAAATTTCCTGGCCTATTACTCGTTCTTTTTGTACGGTAAATATGGAAGTTGACGATGTGCGCGGCTTTAGTAATGAACGAAAGTGCTGATACCATATTTGCAGAGAAGCACCTGGCTGTAACCGAATTTTATTCATAGATAACTCATCGACTACTTTTCTAACCCGACTTCTAGACATTTGCCTTCGATGTCGGAGATGGAAGATTGCCTAAGTTTTCGGAATCTTAAATATCGCAAATCTATAATGATCAGCACCATATGCCGGCTAAAGAATGAGTATTTTAGAACTGCATGTTTTTAGACTGTGATTTCGCAGATCTCTCATTTCACTAATTTTTAAAACCAAATCAATACATTTATAGACACTGGCAATGGCCAGCGAAAGCAACTGATTGTTTACTGAAATTGTATGGCAACTGATCTTCATAATAACAGTAACACCATCGGACTTCGGCCATTACCTCTCATATTGCCATGAACCTTGAGTGGGTCATGTTAGTCTAACATTATCAATGTCGATTTGTCGAAGATGCATAGTACACTTTTTGTTTATCGCGATATTATCCTGTCATACTGGTATTCGAAGGTGCAGTAACTTGACTCGTGTGTAAAGCCATTAATTTCTCAAAACACTTGTCCGGTTCCCTGGTGCTGGTCCACTCAATTTTGTGCTTCCGATTCTGTGTTTAGGTCCGAGCCAGCGAAATGTCCGAGTCAAAGCCATCCGTGTCCGAAGCACGCCACACAAAATCACAGACCATCAACAATCGAGAACATCTCTTCGAAGGCCGGGCCGTGCCCCCCAAGGAACAAAAAAACGGTCTTCTGGTTCCTCGCACCCTGTCACAGGCGATGGATCTGACAAACATCCACCACGCTCTCACGAGCGCCCCCACGACACCCGGGATGTCCGCCTTCCGAATCGCAGAGGTTGATGCTGCACCTCCCATCCTCAAGATTACTTCTCTCCTCCAGCAAATACCAGACGTCATATTCGAGATCGCATCGCAGCTCCCACCGGAGACGGCTCTATGCCTGGCTCTCACTTGCAAGCCACTCTACGTCCTCCTCTTCCATCGCACACTCAGGCGTTTAACGCGCCGAAGACGCCACTTATTTCTCTTTACTCTCATGAGAGATCTCGGAACAGCAAACCACAGCGACCATTATTACTGTCACACATGTTCCAAAATATGTGTCTGGAGATGTCCACTTGGAAGGACGCATGGTCCCTGGGAGAAATGCCTGCCAATCAAATTGGAAACCCTTCATCATGACTTGAACGTGCAAAAGCATGCATGTGTAGGGAAGGGATACTTCACTCAAACCATTCCAGAGGTGGAAGATCATGGGTCATGTAAAGGGGTCGCATTACACACTGCTCGAACGGGCTGGTGCAAATGCTGCGAGTATTCTGGGAAGGCGTAATGAAACGATATGATTCGAACGACAAGGTCACTCGGAGTTGGGATGATTTGTACTTTGCTTTTGCGTTAATCCGATAATCTTGAGGAAATTAAGCCGACTATTCTTAATCCTATGCCTATGTACAGTACGCTGAAATAATGTTATGATGCTCTATCCCCCTAAATAAAAAACTTATTGCAATCCGATCTGTTCAAGAAGCCATCTGGCCTCCTCAAAGACTTCCTCTGGTTTACCTTCGCCCTCAATTGGCAATACATCCAATTCGTCGAGACCAGCGGGTTCATACGCACCAACCTGGCTCTCAACCATGCTTGAAAGCATGTAGTGTCCCTTCCTCTCATTTAGTCTCTTGATTAATGTCTCGGCCTCACATTGGAGGTCAAAGAAAATGATGTTAGTACCCTCATGCTTAGAAACGATTTCTCTAAGAGCATCCCGGTAGGTCTTCCTCAGGGCCGAGCAGCTTACAACGACGGAGTCGTAGCCCAAGTCTTCGAGAGCCTCAACGGCCCGTCTACCAATGCGGTTTAACCACAAGGCGCGGTCTTCGTCGGTAAGAGCCAGGCTCCCGCCCATCTTCTCAACTGCAGCTTTAGAGTGCAGTGAGTCTCCCTCAATGAAAGGGACCTTGAGTGAGGAGGCCAGGGATGTAGCTAGTGTAGACTTGCCACTGCCACAGGGTCCAGCAACCAAGATGACGGTCTTGGAGGAAGTGTTCTGTTTCTGGATCCAGTGGTTCGCTTTGAAGTACTTGACAAAGTTGTTAACAAGCTGCTGATCAAGCACAGGCGCTTCAGCAAGCGCCGGAGACAAAGAGCATGCCGTGCTAGTGACATATGTCTTTGACGGCGCAAATTCATCCTTGTCGTACTTGGAGGCGAAGAAGTCGACAAGCTTGATGGGTGGGTTGGCTACCGGGTCAGGGTTTGACGCACGGAGACGGCGAATCCACTCCTTGGGCTCGACTTCTTCGAAATCCAACCCAGCAGCCTTCAAAGCGGGAAGCAAGTCGTTGGTCCAGTTGAACATCTTGGGGTTTGCGACATTGGTGAAAACACCGCCCGCGTCAGAGGTAGAAATGTCGATGACCGCCTGCGCAACGGTGTCGACCGGTAACCATGATGGCGTCTCCTGGAGCTTGGGGAGTGCACCGACAGTGATAGCAGTCTGCAGCATCATCGGCACTGCTTCTGTCGCGTTCCAAACACCGTTCTGGGTATCCGCGACAATCTGCCCGATGCGCAAGACACGAGCCTTCACACCCGACTTCTCGGACGCGCGAGCGCAGAGGTGCTCCGCAACGCACTTCGACTGGGCGTATCCCATACCCTGGGCCCACTCGAGATCCGGAACGGACTCGGGAACAGGAATAGTCGTGGCGCGAGCGACCGTGCTGACAGAGGAGCAGAAGTTGAAGGACGCAGTCGCTGGAGTGTCGTTGCCGGCGGCCTTGCAAAGCGCAATGAGATGGTTAACGCCAGCGATGTTGCCCTTCTCAAAACTGGAAAGCCTCATGTTGAAGTTGACGGACCAAGCACAGTGGATCACGGTGCGTAAGTCTTGCTTTACCTGGCCATAGGTCGTCTCAGAGAGGCCCAGCTTGGGGTCCGCAAGATCAGTTGCCAAAGCTACGAGCTTTCTACGGAAGGGGGCTGCAAGTGCGTGATAGATGCGACGTTGGATAAGAGAGCTCTTGACACGGCGGGCGGCATCAGCATCCGAGGTAGCGCGGGTAAAGCAGTAGATGGTCTTCACAGTCGGATCGGCGGCAAGCTTGGCGACGACATGAGCACCAAGAGAGCCAGTGGCACCGGTTACGGCCTTATGAGGGTCAGCAAATGGGTTCTACAAAGAGGTCAAGGGGTTACACTTACAATGGCAGATCTGGGCGCAGACTCTGCAGACGCAAATGTGTCGTACTTCTCAATCAGATCACGTATCTCGCTCTCAATAGAAACGTCGGTCTGTACGCCCTCGCCAGATCCGAGACTGTAGAGATAAGTGCTGAGCTTGTTGATTGAAGGATGGTCAAAGACAACTGTCTGGCCAAGCTTGTTGCCACCAATGTCAATAGTCCTGAGAATATCGGACCGCATTTGGATGGCTTGCAAAGAATCAAGGCCGAGAGTGAAGAAATCCGTGTCGTCATCCAACTGAACCTTCTTGGAAAGAGTCTGGATAATGCCCTGGCGGATGAAGTCTTTCAGCTCCGGAAGTGAAAGCTTCTTCAGGTCGCCGCTGCCAGCGTCTGCCTTGTCATAGACCTCGTCGATTTCCTGGGCGTATCTCTTGTAGAAAGCCTGACGGATGACACTACCCTTGTCAGTTCTCGGGTAGGCACAGTCGTATGGAAGTAGCTTGATCATGTTCTTGGAGACACGAGCATACGCCTCCACATTGCGGCTTGCGCTTTCAACGACAGGCCACACGGCCTCGAGAATCTCTTCCTCTGTCTTGCCAGCGAGACTCGCGGCTGGGACAATAAGCGCACCCAGTGATGGACGGCCAACACCAAAAATAACACACTCGGTGATGTTTTTGCTAGAGCGGATGGTTCCCTCCATGTGAACAGGGTTGAACTTCTCGCCGTTGACGAGCGCAATCGTGTCGTCTAGTCTGGCGATGTACTTCCATGCTTTAGGGATGGTGGGATGGGGCTCAAAAAGATCCTTGGTGCAGTAGGATCCATCATCCTGGTTCGTAGCAACCTTAGACGGCCACCCTGGTAGGACACAGCATTCGAACAAATTCGGGCCGCGGGGAATCCACTTGAGGTACGGCTCCAACTTGTCGTGAACTCGGACGTAGTTCCATGCCTTGTCGTCAGCCGGGCGGAACGATGTCATCAGCTGTCCAACTTCGGTCCTGTCTGCTCTTAGCTTAGATTCATTGCAAGTTTCAGTAAATACTCACGCTCCGTAATGGCCGACCAGGTTGACTCCGTTGTCAACCAAGGCGTTTCCAAGATCGTCGGGGCAGGCTGAGCCGCCGTACATGACAATCTTGAGCTGACGCAGGAGAGCCATGCCTTCGTCTGTCTCAGCAAGGAGCTTCAGAGCATATGGCACGCCGTAAAAGATTTCAAAGTTGTGTTTGCGCATGATACTGGTGAGATGCTCGCGAGTCAAGGGCAGGTCTGCGTTGTACAAGTGAATGGGCTTTCCGGAGTAGACAGCCCGGTACAGATTGCAGATACCATGGTTATGGTACAAAGGCAAAGTAATGAAAGCCTTCATATCCATGCTACTGGAGTAGTTGGCTATCGCAGACTTTTGGGGCTGGTAGATTGGCTTAGGTAGACCAGTTGATCCTATACACCTTAGCTGGGCTCATACAAGGGGAGGAGGTTATGCTAACTTACCACTAGAATGGATAATATAAATTAAGTTGTTTGTCTCCACCAAGGGATCACGACCGTAGTCCAATTGAGTGTCAGCATGGACCTCAATTGGGAAGTCGTAAGTCGACTGGTTTGCAATCTCAAAGACATCAAGATAAGATAGATTCTCCTTCGCACTCTCAGCAGTCTCCAGGTACCTCTTGTCGGCTATGAGGTACTTAGCGCCAGTGACACTAATAAGAGATTCAATGGCTTCCTGAGAGATTCTTGTTGATAAGAATAGCGTTGTGTGACCAAGTTTAGTCAAGGCCAGCATAGTGACAAGGTAGTCGAAGTTGGAGGGGCCAAGCACAGCTACGGTAGTAGGCTTCTCGTCTGAGTTCAGCCGACTCGGAATGCGCTGCTCGTAGAACTTGGCGACACGGTAGGCAAAAACATCCAGCTGTCTCATGGTGTAATCGACGTAGGTGATACCAGACGACGGGTACGATACAATAACCCTATTGGGATGGGCCCTGGCGCGCCGCCGCACCAGCTCGTCGACTGTCTTGATAGTACTGTCGTCATTGTCCCAGTCCGATAAGGGAGATGCGGAAGACTCCATGAGTGGACTACCAGCAATGTCGGAGCTTGGGAGCACCGCGCTCGTGGGACCGTAAACTGAGGGAGGACTCATGGCGGATGACTTCGTACGTGGTTCATCCAAAAAGTGAAAGTATCAGGAGTACACTGTACTGTCAACAGCTACTCTGCTTTCTTTCATCTGCTGAATGGTTTGATGAAGGCGGTTCAAGTAGAGAACACACACCTCACCTTTTTGAGCTTCAAAGACGGCTTCCAGGATGGGGTAGATCGGCCATTGCTCCGCAGCCGAGTGATGCGCGTCCCGCCATCCTGGCCACTCCACAAGACTGCCAGTGATGGCGAAAGTGTGGGAGAAGGTCTCCGCCTGCGGAGACGCATATCCGTTACCCCATATGGTTGATTTGGAAAGGCGGGTTTCGGCGTGGCGCTAACGGATCTTGACGGATTTTGGGCTTGGGTGACAGGGATATGGATATGTAGCAGGATAATAATCCGACAGTCAAAGAGAAGCTCCGTGATATCGCGACGAAAGAGCCACAGTTATGTTCAATAGAAACCGTATGTACAGTGGCTGAAACTGATTTAATCATTCTTGTTTTGTTCATTAAGTTGCCTGTTCTGGCACATCCTCACATCTTGAGCCTCTCTGTTGCAGTGTCACCCCCAATCAACCTACACACCAAATCAAGTTACGGATAACGTCATCCCTGCACTTTATTAGACAAGATGCCTCTCACTACACATTTCACTCTGAACACTGGCGCGAAAATTCCCGCCGTGGGATTCGGCACTTGGCAGGCTGGTCCGCATGAGGTAGAGCGTGCAGTCGAGACTGCGCTGCGCGCCGGATATCGCCATATTGACTGCGCTGCCATCTACCGCAATGAGGCCGAAGTTGGTGAAGGCATTCGCAAGAGTGGCGTGCCGCGGTCTGATATCTTCATCACCGGAAAGCTGTGGAACACCAAGCACAAGGCTGAAGATGTGGAATCCGGTGTTGATAAGACGCTAAAGGATTTGGGCACTGATTACCTTGATCTGTTTCTGATGCACTGGCCAGTGTAAGTGGTTTTCTCGATCTTGCAAGGGGGTGAAAATCAGTGTTAACAGTATAACTAGCGCATTCAAGCCGTCAGACAAGTGGTTTCCCATCGACTCCAACGGCGTCTTTGAGCTAGCTGACATTGACCCGGCGGAAACGTGGGCTGCGATGGAGAAGCTGGTTGAAAAGGGCAAAGTCCGCGCCATCGGCGTCTCCAACTTCACCGTACAGCGTCTTGAAGACCTCTTGTCTAAAACCAAAACGGTTCCCGCCGTAAATCAAGTGGAGGCGCACCCCTACCTGCAGCAGCCTAAGCTCTTGGATTTCTGCCAATCCAAGGGCATCCAATTGGCTGCCTACTCGCCGTTGGGTAACAACCAGACCGGTGAGCCGAGGACGGTGGATGACCCTCTTGTTGGAGAGCTCAGCAAGAAGCTTGGCATCGACGGAGGTCAGCTGCTAGCCTCCTGGGGTGTTCAGCGTGGTACCGTTGTCTTGCCCAAGAGCGTTACCCCTAGTCGGATAGAGTCCAATTTCAAGGTCCAGGAGCTGCCTGCGGACGCATTTGCGCAGTTGAACGGCCTCGAGAGAAACAAGAGATTCAACTGGCAGACGAGGTGGGGATTTGACATCTTCCAGGAGCTGGGAGAGGAGGAGGTCAAGCGTGTGGCGCAGGAGACGGGGCCGGAAAACCTTACAAAGTTCACCATTTAAATGTTAGATTTTACGATTAGATTTCTTCATTATAGACCAAGTTCAACCCCCTATATCTGGCATCCAGTCGTATGGGTTCGTATCGATGTCTAAGTAGGGGGCAAATGCTGACGAATCGAGGTCTAGCCAATCCGTAGTCTGCCACTCATCCAACAGGTTGGAGCCAAGAAGCTCTGCATCTCCTTGGCTCGCGAGATCAACAGCCCCGGGACCAGCAGAATATGCAGAGTTGAAGTCAAATCCACCCATGGTAGCAGTGGCATTGCCTTGATGTTGTGGAGGCAGTACTTGTGTATCGGCAGTGAACGGTGTAGATCGAGGAGCGGCGGATTGGGAGGCTTGCACAGGCCCTCCGTTGTTTTTCCGTGACATTTGGCCAAGACCCTCAGTTCGGAATTCCTCCAGGATAATTGCATATCGACGACTTGGTGAATTGGTCGCTGTTGCATGAGCAAGATGGGTCTGGCAACGCTCGGCCAGGTCCATAAGCTTTGCGTGTTTTGCATTTCCCTCTCCCTCGAGTGACATACCTCGGCGTTTCTGTTGAATGTCCCATACATAAGTCACAAGTAGGGCGCAAAATGTGACATACTGCGTCCACCAAAAGGCGTGGAAGATGGGTCCTTCAGCAGCCATGCCGTCAACGGTCTCAAAGACTGTGCGCGCCGCTCCGATGCATTCGAGGATTTGCTTCTCACTGCCAGCACTCAGATTTCCCAAAAGAAAGAGCCTGTTGGCATGCATAATAGCATGGGAGTAGGCTAGCTTCAGCACTGTCGCTTGGCGACGGAAACTTGGAATGAGTCTCGAGGGCCGAATTGAGCCCAGATGTGGAGGTAAACTGGCGCGCCACTCATGAATCTTTTCGCTAAAGCGATGTGCAGCGTCAACTCGTTCCTGTTCCGAGATAGCTTTGATCGAGTACACCTCTCTGGAGATGTTGCCGATAATCTGCGCAATCCTATATAAGAGTCAGTCTACAGTGGTGGAAAAATCGTAGCAGCTAAGGCCCTTACTTAACGTGGCATATTAAAGCGTCTATATGACTGTCCAGCTGCTCTTCAACTCGCTCGAGCGGACCTTGTACAGCCATATCCTCATCGTCGATCCTATCAGGGAGATCTTGATCAATGTCATCGTCATGAAAATGTCTAGGGCGACCGAAGATAACCCCCAAATATTTGTCAAGGACGTATGCAGTCCAGAATGTTCGTATGCGACACTGAGCTTGGATGTAATCCGAGTTGGCAGATGCCAGAGCTCTCTTCTTGGCAGCCTTGCGATGCATTCCTAGAGCAGACACTATCTGAAGGGTGTCGCCAAACGTATACCACGCACGGTTCATCCTGGAGGTAGTAAGGAGATAGAGTACTTGGATAAGACGGGACTGGGCGGATTCTAGTCTGGGGAGACCGGTTTCTCGTTCTGTCAACCGTAGCGCGACGCAAAATAAGCGATCGCTTCGTGCAAGCGAAAGGGCCTCATCCGCTGGCGAGTGGAAGCCTTTGGACTTTTCGCTATGGGCTGCGGCAACAGAGAGTGCAGTCAAAACGACAGAGGCTTTCGCACGACCAATATCTTGCCAAAATGGCTTGCCCTGGTGGAGGTTGCTCACCATCGACTTGAGCCAACTTTCAACTGAAGGACGGTGAAGCACACGATAAGTGGCAATACACACATCGAAATATAGTGCCAGTAGTACCTGTAGCTCTTGGGAGTCTGGTAATGAAAGGTTCATGACGTCTTCATCGGTGATTGGAGGGAGAGGTTTGTCACCAGCCAACATGAGCGGCTGGTTTTCCGTCGAGGCATTCACATCATCAGGCACGATAGTACTATCGTGTTTTGATAACCTCTTCCATGCTCGATGTAGGAATGTGACACCGGAGGTTGGGTCAAAGACCTGGCCTTGAATCTCAGCCATTCCAAGCTCTGGAGAAGCTCTGGATGCTGGTCCTTGACTCTCGCGAACCTGTCCCCGCAGCGAAGACTGCGGCGGCACCACCGGCACTGAGATATTTTGCCCCTCTGTTTCCGTCGTCCGATACATCACAGTAGGCTCTTCCGAACCAGACGACGGGCCAGGACGATTCGTGCCTGTCGAGTTTGCGGACCAGACAGCAGAGGGTGGAGGCGTTGGAGGTCTCCCGCGGGAATACTTGGCATCATACACACAGTTCAGACCTTTGCGAGTACATTTGTCGCAGGGAATGGTACCGCTGCATTTTGCCTTGCGCTGCTTGCAAAAGTCGCAAGCCCGGCTGACCTTCTGGGCCTTGCGGCGACTAGCTACCGCCGCCGCAGTGGCCGGAAGCTGCTGCTGCTCATCGGAGAGGGGAGACTGGTGATCGGCCGAGCTGAAGCTTCTTTTCCGCGAGTCCGCAAGACCGACTCCGTGAGGGCTAGGCGCCGAGGCAGTCGACGAAGAGCGATGGGTATCGAGGGGTGCCGGCCCGGCAGGGCTGGTGAGAGGTCGACGGAACTCGGAGACATCCATGGCCGATTGATTGTATGGTTGGCCGAGCGGACTTGACGTCCCGGCGGTCGAATGCCTGGCGGAGACAGGTGAGCCTATGCGCATGCACAGGAAGGTTGAGGAGATTGGAGAATCGGAAAAGAGAGAGTTGGGTGAGACAGAAAGTGACGGAAAAGGGAGGGCATTTGTCTGTGGGAAGACCAAGACTGGAGGATGAGGGGCAGAGGTGGGGGGCCTGCAAAACTAATGTTACATAGACAAGGTTCCCCGCGCCGACAAGACATGGGGAGCTAGTACCTATGAGTGCTTGAATCATGAGTGGCTTGCTTGTGACCTAAGGTACGACCGGATCCAAAGGCCGTCTCCTGATGGTTGGTTGGAGGATGGCTACGGATTTCTTGAAGGAGAAGAACGTATCCGGTTTGACCCGTTGAACATGACCCGTTGAACATGGCAGCAAAAGGATGGATCCAGTAGACGTTCAAAGAACCCATGCATATCCAACGTTCGGCAACCCATCCCGGGTACGCTACTATGGTGGAGAGATACAGTAGAGGCCGGTTGTCCGCTGCTAAGCTTGTTATTGCCGAGCATGGCCGTTAGGCGAAGAGCCATTTGAGCTGGCCATGAGATATGACTACGAATTCAGCGGATTATGGGACTCGAGAGGATGACGTAATCGATACTACAAGCAACATTGTGATCTTGCGAGCATGTCTATTCCATTGTTGAGTGAAGTTATCCCCGAGTTGTAGCCGAGTTGTGCAGTGCCAAAGATCCGAGAGCCGAAGCTACCGATCCGACACAACGGCTGTGAATCAGATGAAAATGAAACGGACTAGTTGACAGTCCATCGACTATTACAAACCACTGTGGTGAGTTGGTTTGAGAAGCACCTGCAAGCTGTGGATACACTCAATTGGCCATAGTATGACTCTAGTTTACCATCTGATGGCAGTAGAGAGATAATATTCTGATATAAAATACTTTTCAAAGTCGTAAACTTATTCAGGCGGATGACTCAGTTTTTCATTGGAGATAAGCATGCTAAGGATCATTCTGTTTGAGTATTTCTTGGGCTGTTGGTGGTGGTATATTGAATAAGCTTTTCAGTAATAGTTCATATTGAGTGAACCCTTCCAACAATTATCCCATAGAAAGTCACGAGACGACGTTTTCGCCATGGGAGAGTTTAAGTCAACTGGTGCTCTCAAGTTTACCAGCTTCTTTTTTCTATTTAACTAATTTGCTAAACTTAAGGTACATCCATTTCCAGAAATCCAAGGCGCGTAAGAGGTATTGGTGTGGACACAACACTATACTATCGTACACATGCATGTTAATACAAAATATGGGGAAAGCTAATAAACAGCATGTGTATCAGATGTAATACGGAGTGGGAATGACTATCAAAGTAGACATATATAGCCTTGGCAGAAATGGCAGCTTGTAGCAGTAGCTGGGATAACCCTATGGTCTAGCCATCTTACGAATGAATTCCAGTTCATCGCTAGATTGTGGTAAAAGCTTGAGAGGCAAGATTTGGGCCAGAACACGATTGTTTCTATTGAGAATCAAGAATCGCTATGCGAGTAAAAAAGAGTATTAACAGTCTTGAGTACGTCCTCCGAGATTGATCTATCCGATGTGCCATTTTCACATGCCGAATAATCTTGCAGCAAAGTCATTCATAAGTCCTAGTATCCATCTTACAGCGTGTATCTGAAGAGCGGGCTCTTGTCACCCATCTCGATCAACTGTTCCTCGGTATACATGGATCGCACCTCCTCCTCGGTAATCTTGTCCCTCTTCGCATTACCCCATTTGTAGCTCAACTCGAGCAACAGGGCCACAATCAAGCCGCTGCCACCAAAAGCCAACGACAGGCCGAAACCAGTGTAGTACTTGGGCTTCTCACTGTCGAGGTACATGTAGCTGCCAATGATACCACCAATGTTGCCAACGCAGATGTTGAAGGCGACACCAATGGCACGACGAGATGCGGGAGCCAGGTTGTTGGCGGCCCAGGAGGAACCGGCGGGTTGAATGGGGTAGATACCAATACAAGTAATGATAACACCAACCATTGCAGTGGCAATGTTACCCGCAAGGTCGCCCTTGAGAGAGATGATAATGGCGTAACCGATGGCGATCAAGCCGAGGGGAATAACGACGAAAGGCATACGCCAGTAGAAGCGATCGGAGAGACGCGCGAAGAAAATCGCAGAGCCGGCACCGGCGACGTACGCGGGGACGGTCATGAGCTGTGCTGCCGTGTTGTCGAAGCCCATGGCTTTGGTAATGGTTGGAAGAGTGAACTTGGTGCCTTGCAAGTTTGTCAGTACATTTCTTGCCTCCAACAAAATGCGGATAAAAAAAAAAAAAAAAGAACTCACCATAACTGCAAGCAGAAGTAGCCAGCAGAGCCCACGCCTGCATGTATAGCCTCCAGTTGGTGATAACGGCCTTCAGGTCACCCCACTTGAACTTCTCCTCCTGCTGCTCGTCTCTGAACCGGCCACCCTGCTTGATGAAGCGCTGGAGCTCGAGGAATCGAATCTCATCGGGCTCAAGCCACTTGCCGCTGAGCTCAGGGCTGTCGATCAAAAAGAAAAAGGTGGAAACGCCCAGCAGGACAGTGAAGATGCCCTCGAGGAGGAAGATCCAGCGCCAGCCTTCGTAGCCGCCGACACCGTCCATCTTGGCGATGGCAGCAGCCAGGAGGCCAGAGAATGCACCTGAGAGGGCAGAAGTGCAGTAGAACCAGGCGATTCTGGCGGCGAGGTCACGAGGCATGTACCAAAAAGTGCACAGGTAAACGGCGCCAGGGTAAAAGCCGGCTTCGAAAACGCCGAGGAGGAGACGGACACCGAGCAGACCGCCAAAGTTGGTGACTACGCCGTGAAGAGTCATGATGACACCCCAGATTGTGACGAGAGTGCCGAGGTACACGGAGGGTCGCTTGAACTTTTTCAGCAGGATGTTACTGGGAACCTCTGGGGGTAGAGTCAGCGGAGAGGTTTCTCAATGCGCGGAGACGGCTCAACTGAGCTTACCAAGAAGAATGTAGGGGACGAAGAAGAGAGATAGCGCAATGTTCCATTGGACACCAGTGAGGTTCAGGTCCTCTGCCAGACCCTCGATCTTGGCGTTGCCGATATTGGCGCGGTCAAGATGAGAGATGAGGTAGAGCACCGCAAGCATAGGCACAAGGCGAATATCAACCTGTATAAGGTAGTTACATCAGCATACTGCGAATATGGGAAGTGCCAAGAGAGAACTGAAACTCACCTTGCGAGTTGTTCTCTTTCTCTGCTCGGGGGTGTAGTTGGCGTAGAACTCGGCGTCATCGTCGCTCAGGCCCAACACGCGCATATTATCAATGGTGCGCACGACGGGGCCCTTCTCCGAGTCGGTCGAATTCTCGGCCTCCCGATCGTCAATGAAGGCGATCTCTGGCTTGTCGGCGGCCGACATCTTGACTGTGTGTCCTGGGGTTTTGTCTTTGGAGGGGGGTATATCGTGTCAAATGCCTAAAGGCTTGATATGTTGACAACGACGTTGTCGTACTCAACTGTTGAGAGAAGAGAAAGATGAGGTAAGAGGGAAAAGGGGAAGTTGTTTCTGGCCTAGAGAGAGGGAAGGGCATCAGACTGAGATCCCAAAGGTTCGAGTTGCGCCAGAGCTCATTTGTATGTTTCGATGAAAGCCAACTTCTGGACTGGATAGATGAGTTTCCAGTTACGTTTATGTGGAGGCAACGGTAGCAACAGACACATGTACAGGCACAGGCACACAAGACTTGGCGTATGCAGCAAAGTGGCTTTCGCGCAAAGTCGGCCAGCACTCTCGTCGCGCCCCGTTGTGGAACATTGAGGAGATTCACGCCGTGCGGGGACCCCGCAATCGCGGAGAACGGGTCAGCCGCTGTGGATGTTTGCTGTACTGACACAATGGTATTCTTCACATTGTATGGTTTCGACTTATCCGTCGTGACGGATTTCCAAAGAGGCGCCACTTTAAATCGAATGTTGTTTGACATTTGTGATGGAGGCTACGGATTTGGATCCACTTCAGGAGTCCGCCAGAGGGGCTGGGAGCAAGCAGACGGGGGGGTGTCCTAGTCTTTGTTCGGGAACGAAAGGGGCACTAATCTTTGACAAGAACATATCGCGGGGAGAAATGAGGACTAGCTAAGATGTCTCTTGGTCAGGGATGTCTCCGAGTCAAGTCTATCAAGGAGACGGACTTGAATCCAACCAACCAGTCATGGTTCCAATAGACTGTTCACTGCTAAGGTAACTAAGGAACAAACTGACAAGCTCCCTACGGTTTAGACGGCTCGGCGAAGGCCCTGGTAAAAGCTTCGCCCACGGAGATTAGAAGACGGCAGCAATCCGACTGGAGCTAATTGTCGGTAGTTGGAGGGATGCGGAGAATTGTGACCACCCACAGAGGACAGTAGACACCCTTCGCCACGGGCTGGCTCCCGCAATGTAACGACAAGCAACCGATGTGCCGCACAGAACGTCCCATGGATCATCCGTTTTCTCCCGTCTCTAGCCATTACCGCGGCCAATAAATGGTGCGGGGAATGCGGGGAGATTGACGGACTTGCGATGCGACGGATCTTTACACGTCTTCAGTTCACATTCATAGCATTAGAAAGCGGTAGATATCCGTACAGTTAAGTAGCGTTCTTATTATATTCATTAGATATCGTATGCGTCGTCGGAATTAGATACATGCATTACGGCGTCATGAAAGCCTTGCGTGCCCATCAAGTCTTAGCACGTCAACAATAGTTTGTCGTTGCTGGGCCGCCTGGCTTCCCAGCGTGAAATTAAAAATTGTACTTCCCCCTCACTCTCTTTGCTCGTCTCTCCATTGTCGCATTACACATTGGCATTCTTCTCAGAGTGCGAGATGCGGATTTGCTGGTGGTAGTTTTGCATCGCCTTCTCACCAACATCCTCGTCAAAGACATTGACCTTGGTCGACTCGAACTTGCGCGCGCTGACCTTGTGCTCGAACAGAACGTCCAACTCCGCATAAGTACGGCCGCGAGGCTCCGGAACGCGGAAGTAGGTGTAAATGCAGCAGCAGAAGCAGATGCCAGCCCAGAAAAAGCCGGTGTAGTTGGACCAATTCCATGCCGTTGGGTTGAGCATGTAGGGGGTGAGGACGTTGTTGATGATGTTGACAATGTTGCTGCAGTGGAAGTTAGCGATGCGATCAAATTGAGACGGAGTTAAGTCGTGTCAACTTACTAAAGGTTACGACCCAGTACAACAGTCTTGATCTGCAGACGACGCGAGGGCAGCTCACTCACGAGCGAGTAGCAGACGGTACCGACAGTGAGCTGATAGAACATGGCCCAGACGATCATGACACTTCCTGTCGCTAACGCGCCCTGGTCTCGGTGTTGTTCCGGGACCAGACCCAAGAAGCCGAGGATCAGGAGCATGCTGCAGAGACCGCAAAGACCGTAAAAGTAGAGAGTACGTCGGCCAATGCCCCACGACATAAGGAACCAAGCGCCAAAGACACCAGCCATGTTGATTGCGTACTGGCCAAGGGCGAATTTGTATGAGTTGGCGACGGAGAGACCGGCTTGCTTGAGGAAGTATCTACGTTTATGTTAGCGGATGCAAATAGGTCATCTCAATGATGTAAAAGAAAAAAGGAATGGCGACATACGTAGAATAGTTTGAGAAGGAATTGCCGCTGAGGTTTTGAATCGCCCAGGTCATGCAAACAATTTCGGTACGGCGCAAGTCGACACCCTTGAAGCAATCCAAGTATGTTGCGCCGGCCGTGATCTTCTCCTCGAGCGCAGTGGTGTGCACCATCATGGCAACCGTCTCGTCGGCATCGAAATCCGTGTTCTTGTCGCGACTCGTCAAGCGCAGCAGAGATTTCTTCGCCTCGTCAATCTTGCCCTTGCGCACCAGCCACCACGGCGACTCGGGCGCGAAGAAGATACCAAGCGCCAGCGGCACCGGCCACATCCATTGCAGCGCATACGGGATACGGTACGCCCACTCGTCCTCGCGGTCAAGCATGGACATGATGACGCCGATACCAATCTCCTGTCCCAGGCCCCAGCAGAAGTTGACATAGGTCGTCAGGTAGCCGCGCAGGGCGACGGGGCAGACCTCGGAGGCATAGGTGATGCACAAAGTCTGGAAAACGCCCCAGGGAACACCACACAGAATCTCGGCCGCCAAAAGAGTCTGGACATTCTGCGCGGTGAAGAAGATGGTGGTAAAAGCGGCCACTAGCATCAAACAAGTGATGACGGTCCACCTGTAGCCGAAGCGTTCCGAGACCCATCCGTTGATAAAGAGGCCGATGATCTCGCCGACGGTAGCACCGTTGCTGAGGCCGGCCTGCCATGAGGCGGGAACCTCGCAGACACCTTGGGCGTTGCAGACACCGTACTTGCGGTTGAACTGGGGGAAAGCGTAGAAATTGCTGACGAGAGAGATATCGTAGCCCTCCATGGCGATACAAGTCGAGATGAGGACCGACCACGCAATGGCCTTGGGGTAGAGCTTGATGCCCTCCATAAGGCTCATCTTCTGCTCCTTGTCTGAAGCCGATTTGGCATTTTGGACAAATGTGCTGGCGAGCTTTGCAGACTGATGATCACCGACTTCTGCAGATTGGCGGTCGACACCGACGACGAGGTCGTCAGCTGGGGGCGTTTTTGACGCCATTGTGGTGAAGCAAAAAACGACCTCAAGAAAGACCAGCTGGCAAAAAAAAGAAAGAAAAAAACTTTCAGTCTGCGATGGTGTCGATCGTGTGAATGCGTGCGGGGTTGAGATGGCTGATGATGGATGAAGCCAAGACGCTCACAGAAAAAGTCTGCAAAGGAAGAAAACCGATGCGCCTCAGTAGGTTTGAGGAAATCTCGAGAAAAATATGCGCGAGATGGTTTGTTTGTGGGACAATGTCAAAGGCTCGATAGAAACCCACAAAAGAAAGGGCTCGAATTTTTACGAAAGAGCGAAGAAAGACTGGGGCCTCGGAAGAGATTAATAGTTGGAATTGATCCGTCGGCATCACGCTTTCATCGGTGATGAATCGTAGTTTGGCAATCTTCCGAACGCCACGGTCCAGCTAATGAGAAGACCGAGTCGAGTCCCGTTCTATGCCGAGGGACAGGGGCAATGGTGCCAGTAAACAGCGTCGATATCTGGACGGGGTCCCTCTCTCGTTCCTCTTTCTGGCCTAAACGAGTCGTCGTTGGCCATACTACGTTGTAGATGAGGTAACATTGCGGGCGACATATGAGGGGTCAACAGCCATGGCAAAGGCCTGTTCAACGTGAGGGGAACTTGTCGCAATTGGCTATCATGCCATTGAGTTTTGTGTCTATGCGTGTGCCATACATCGGGGTATGTGAGATGGTGTGTAATTGTTGGTCAGGTGAGCCATGTTGGATGAAGCTCATTAGGGCCAATGAGGGGTCTTGGGTAGAAGAAGGGTAAATAGAGAGAGGGAAAACAAAAAAGACAAGAATTGGGGAACAGGGCCGAGTCAGAAGTTGGAATGACATGAAGAGGGGGGGGACAGCTCCAAATATGACTTTGGAAGAGCGGTGGAAACTCATCCTTTTGCTACCCAGTTTGTGAAAACTGCCACAGCCCCGGAATGACCTCAGGATCAAGATTCCGATCAGCGAGAGTTGCAGACCCTGAAGAATCTCTCAGAGTGGGTTTCGTGTGGTTTTGTCGGACTGGCTCGGTCATCGGAGTTTGGCATTGCCAGGCTAGGGGTGGTGCTCTAAAAGCAGTAAAATCTGCCCGGTCGCAAGCCAGAAAACCCCCTAACATTTACCTGACAGTGGAGGGATGTCGTCGCTGGGCTGCTGACAAGTCGCAATCCCCACACATGTCATTCGTCGCAGCCCCAGACTCAAGCCTTCGCCAACAACTTAGATCTGCTCAAAATCGAGGGGGTCCCCCAGACCTTCTCCATCTTCCCCGGGTTTCATTCAATCTCGAAAGCAGCCGCACTGGGGTCGGAAAGAATTGACAATTGCAAAGTGGCATGCCATCTCCCGAAGCGCCTGATTCGTTGAGTGCCACGACCTGGTGAGTTGACCGCGCACCAAAGTCTGGCGATCCACTGCAGAGGGGGGGCCGGGGGGCGCGGAAAAAAAAGCCTCTTTTGGAGACGAGGTCATTCACGCCGACGGCAGTACGGGCGAGAAAGCCGGCAAAGAGCCTCATTGCGATGAGGCTGTAGTTGACGGTGGTGATGACCTCGTTTGCTGGAAAGGCTTTTTAGAGAGAGAGAGAGAGAGGTTGAGTTGTTGTGTTGAGTCGAGAAGTCGAGGAAACTCAACTCGTGAGGGGGGAATGGAAGCTGAAGACGGAAAACAGAGATTTCAAAGGAACACAACCAAGCTGACCTTTTTCCCAGTGAACAGTGTCGTGAACAGCATCTACGATGTGACCGCGTGTTGCCCGTGTGTGGGCGTTGTATGTTGACGGGGAGAGAATGCAAGAAGGGTTATAAGTTTCGAGCGCCCAAGCATGCCGTTTTCAAAGAGAGTCACAAGTGGCCAGCGCCGCCGAAGAAGCTCAAGTTCATCGACGAGACGCGCGGGGTAGAGCTCGGGGAGACGATAGACTTGGACGAACAGGCCGAAAACTCACCTCCAGAAGATGAAGAAACGACAACCACTTCTCCAGGAACGGCAACTGTGGGAGACTCTACCGTCTCGGAGGAGAGGCAAAGACCGTCACTCCCCACGGAAAAGGCGGCGAGCTGGCCTCTTCCCGACGAGAGCCATCATGGCAGCAGTGACATAGTCGACGAGCCCTTGTTGTCACAACGCGCATCGCTGAGCACCCCGGGAGGCGACCAGCTCAGCCAAGACGACAGCCATCGCGGGCATTCCAACTCGATCGACACGCTGCCGCCGCTAGAGTCTCTCGTACCGCCGACGGGAGGCATCTACACAGATCGCCCCATCTGGCCGATCCAAGGACGCCAGGAAGCTACTCTGTTCCGTCATTACGTGGACAAGCTAGGATTTTGGGTACGTTAAGAAAAGAAAAACGGGTGCAACTTGGCTTACTGGGGAAAAAAAAAAACCGATTTCTGACATTGTGTGCCAGCTCGACGCGTGCGATCCGACTAGGCACTTCGAGACCGAGGTACCACAGCGCTCCGGCTCATGTCCCATCCTGCTCAACGCCATCTTCGCGCTGGCGGCACGGCATCTCAGCCTGACGAGCGCGTACGACTCTCTCGCGTCGAACCGGTACCACGAGCAATGCCTGAACTACCTGATCCCGCTCCTGGACCACGCAGGAACGGTCTCTGACGAAAACTTGTTCGCGGCAACAATCATCCTTCGAGTGCTGGAAGAAATCGACGTAAATACGCTCGGCCAAGACACACACGGCCACCTCCTCGGAATTCACGCCTTTGTCAACGCCGGAGACCGCTACCTTATGCCGGGGACTCTGACTGCCGCCTGCTTCTGGGCGGGTCTGCGTCAGGAAATCTATAGCGCCGTCATCAACCAGCAGGTGGTCAGGATGAATCTAAGTCATGCCATAGTCGACAGATCGACCAGCCCGGGGGATGACTTCGTCTGGGCGAATCGTGCCATTGTGCACTGCGCCGACGTCCTCAATTTCTGCTTCGGGTCCGAGGCGGGGTCGGTTTTGCGATGGGGCCAGCTGGAAATGGCAAACAGAGAGTGGAAAAACGCACTGCCGGCTTCCTACACGCCCATCTTCTTCCGGGAGAGGACAGAAGAGGAGGCTTTTCCCGAAGTATGGTATCAAAAAGCGTGCCATAGTGAGTCTATCCCTGACGTACGGTCTCGGACATCGGCCGTCTCGACCCTCGAGATGACCCGAAGGCCTGGCTACGGTGTTGACGTCTGTCGTCGTAATTTCTACGTTTACTAACTACAGGGTACTAGTCATTGCTGTTCAGCATCACATTCTTGCCGAAATGTACCTCGTCTTGTTCAACCCGAGTATCCCACGAGTCGGCGGCACGCGTAAAGCAGCTGAGAAGCGCTTAACAGAGCAAATACAAGCCCTGCTACGAAGTCTATGTGGCATTGGCATGTGCAATCAGTGGTCTCCGCCAGCAATGTTCACGGCATGTATGGGAATAGCTATTGGTAAGCCCAGAGTTTCTTTTTTTCTTTTTCCTCCTTCACCTCCGCGTTGCTTTTCTGCATCTGCAACACGTGTTCCGCGGAGCTAGAGTTGCTGACTTTGGCATCTTCAGCCGGCGATCGCTTCGACGACAAAAACGACCAGGAAGCCCTATTGAACATGCTCCAAATCACCGAAAAGGCCCACGCGCGGCCCACGACGACGGTACGGGATCAGCTGATGCAGGCATGGGGGTGGATGGACGGGGAGGCGATGAGCGAGGCATGAGCGAGGCTAACACTAGGGGGAGTGTGGTGTAGTGTGGTGGTGCCACGCCTCGACTGGCGGGCCAGTTGCCGCGAAGGCGTTTGATGAAGGGCTTTCATGATTGGGTCTCACACTAACGACAAGGTTGGCGGAGGGCGTGGAGGCCACGCGGGGGATTGTTTCCCATTTGGATAGATCTGGATTTCGATAGACGGGCTGGAAAGGCTAGAAGCCCCGGACTTTTTTGGATTTCCCTTGGAAGTTTAGCATCACTCTGTGGATACCCCGACGACACGATACTATAGATTTCATGTTTGTGGGAGCAGGATCTGGCGTGCTTGGCTCTCGGCGGCAGGATGTAATGCAAAGCCGAATCAATCGGACATATTTCGCGATTCCAACTTTTTTGACCAAGGCTAACAATGGTTGTGTTCTGCCTACTTACTCCATATCGTGACCTAGAACCCCGTAACGGCCTTTGCCTGGCGTCACATTGTGCATACTGGGCTTGCGTAAGATGTGCCGCATGGCCGAAGCGTGAAAATCTGACAGCTACTATTAAACCACTTTTGTTGGTTGGAAAACACTCTACGGGCATGCTTGGAATGTGTCTGTGTGGGGTTGAGACCGGTTGGCATCTCGCCCTTTATTTCCACGCAACGAGGTATTGGGAAACTAGCTCCGAAAGATGTGACCCAAACTGATGTCACACTTCTCACTTTTGTGAAAAAATAGTTGGAGATTTCAGGTGTATGAGATGGTGAGGGGCAGCTTGGCAAGGGTCCCTTCGGCAAGTGTTTGGTGTTCGTAAGAGTCCAATCAGTAGGAAGCTATTACTGAAAGAAGGAGGGGGTCCCGCGGGGATGGAGATGGGCTGCATGGGATCCTTGGACGTTGTCTTGGTTGGCAGTCGAATTAGGGAATAGTCAAAAATAGTTTGCTAATCCCATGATGATGTGGCGGGGACTAAATTAAGCTTCGCCGCAGAGAACATGCAGAGCACAGTTACAACACAGGCTTGAGACCATCCCGGATGACGGTTGGCGTGGAGGAGAAGCTAGATGTAGGTGTGGAACAAGCATTGGAAGACATGGATGTAGGCGGAGGGATATCGGGAATTTTGCCCTGAATAAGCCGTGAGGAATTTTTGGTGTTTTTGAGTTGTCCAAAAGAGGTATGGCTTGGCATAGAGATACTTGAACAAGAGTCATGTGACTTATAGAATAGGAAATTCTGGAGGATTTTTCGGAAAAATTGGAGACGCCCTACTAGAATGGTGTTGGTCTCTCGAGAAACTAATCGGCGACTTTATCCCTTTTTATCCATCCAAATCCTGAAATTTCCAGTTCCTGGATGCCTCCATCACAACCCTCTCCACAGATCTGAATCTCGCCCCGTCTTTCCTGCTCCACGGTATCAACACGATGATCCACGAGGCATCGCTAAGCGGCATGATGGCCGTCACGGTAAGCTTAGGTTCGGGTTGCTTAGCCAAGTTGGCTGAATATAGTGCCCGCCAGGAACGAGACCCTTCACTTCATGTTCGGAAAATGGGCGAGGTACATGTCCTCCCCGCCACGTAGACCCCGCGGCACATGTCCCTCGCCATGTCCGACTTTTCCAATTTGCTGTTACTCCGAATACTCCTCCATTGACTTTCCCATTCTTCGTACTCATTTGTGTTTCCGCCTGTTAATGTTGTCTTGCCATCAACAACATATTTAAAGACAGCATCCAGAAGGAGTTTCCTGCTCTTCTTGTTCATCAGCAATTCAGTCTTCTGATATTCAGTGATACCAACTTCAAAGTCAAATCTCTTTCTTCAACTTGAGTGTATCGCATTTCTTATTTTCTTTTTCTTATCATACACACATTTCACAATGGCCGCTGCTGTTGCTACCCCTTTCGTCAGGCCCAACGACGGCCACGACCTTGAGCAGACCACCGACTTTGTCGAGGAGGTCAACATCCTCAAGGATCAGCTCAACAAGCAAGAGAGTGAGACTACTTACGAGGACTCCAAGTTCGACTCCGAGAAGGACAAGACTGCTTTCCGCCAGTATGAGGACGCCTGCGACCGCGTCAAGAACTTTTACAAGGAACAGCATGAGAAGCAGACCGTCGACTACAACATCGCTGCTCGCGAGAAGTTTGCCATCGACCTCACCGGCGAGAAGCCCTGCCGAGAGGAGATGACCATCTGGGAGGCCATGGAGAAGCTCAACACCCTCATTGACAACTCCGACCCCGACACCGAGCTCTCCCAGATCCAGCATCTGCTCCAGACCGCCGAGGCCATGCGCCGCGACGGCAAGCCCCGCTGGATGCAGCTTACCGGTCTCATCCACGACCTCGGCAAGCTCCTCTTCTTCTACGGCGCCGAGGGCCAGTGGGATGTTGTCGGCGACACCTTCCCCGTTGGCCTCGCCTTTGACAACCGCATCATCCTGCCCTCCACCTTTGAGAACAACCCCGACACCAAGCACCCCGTCTACAGCACCAAGAACGGCATCTACAAGCCCGGCTGCGGTATCGAGAACCTCATGATCTCCTGGGGCCACGACGAGTACATGTACCGCGTCTGCAAGGAGCAGTCTAAGCTGCCCCGTGAGGCTCTCGCCATGATCCGCTACCACTCCTTCTACCCCTGGCACCGTGAGGGCGCCTACCGCGAGTTCATGAAGGAGGGTGATGAGGAGCTTCTCAAGGCTGTCCTTGCTTTCAACCCTTACGACCTGTACAGCAAGAGCGACGATGCTCCCTCTGTTGAGGAGCTCAAGGTACGTTCACAAATTAATCTTCCTTAATCAAGATTCCCAAGACTAACTCTTTTTCTCAGCCCTACTACATGGAGCTCATCGATGAGTACTTCCCCTCCAAGGTCATCAAGTGGTAAAGGTACAACCAAAAACTGTCACATTACGACTGGTATGAAAAGAGACGGATCGGGTACCCTCCCCAGGACATCTCGATAAACAGGGGGGCATGGCGTTTGGGATGATTTGATGGATAGATACACTTGTGGATGAGCGGTTTTTTATTTTATTTTATGAAATGAGCAAAAATGGCCAAGAGGCCTTTTAAGACTCACGAAAGTACTCGAGTTCAAAATGTCTGTACACTTCCGTTAGACAGCGCTCTATGAAGAAATTGTTGCAGCGCATATGAAGCCTTGGCTGACGTACCTAATTGTGCACACATGGTGACAGCTGTATGCAAAGCCCGGATCTGCATGCACCAACCAGTACCGCCTCTGCTGTTGTTAGTTGGCTGCGATGCTTTCTGACCAACTTTCTACGCAAAAGACTGGCGGCTTAAATTTCCACATTAGTACATGTGCGAGCGAATTAGACTTCTTACCCAGCATAACGTCTGCTCAACATCCTTTCGCATTATCCTAATACTGAAGGTTTAGCCAGACTTCATATGCGAAAAAGGTTGTAGACTAGGTTTCCGTTGTTTACTGATATGTTCCGAGGTGATCAAATCCCAACAACTGTCGATCTTCGTCGGGAGGTTACCCGGTTCTCATGATGAGGCAGCACTGCTTTACATCCATTGCGCTTCGTTGTGAGAACTTTCTAGGTTACTTTGTACACCACACATCATCATTATAGGTCCGTGTTAAGACCAATCCGGCTGATTTTTATCCTGGTTGTTTTACAGTTTCCGTGTCCGACAGAAAACAAGGCCGAAAGGAGGATGTTCGACCGTAAGGTCGGAGATATTTCCATTGTATGATCAGTGAGTACTACAAAAGCGTTTGTTACTACAACATTCCCATGATGACTATGGGTATTCTTGCGAAGAAAAGACTTGTCACCGATTCACTTATTGTTTCCCCCCTCAGGTTTATCACAGATCTGTAACACCGCTATTGAAGAGGGGATGTAACTTAGTAGTGCTGGGCTATTGCAGGACATCCGTGACTCTGCCATGAGGCACCATATCAACTAAATCAGACTCCTAGAAGGTAGAGAATCTTTTTTGTCTCATGAATTTCAAGAATGTGCACTCTGTGTCACATGAATGATTACGAATTAGCCGGCTTACGAGATATCAGGCTCAATCTGAGGACGTGCAGGTTGAGGCCAAAAGGACCCACATATGACTCAATCATGGATCACGATCTCGAACACGATCCACAGTAGTGTAGCCCTAATATCAAATTTGCGCGCAAAGTTTTCAACAACCACCCCAAACATCAAGCACAATAGCTCAGGGGTAGAGCGCTGGGCTCATAACCCAGAGGTCCCTGGATCGAAACCAGGTTGTGCTATCATTTCTTTTGCTTTTTGTTGCCTCGCTCAGCTCGCAATTGTCTGTACACTGCTGGAGCTTACGGCTGAAAAGTACTGTTTTCATGTTTTCTTGTACACTAAGCAAAATTCGGCTTGAGTGACTTAAAAACATGAAGTCAAAGATGTTGATGAATTTTTATCATGATGTGCTAATATTGCTGTAACATTAGGGTCTTTCGTCTTTCGCTTGGCCTACTCTTTGGACTGAGCACTGTCTACCTATGGTCATAAAACTTTAAGTGGCATCATATTTCAATGTTCTTGGTTCATGCAGGGCATCTCACAGAACAGTTTGCCTTCATGTTGCTATTTCTAGTTTCTCCAAGTTATGTCTGAGGCTGGTAGTGCGAATAGAATGAGCACAGTAATCATGTGACTAGTAGGAAGGTGAGAGACTTTACTCACAGGGGCCTTGATTTCCGTTCATTGGAATAACAAACTGTGGTAGTCTCCAAAGGGCATCGCCCAGCAACTAAACAGGAACGCAAATGTTAAACCCATGTGCTTTGCTGGCGCATGGCGAATCTGTAGGCAGTCTTCACCCGTTTCGGCTTCCAGTGTAATGTATGTGGTGTTGGCGCCAGCGAGTCCGATTTCTGATTATAAGTCTGTCAGACTCAAGCCGTTTGTTTATTGATTAGCTTACTTACGAAGGTGTAGCTCTCTGGTAAAACTTATTGACGCTTTGAATAAAATGAATAGAAAATTTCTAACTTATGT